TACCATATCCCGTAATTATATTGGGACTCGGACATACAGGTCGCCCTACACAGGGTGTCACATGTGGGGGTCATTTCACTAAAATTGTATATTTTTTTAAATCTTCCAAAATGAATTTAACCCACTTTCTGATATCATAGAAGGCTGAAATTTAACCCAGACACTAATTTTGGATGACAATACAATGTTCCATCAAAATATTATATAAATATGTATTAATATATAGATATATTAAATATATGTTTAATGTTGAATACGGATGATTCATTAAGGATAAGACACGTTTTTTTCTGAAATTATACTAATTGTTAGTTTTCCTCTTAATACATTAACAATTACTAATATAATATATTATGGAATCTTGTGTATCAAAAAAATATTCAATAAATATCATATACATTATTTAACAAATGTTTTTCGAACTATATAGAAACTGAGTAACTAAAGTATGACGCAAATGGCAATGTTATTTGGCAAATATCAACAGTGTATTTAAAAAACACCTAAGGCTGATAAAACATTTCGTTAGCAAAACAAAATGTTGGTTATCGTTGCATGAAATTATTGTCCAATATTACAAATATTCATGATATTTTTCGAACGCAATAAGTCAAAATTTTAAATATATTATTTAACCTATAAATTACTGGGGGTCAGCGAAATCCTCAATTATAAAAAATATTCAGGCTTTCCAAAATATTTGTATGCGTTTAATCACCGATGCTCCATGGTTTGTTACAAATGACACTCTAAAGCGGGGAATTGGGGGTAGTTCTTCCAACAAATGATAACGCGTGATAAGAAATAAATGTTACATAACCTATAAAATGTGTAATACTACAGATAGTACCAACATCGATTTTACCAAAAACCCGCCAAGAGAAATTTCGTATTTTAATATCAAAAACATTGCCTTTAGTTAGGTTCTTATCTTTATTGCAAATTGTAGTTAGATATTTATCAATTCTCTAATTAATCGTATTCACTATACACGTAAAATTATATAATGTAAAATTCATAAAAAATTACATTGTATAAGTGTATATACATAACTTATAAGTATATGTTATAATTTAATATTATTTGGTATAAAATAATAATAATTTTATTGAAATTTCCCACAAATTGTTTATATTACTATTTAAATAAAACATTATTTTTACTTTTTACCTAAATTAGTTGACGATTTTAAAATTTGGCTGTCGAGTATAAATTAGTTTTACCACATCTTACATATGTATTCTGTAGTTAAAGAATACAGGTAGGAGCTTATGCGCTTTGTCTTCAATCTTGTCTTTTAGAAGATATATTATTAACAAAATTTGGTACCTAAAGGATATATTAAAGCAAGGAAAACGGAACATTTGACACTTGTAGTTTAAATACCTCACATAAATAACTAGAATAAAACATATTTAATTTTCAAGTTTCTAAACAAATCAATATATACATTATAAACTTATAGTCCAAAGTGAACCTATTGCCGGATAAAGACTTGTGATGAGAAAAAAAATTGTTGTACGGCCCTTTTGCATGGGATAATAGGTAGATAATAAGAATATTGCATAATATAAAATTATTGTAAACTAGATTAAACAATTCTGTTATAATAATAAAAATGATCAAACTAGGGTCATAATCGTATAAACGTCATACTTAATAAATATATAATGTAATTTAATGTAATCTTGCTTTTATGTTGGTGAGATTATCAAATCAGACTGATTATCTTACTGAATTTAAAAAAAAAAAGGAAAATTAACTAAATAGTATCCCGTACCATACAAATTATATATTTTTAATAATTAAATAATTAATAACGAATTATCAAAAATAGTATTCAATACCAAATAACGTATTTTAAATGTCTGTATTAAAATACCTTGCAGGACTGAATGTTATTTATAATCTATTAGTAGGTTTTTAAAATAATTATCATTCACTTCATATTTTACAGAAATTAGTTTATATTAAGCTACTCTGGGTATATATTTTTTATTAAAGAAACCAAACTAAACAATATGAATTTGTTCAGTAAAAGTTATTCATATGATTTAAAAATATGATTCAATTTTTGGTCAATATAAATTAGCAAATTTACAATTATCTCTTGATTTGAAAATATCCATATTTGTTAGAAGATTGCATAGCCCATATTTTATTAATCTATGTACTTTTTCATTAAAATGGCCATTTACTTAGCGATAACCAAGTCTCTACGACGAACTTAAAGTTTTGATACCACACAAAAACTGTCTACATTCCATTTATTAAGAAATGTATACTTTTCTTATATTATAAAAATAAAAAATAGAAATAATACATATTATAAAATAAATAGATACAATTGCAAGTTGCAACATCCCATCATATTTATTTATCTCTTATCTCGTTCTCATCGAAATCTGCTATTAAAGCTCTTTTTGCCTACAAAAAGTTTAATAAATTATAATATGACTGATTTAAGTATGTTAATATATACTTAAGATTGGTCAAGTTGTGAAAATTTAAATGATATAGACGTAGCTATGGACATATTTAATGGGAAAATTAATGAGGCTATTTCCAATTCCACTAATATGTATATAATAAAATTATCAAATCAGAAATTAAAAGGTTGGATATCAAGCGGTCAGGTTAACTCAATTTTAACTAAGTAAACATTTAAAAACAGATTAGATAATCCCATTTTTATTTATCATTAAAAAAGGTATAATTTTGTTAGGAATATCTTATACCCCCATAGTTTTGGTTAGAAGTACTAGATCAAACAGCAAACTAGTAGAAGATAATTCTAACCTTATACTGTTTAACAGTTGTACTTAACAATGAAAAGTATAAAAGTTGTAGGTATTTTATTTATCATTATCTTCAGGTAAGTGCCCCAATAGTTTTATCAAATGTGACTTCATTCCTATACACAAAACGGGAAATAAATAATTGTTCAGTAATAATATCTATTATTTCAGTCGGTAATTATAATTACTAGAGCTCTAGTTATAATTACTAGACTGTAGCCATTATAAACCAATATCGTAATCACTGTCTCTATCAAAAATATTTGAAAAATCATTAAATCCCAAATAATGAAGTAGGTAATATAATATTTAGTTATTAAAACATATTTACATGGTTTTACGAGTTTCTTATAGTTGAATTTGAATAAAACTGAGCATATGGTTTTCAATATTCAAAAATATTTTAATCTGGATAACTTAAAGTTTAGAGGTCAAAACCATGTAGAGATACAAAATTGTGTTTCATGAATTATGATTCATATAAGATATAACTGCGTTACTATTAAAAAGAAAATAGTTATAAACCTTGATTCATTGATAACTGACTTAAATGAAAATATCAAAAATACTGAATATGTTATAAAACTATTCAATTATTATCAAGACATTATTTAAATATATTTATAGTTATTAGACAATAGCATGTATTGTTAACCCTTCACGGCATAATGTCCCATATATGGAACAATAATTGTATTTATTGTTTATATCTGCTTATGCTATACATCTTTGTATGCACAATGTTCCATAATGTTCCAAATTCTTTAATTAGCGTTTTCCATAAAACCAAAACTCAAAAAAAATTTTTTAAATTTTTTTATGTAGTATTAAGTACATTATAGCATATGGTTAAAAAAAATTCATGCAGTGAAGGGTTAAACTTACTAAGGCTAATTTATTATTTATTTGTAGAATCTATAATTATTAACTGTATTATACTCTGCATATAAATAAAGATAACGGTGTCTGGACTTTATAACACAATTTATATCGAACACATTATTGTATACTCAAACAAAGAGAGTATTCAATATGTTAAACATCCTTCATTTGAACGCATTATATAAAATCACTTAATACAGTACACACATACAAATCACTGGCTATCAAGAGTAAACGTGTCTATGAGAACAGTTTTAGAAAAAATACATTTGGTTTACTTTTACTTTATTGTGTCAAAAACTACATCTAAAAACAAATGCATTTCTATATAATAAAATTATAAAATAATATATACAATATACTAAATAAGCTTTGAATCTTTTATCATAATTAAATATTATTTAATATAAAATTATCAAAAAAGTAAGTGGTTACTAAAACATGTTTTCAGTTGTAAAATAACGCAAACAAAAATGTTTTGAAAAATAATTTTACCTTATTGAAATTATTATGAGAGAAAATTAGTGAATCACACTGTATAATTAAGCTAACCAAGAAAAAACAACTTTTATTTCTAAAAAACAATATAGACTTCCTGTCTAACAGGCTACTTATAGTAACACAGTATACATTTCAGACCAATTTTATAATTTATAAAGTTTGATAAGTTATTTTAAATAAACAATAAATAGTAATAATAGAAATAATAAATGTAATAGTTTAAGACACATAAAATAATCTGGTAAATAGTATAAAATATGTAGAAATATTCAATTGTTTAATACATAATATACTAATCAGTGAATTGACATTGATTAAAATAAAACATTTTTTTATGATACTTAAGTAAAGATATTTTTTAATTAAAAAAAGTATATTTTATAAACTAAACATCAAAATTTACAAATGTATAATTACTTGTTTTAGCAAAAAAAAATTGTACCGTTTTTTTTTAATCTAGGTATTCAACATATTGACTACACATTTTTTCCTAACAACATCGACATAATTTCACAACAGTTTACAAATTTTCAATCTTTCAGTTAGGTCAAGATATTTTTACAATAAATTAATATTTTAATGTTATTAAGGTAAGTAAATATTAATAAATAAGTAAATACAGAAACTACATTTATAATTAGTTTGGTAGGCTAATAATTATGTTTGTCAAAATTGTAATAGTAATATACTGTTAGTATCTTTAAACTAATACAGTTTTAAATCTAGAATATTATAAGATACTTGTATTGACACTTAAAGTGTAAAAATATTCAAACAATAATACAAGTATTCAAAAAAAAAATTTAAACAATCTTAATTTTGTTTTAATGTAGTTGAAAATTAAAAATATTTAGCCAAATGAGATATCAGTGTAGTGGTCATAAATACAGTACAGTTTACATAGACATTGAAGACAGGATAATAAGTTATTCAATAAATAATCAACTGAATTACACTTGATTAATAATAAATTATAATAAGACTTTTTTAAATAAAATTAAACATATATAAAGAGATTGGAGATGGTACTACGATGTCTAACAGCAGGTAAACAGAATTACTGGGTGGCGTTTATACTGTTAGTCTGATACAGAATATTCTTCCAGGGGTTTTGCACAAAATCCAATTAACGTCAACAACAAATATTCAAATATAGTGTCAAAAGTCAGTCTATGGATTACTACAGTGTCCATGGAGAAATATATGATATGTCCATTTAATCTTCCTCTGGTCACATTCTAGCTGAAAAAACAACAAATGGTTAAATAATAATAATAATAATTATAATATAAAACCAATTTTAAATGATTTACTAATGTTATCGTTTGTTAATTGTGAAGTTAAAATTAAATATAATGAAAATTGATAATGACATTTTTTTATACCATTTAACTTAAATTATCTATCAGTAACACTTAGAAGAGTGATTTCATGAATAGACTATATTTGTGACCGGTATACATCAAGTTGACCTAGTTTGTTATCTCATACCAATGAAGTGTAAGATCTACAAGTAAATGCAATTATTCTTGTACAAAAACTAACAATGTTAGAAAATAGTAAATTAAATTATTAAAAAGAATGATAACTTACATTAGATTTCTTTTTTTTTAAATCCCCTACATTAGGTTATTTTAGATTGATATTAAACTACTATTGTATCGATATTTTTATTAATACTACAAATCTAGAGTGTTTTCCTTACCTAGTCTATTTAGACAAATGATAAAACAATCATTTCTTCCAGTTAGTGTCGATGGAGAACTGTTCAACCAGAATCTTTGACTCATCTTAAAACTGAAAGATATATTTTTAATAAATAAGTTAAAAGTTGAAATGTTAATTATTAAAATAATAGAGATTAAATCAATTAAAACAATTTTACAAAAAATAACTCCATACCTGTTACCACACTTAATCAGACTAGAGATAGTTTCAGGAATCGAACCGCTCTAATGAATAAGCATACCGATAAGCTTTTTATGACTTCAGACAACTACCATCATACTGTAAAACATAATTTACTTGTATTAATAGTTTTATTTAAATAGGATGTAATAATATTGTCACACAAATTAGTACAATATAGTGTATGTCTGAACTTTGTCGCTAGGTTCTATAATTGATAAATATATTATGTTATTCATATTAAATATTGCAAGTTTATATTATGTGAAAATAAGAGTTTTGAATTATGAATTAAAAAAGAATTCTAATAAAAATATTCATTTAACATTAATAAGAAACGAAAGTAAATTTTATTTACCAATAATTATCGTTGTCGTCATATGAACTAGTTGGTTTTTTGTCATTATAAATGTATCGTAAAAATGTGTACTATTTAAGAAAATATAATATATTTTAACACGGTTATTTTTTTTATCATTTGAATTATTGCCGTTTAGTTCTAGAGATAACAGTCAACTCTGACAAACGTTAGTTATATTTTAGTTACTTTTATTCTGATAGAATGTGATTTTATATTTTGGTGTTTCTGGGTTGGTCACGCTGATAAAATAAAAATTGTGTTATCTTTTGGAAGAACTCTTATCTCTTATCATTTTTTGGAAGAACTGCCCTGAACACTCACTCAAGGTAGATTTAGAACAAAATTGTTTGTGGGACAAATGTATATTGGAACAAATACAGTTTGGACAAAACGTCCATTGGCATTACTGTTTTGCGGGGAAAAAATGGCTGGAATAATAAAGCATTCATTTATAGGTTCCATGGTTCAAGGAAATTATCCTAAAAAGGGAAAAATGCTGTCCCCGCCATATTTTCAATGGAAGAAATAATTTTAAAATTTTGAAAAAAATGTCAATATTAAACATCTATATGAAGGGCACGGGGGAAGAAGAGTAGTCCATGTATACATATTTTAAAGTATAGCAAAAACAAAGTTCGTGAATTCCTCTCCCTCTTACATAAGTACAAAACAAATTACATTTGGTGCTATTCTACTAAAAATGTATTTATTTAAACAATCTTAATAATAATATTTGGTTTCGATGCAAGGTTCATTTAACAATAAAATGTCTATGGTTGGACCGGTAGCACGACAAAACCACGCCTGACAAATTCTACCAGCCATGAAACTGCCTCTCAATGACGCTAACTTTTACGATATGCGTAAACAATACACGATTATTAACTGTGCTTATTGTGCGGTTAGAATTATATATTATTAAGATATTGCCTTAGTTAAGCAGCGACCATATCAAATTGTTTTAATTTTTAGAGTTTACGTGTTAAAAAGTTTAATGTGTCGTTTTGAATATTTCATATTTTTTTTTCACCGCCAAAGTTAATATGATATGTGTTATCACTAGAGTCCGGATTTGAATCACATCAAATATGTATCAACCATATAATGACTTTGTTGAAGCATTAAAAATCAATGTTTAATTGACTTTGTTTTTGAACGCTTCGAAATTGTCTGATGTACATCAACAAATAAGTTGTTATGGCGAAACCTTCACCAACTTGAGAAAAATAGTTGAATTGTCTTTGGTATATACCTATATCCACATAATGAGTGTAACCTGTTAGAATATACTTTATTACTCCACTGACACTTATAAGTTATTAATTCAATAAATTAAACATTCGTCTTCTTATAATAATAAAACGAAATCATATACAAAACGAATGTCTTCTAATAGTTAAGAAATCAAATAATTAATAATATAATAATTAAAATACAGAAAAAAAAAATAAAACGTTGATAAAAAAAATGATCATGAGATTGTTATTTGTTAAGTAATATTAGACCATCCAAGTTGTGTCAGAGACCCCAAAATTATGTCAAATTAATTGTTATAATTCACAAGAATTTGCTAGTCCTCCTTTTCACTAAATATGTTTAAAATCATATTAAAATACTATATACTTTTAATTTAATTTACAATTTTTTTTAGAATTTGGAAGTCTACAAAATGTGTTTGCAAATTAAATAGTAGTTTAATAATTTTAAAATAATAATAATAACAACTAATGTTTTACAACTTGCAATTTTTTTTTTTTTTTGAGAATAGGTACCTAAAACTTTATAGTAACTATTTTATATTTTAAACATGAAACAATATTTGGTATAAATAATTGGTCAATAATTATTGTTATCAGTTTATCTTTTATTTGATGAGGGTAACATTTTTAAAAATATTTTTAGATACATATTAAGTATTATTTTTATTAAAATTAGATGACATTATTGCTAATTATCATTTATCGAAGTGATTGACTGACTCTTTGTGTTAACATAATTTTATAATGCACCTATTTAAGAGTATGAATTAAAAGAAAGTGTTTCCATTTTAATATGCAATTGCCATAGAGTTATTCATACATACAATACAAATTTTCATAATCGTTCATTTTTCAATAAACTAATGTAAAAATAATTAATAAACTATTGTAAAAATAACCGTTTTAATATTGTCTATGATATAATTTAATACCTTAACGACCTATCGCAAATATTATAAATAAATAATTTGATTTGTTGACGGTTACTAAGTAAATTATTAATTGTCATTTTAGTAGCACAAATCAACATTTTGTTTTAGTTTTGAAAAGTTGTTAATTTTAACACGAAAAGACATGATTGGAAGTTTCTCAAACTTTTTTTTAAATTACCTACTTAATTGAAACCAGAAACTAGACGATGAATAATGTATGTTGGATGAATATAAAGACACATAAGGTATTAGCTGATCATCTGAACGGGGTATGTAGCGTACATTTAAATTATTATTGTTATCGTTATTATTTTTTTTATAAAAATATTATTATTATTAATATCTAATATTATTATCAGTGTTATTTATTATGATAATCTCTATTATCAGTGGCGAAACGTCATAGAAGACTATGCCCACTTTTATTTTAATTTTTATTTAAATATCAAATATTTGTCTTGAAGACATACACTTAAACCAAAGTGTATGTTTATTAGCACAGCAATAAGGATTCTTTATTGGTAGCTATTTAGCTATTGGTAGAAATTGTATATATTTTTTTCTAGGTATTTTAATGTGTCATGAACAAAACCCTAATTAACCATAACTTCGTTACTAAGTACAATTTTGAATGTCCACCAACTAATAGCTCTCTGAAATAGTATATTCATTAGTTTTGACTTTTGATCATTATGTTACTTTAACACTATTCAAAAGTCTATAAAACCGTGACTACCTGTGCTCTTTCTTCCTCTCTCTCTTCTTTGGTCTTCTTGGTCCATACACATTTCTCTCCATTTCTCCTTATCGACTGCTACTATCCTCCACTGCAAATCGGGTTCGAATTGTTTTACACCATGTTTAAAAAAAATCTTCCCATCGTAGACGTGGTCTTCCCAGAGGCCGCTTACCGGTGATCTTTTATTCGATGGTTGCCCTTACTAAAGAACCTCGTTTTCTTTACGCATGACCCGCTCACACAAGTTTTCTCTTTGAAATTTATTTTAGAAATCCGGACTTTGAAATAACTTATTTGAATAGCTTCTATAATGTCTTTTCTACGTTCTCCTGTTTGGGTGTCGACACATATATTCTTTTTAGATTTTTTCTCTCAAATACACCTAATCTGCTTACCTCTGCCTATCTAAAGGACAATCTCTCAGAAACATATAAAACTATTGGACGTACCAATGTCTACCTATGTTTTTTATTTACAAAATATAAAAGTACTCTGAAGACTCGCGCCACACTTTTGTCTATTACTACATCTATTGATTCATTTTGTATAGTAGAAAAGTGGCGTAAAGTATTTTTAAGCATGATTTTGTAATTCCCAACTATTTCTTTTATTAAAAAAACAACTCTTTCATTGCTTTATTGAAAGTATTATAAATATAATTTGAAAATGATAAGTCCTGTGTCAAAGTTATCTCCAAGTTTTTAATTGTCACTACAGATTTTAATACTTAATTATTAATATTATAACAATAATCAATCTTAGAACAGCGACTTGTTAAAAGTCAATAACACCAGTCACTACAATTCAATAATAATAATAATAACATCCAAGTAAACTTGCAGTAATTTGCAATATTTAATTGTCTTCAGCAAATAATAAAAATGAATTCACAAAAAATGGCTTCCGTCTTCCACAAATTATTAATCGCACACAATTTCTGATCTGTAGAGATTTTAGTGTAGTCTGCGGAAAACAGTTATCATGCTTACAGACACAAAAAAAAACTATTTTATTATACATAGTAGTTAGTACACACAGTGTAATACAAATATACATGTAGTAAAGTGTAGCCCTGAATTGAGTAACAGTAACATAATGTACATAACAATAATAATAAAAAACCTTCACACCGCATACGTTCATAAACATTGTCTAGTCGATTTAACACACACCAACATTTGTTTTCTTGTTTTATAAATATGTGTTGCTAACACAAGCTAAAATCATAATCAGAACTTAGAACAACACACTTTTACACGTCCGTTAGCGAAGTGCATATGGAAAATCTTATTCTACACACATTTGTTTTATGATAGAATAGTTGTCGCTTATACTGTAATTTTTGTTTTTTAAATCAAATAATAAAGGTAAGTCACAAAATTATGAACTCATAACAGGATTTTTGCTTAGTAAACTCTTAATATGATGGGATACCGGATAATTTAAAAAAATAATAATTATGCACATATAAATAGCCAAATATACTACATTTTAATCTTTAAAAAGTTTTTTAGAATAATGTTATATAATTTAAAAATCAAAACATACAATATATTTTCTACGAATATTATGGTAATCCAGACTAATGTACACTCAAGTTATTTTCCGCTATAAATAGATACGATCTGTATAAGCAAATTAATTTGAACAATAAATTAGATCAAAACGTGTAGAAGATTTAAAAAATGGATACATTTATTACTGACCTAAAAATGCGTAGGTGAAAATATTTAGTATACCGAAAAAAGATTCTTTAACCAAAACCCATATTATAGAGGTATCCTTAACGTCACCACGTTTTTATATCTAAGTTCTACAGCGCCCAGAAAATCACCTAGATTTTCATTCATGCGTTCTTAATGCGACGCTCAGTAAAAATAATGAATGAGTGCAACTGGCGAATGCATGATAATAGGTCGACAAAAATTAATTTCACACCGATGTGACACCCCATAGACCACGTTGTTGTTATTGTTACATTCTGTTTTTGTGTGTTTTATACAGATAAGAGAATATTTTCGAAAATAAAAATAGTTCTAATGTACGCATTATTTGGTGATGAGTAAAACACAGCCCAACGAGTCGGAAAACAGTCTTCGGATAGACATTATTTATACAAGAAAAATCCCCTATAAAACCCCTTGCTTAACGTGTAGCCCGCATTAACATTTTCGTGGACAATAGGTAACGTCGAGCACAAGATGTTAAAGTAAGTCTTCCAAGTTCTCGTGATCCGTGTTTATGTCTCTTCGACGTCTCTTTAGGCAGGCAACTGTCTACAGAGACAAAATGCTCCTCAAAAGCAACCGAACTAGGCCTTAAAAAATCTACTTTCTGTCAATAAAGCCATACGTAATAAATAAATAAAAAAGCGTCGAATAGCGTTTGTTTATGATATTTAATTTTTTTATTACATGACATTCAATTCGTTAAACTCACGTTTTGTTTTTGTTATTTACAGGGTTTTACCGTTGATAGTCGGATTTGTTCTCTTTTTGGCGTTTTCTAATACAACCGCCGATGTCAGCACATTACCACAACAGTAAGTAAATCTGTTGTTTTTCTGGAAAAAAATATGTAGTAAAATAAAATATAATTTAAATGCCAAATTTATAAAATGTAATATTACTAACGAGTAGCTATGCTCTCATTAACTTTGGTCTATGAGGATAAATAATATTTTATGATATTAAAATAAATTTTTTTTTTTTTAATGTATTTATTTGTGTCTGCAGAAATGGCTATCGGGCATTGACTATGATATCGAACGCGACGGGTGGACAGTGTGCCGGTGAATTCAGACCGTTGGACAGTTACTATGTCAAGGACACGTACAGGACCAGAAATTTGAACATCAGATTTGAAAACCGTCGTGTTCAAACGAGAGACGGAAAAGAGCGGTTGGCCAGAGTAGCTACACGAGTCGAGACCCAAACACAAGTAACAGATCATAACGATAGAAGTTCGAGGTTGAGCAGATCGACTTCCTTGCCGGACGTTCGCAGAGAGAGGATCATAAGGAAAGCTCTGGTGGACGTGGTCAGGTCAATCGGTCAAGAAACTCAGCGTAGGACGGTGTTGGGAGAAACCAGGAACGAAAAAAGCAGAATTTTGGACGGCCGTCGTACCGAAGAAAACCGCAGAGTAGACCGACACCTTAAGCGACAGCAAGACATGAGAGTTGACGATAATAGACGGGAAAGACAACTGTACAGAAACGAAGGTCTAGATGCCAGGCGACGAGTTGAGGCAGCAGACAGAAGAGAGGTAATATTACTTGTTTGATTTTATTCATCGTATTTTTTGTTGATAGAGATAATAAGTGCAATTTTGATTTATCGAGTCAGGAGTATATATATATATTTCTAATTATCTTGAACATATTTAAATCATAAAATATAACATTTTTATTTTTAGTTATTTCTCAATTAAAACTTAAACGCTTGATACAAACATTTTAAAAAAGATACAACTTTTAGGCTACTACATTCTTACATGGAAATGTTATTGACCCAGTTGATTCATAACATTTAAATACCAATTTCAAATTATTAATATTTCAATGAAATTATAACCGTGTATTATTTAGGCAGAAACCCCCCATATGCGTTCTTACACATAAATATAAATGTGTGTACAATTTGGTTACGACTGATAAACCATAAGACGTGACCTAAAAATGTTAAACATTTAAACTTAATGGTAGCCTTTTAGTTTTTTCGATTAATCTCAAGAACTATTTTACTTACGATAAAAATGTGTAGAACTTTTATTATGAATTATAAACATATTTCCTATAAAAAATGTTATTCGCTCAAATCCATTACTTTAAAAATACACCAACAATGAAAATATGTTGTGCTATATTAGGTATACTCATCATTATTGTTTTCTTCATGTTTTCGTAGATAGATTCGTTTTTTTAAGGCTTATATAGGCCAATTGCCACTCCCACATTCTCTCTCCACGTTTCTCTATGTGCTACCAACTCTTTTCCATTTATTATTATTTTTTTTTTATTAATGGTAAAGGCTTTAATTACAGGATTATTAGCCTAGAAGTTAATGTACAATAAATTTAGGAATTATTAACATAGTGAAAAAATTTGATGATTTCAGTGGTGTTTTCTTATTTGAATGCTTGGTGAAGTGCGAGAGGATTGTTGAGTTTCTTTCGTGCTTCTCTATATTTGGGGCAGTTGATGATTATGTGTACTATCGATAATATTTGCTTGCAAGTGTCGCATACTGGTGCTGGTTCCTTGTTGATAAGGTATGCATGGGTTAGGTGAGAGTGGCCTATTTTAGCTCGGGTGATGTTTGTTTCATCTCTTCTTTTAATGTTAGTGGGGTACTTCAATTTTTTAACGTTTAGTTTTACATTTCTAAGTTTATTGGAAAGAGGAAGGTTTAGCCAAAAAATTTGCCATTTTTCCATTATTTTGTAGTAAATTATGTTAAAAGTTTCGGGTGAGGTTAATGTCTGGATTTTTGTGGAGAGGGGGGATGTGGTGGCTTCATATGCTGCCGTGTCTGCTTTCTCATTTCCGGGTATTCCTATATGAGATGGGACCCACATGAAACATATCGATAAATTTGTTTCAGATATAAATTTCTGAATGTGTTGAACAAGCTCATTCTTGGATAGGGGTTTGAGATTGATGAGAGGGCGCTCAGAGAGTCGCTGATAATGATGCTGTTGCTTTTGGTATTTGAAGATGTGATGATTTTTAGGGCTGAGTAGATAGCATAAGTTTCCGCTGTATATCTGCTAGAAGAGGGCAGTAGTTGAAAAAAGGTGATTTTACTGTTTTGTGATTACTGAGAAACCCACAACATTTATATTTTTAGAGGCATCAGTGTATAATGGCGTATATTCCGGGAATTGTTGAGCTATTATTTCATTGAAATAACTGCGTATAATTGAGCTGTCAAGACTGTGTTTGCAGTATTCTGTCAGTTGAGTGTTGATGGAAGGCGACCAGAGCCAAGGAGGTAGAGAAGGCCTGATTTTGTGTAATGTTTGTGCTTGGAAATTTAAGTTTTCACTGATTATTTTAAAATTGTCGAAGATTGTGCATCGGTTGGGTATGAGGTTGGTGGGGAGTGGGTTATGGATGACATTTCTGGTGATGTGATCGGCTAGGTTTTTAATTTTGGTTATGTACTTTAAGATGTGACTTTGGCGTCTGAGGTGAAGGGGAGGTTCTCCAGAATAAAACAGTATGCTATCTACTGGGCTCGTCCTGAAGGTCTTTTCCATTTAGTACTCCCAAAATTTTAAGGTCTTCTTTGATTCGGTCCTCCCACCGTTGCCTAGGCCTTCCCCTTCGTCAAATTTTATTAGGTCTCCATTTTGTTACCGTCTGTATAAATTGGCCCTCAGCTCTCTATACATGTCTACAATCTTAATCTTTGGCTTTCGAGTGTGGTCACTTTATTGGGATCGTTAAATAATGTAATAAGTTTTCTGTTTGTCCTTATTCGTAGCCATTTTTGTCATTTTCCTTTGCCCCAAATATTGTTCGCAACATTTTCCTTTCGACATGGTGGACGCACATGCTCCACAGATATAAAACAATCGGACTAACGAGGGTCTTATATAATAATCTAATTTTTGTTCTTCTCGATAATTTTTAGACTTAAATAGTTGGGCTAATAAAAAAAAAAATTGTTTCCAATTGTGATTCTTCTATGTATTTCTTCGTGGCTTACTGTTTATGAGTTTACCCCTAATTACGGACTCATTCAAATGCCAGGTCTTTTTTTGTTTTTTGTATTGTATAACGTATGCTCTCTTCTAGGTACAATTATAAATTGAGTTTTGTTTTCATTGACGATAAGACCAATCTCTTTCGCTGTATCTATATATTACATTTCAGTTTTTCTTTTGAGACTATCCTTTGTCTCTGCTATCACAACTATGTCGTCTGCGTATGCGGCCAATGGATCGATTCATTATACGATTAAAATTATAATATACAATTTATTTAAAATTACATTTTCTAGAAGAAAGAAGTTTTGTTCAAATACCGCCAGATCAACTGTATAGTTTTTATAGATGATTTTATATAATTTAGATAATAAAGGCATATTTTTGGATAAGTTAAAATATAAATAAACAATAAATAAAATCATAATTATAATTGTTTTTATTTTTATTAAAACGACATACAATCACATCTTTATCAATACAAATCAAAATAGTGGTATGACGAACACAGGCCGAAGATGTCATCTTCACTGAAGTAGTTTTTAGTTAAACACAGAAAATTGATTTCTATTTTCTTAAATTGCATATAAACTAACGTATAAATAAATAATAATAAATTTAATGTTAAATATAAATTGTGAAAAAAAAACGATTTATGAATTTAATCATGCATTTTCTGTAACTTCATTGTAATCGCTTTTACAGCTTATCTCCAATTTATAAAATTTGTATGTCCTAGGACCTAGACGACAGAGAACTGGTGTCCTTTTTTGTTACACATATTATCTAAATTCTTTTTTAATTTTTGGGAGGAAATGTTATTTTGGAAGAAGGGGGGAGTATTCGCTAGTTTTAGTTGGGACTATGGTTGGGACCTCAAACCTCTTCAATAAATGTATAGTAAATTCATCCATAAAACTAATCGATCAATGAAGACACGTAAAATAATTTTTAAAAAAAACAGTAACTATAGCACACATTATATATTTTATTGTTGATTTTCTTGTAATAGAATGGATTTGATCGAATAACTTTTTTTAAAGGAAAACGATCAATTTCTTGTAATATAATGGATTTGATCGAATAACTTTTTTTAAAGGAAAACGATCAATTAGGGTACTTACATTTTCGTATATATTATTATACGAAATATTAAACGATTATATAATACTATTTTTATACTGTAAAATAGAATAAATTCAAAAAATTGACCTTTACAATATATAAGATATACAGATTAAATTTTAATTTTGATAAGCCTAAACAAAATGCGTTTACATTATTAGTATTTTAAAAATATGAAAATTCTCAGAATATTAACAATTTAAAATATTATTTACAAAAACCTATCCGTGTATCAACTTAGTAATCTATATTAATAACTTACAAATTTAATGTTTCTTTTCAATTCATCCTTACAAATTATATGTTTACTGTTTAGGGACATATGAGACTTTAGGAGAATTTGCTCTTTTCTAAACAACTGAATCGGTGTTACGTTAATGTACATCTAAAATAAAAGATTCAAACGATTAGCGATTTAAAAATGATAATATAAAAATGGGTAATTTTTTTAATAAATTAGAAAGTTTCTTATAATATACATTCTTTATTATAATGTACATCGCATCTTATCAATAAATATTCGATAAACGTGATCATTTTACATGCACATTAATAGCAAATAAAATAAATAATTTCAATTTTTACAATTCTTACTTAAATAAGGCCTGCATAGTGCATATAATGTTAAAATCTGAATTTTTATAAGTTTTTGTTTAATAGAAAACTAAATTATAAATTCAGCAAAAAATACATTTTTATAATACAAATTAAAAAACATTTGTCAATTCTTAAACTATCTTAAACTTGAAAATGGTTAAAAATAGCGATTTAACTTAAGAACGATTTACTTAAACCGTAGGTTAAATAAACTATAAATAAGCAATGTCCATGTTATGATAGGAAACGCACACAACACAAATATTTTAGTGTGGATTTGGGACACTGGGGGTACTCAATGGTGGAAAGAGTGGTAAAAACGTGTGGCGTAGCTAAAGACAGAATAAAACATATGTGATCCACCAGCAAGCATATGTTTGAAAACCATTCTGAGCCTTATTTTGCAAAACTAACTACAAAAAGAGCTTCTAGCCGTTCCATATGCATTGCTTATCTATAGTAAAGACTCGATTGAAATTCAGTGAGAAACCCCCAATAATATATAGGTCTTTTATTTATAATTTGTTTATGAAAGGGATATTTGTTTATGTAAATATAGTTGATATTATTTTGGATGTACTTTTTTAACAGAATTGATAAATTCGTCATTTATACACCTACAGTTGTTGACATCTGTTGTTTTATTTTCAGAACACGTTCGTGTACAAGGAAGTACAAACAACGTCGTGGTAAGTTACTGTTCTACAATGGATGTACAAATTATTCGTATAAGATTTACTTTTTAATTTTAATTATTTTAATCTTAAATAGTTATATGTGTTAGTTATATGTTTTATTTGTTTCTTTATTTAATGCATACTCGAAACGTGTCAGAATAATATTAAATAATTTATTTGTTAAAAAAAAGTAATTAAAATTAAAATATAAGGTGTACGAATACTTTTCACACTCACTGTATGTTTTAAAAATATATCACAAAATCGAAATATTAATTTTATTAACCACGACTATTATGTTACAGGCCATTTTCCAGTTTTGTTCAGTCCGCCATCGGCGTGCTGGGTCTATACTATTTTGGACTCAATAACAAAAGTGTTAAGTGATTTCTAACGTAAAGAATGTTTTATGTAGTTGTCTAAACAAATTGTAACGTTAAAAATAATAATATAGATTATAGCCAAATATTAATTGCAATAGAAATTATGAATATTTTAAACTCTAAATAAAAAATATACTATAAATAATAAGTAATATGTTACTTATAACATGGTGATAACAAGATTTATTCGTATACAGATAACGGAAGTGAGCTTTAAATATTAAAAAAGTGTATGTGTGTTACGAGGACATGACGTCTGGAATGTAAAAACTTCATTCGGTATTTTTTCGTTTTTTTGTAAAAAAACAAGTAGATTTTAGAACAATTTCATACTATTATTATTTTTATTTCATTAAGGAAACAACAAGTACAATTCTATTTTAAAATATATATATATATATATAATATCATCTTTCTTTTACATTTTTTTATAATAATTAATTATATCTCCTCAATTTCCTTCGGATGGTTTTTATTCGGCCCAATCGGTACCACGAGTGAATCTATATTTTATTATTAATTTATTAATATAATGTTCATGACATTACTATTGAAATAGGATAATATGTCATTTTTGATTGTCATCTTATATAAAACTACTTCGATGACTAAATAAATGAAGAGTGAAAGTGTCAAACGTTCCAAGTGCCAAAGTATAGTAAAAATTGAACTTTATTACTTGATTTGTATTTTATTTATTACCGGAAACACTTTAACATATTTTTGAGTTTTAAATATGATTCTTTTTTTTATAAATAACTATTCTTTACTTGAAAAATTTACAAAATTGTTTCCGGTAATGAATAAAATACAAATCAAATTATAAAGTACAATTTTTATACTTTGGCACTTGGAACGTTTGACACTTTCACTCTTCAAATAGGTTTTAAAGCTCTTCTGATTGAAAACTTATTTGAATATCGGTTTATAATTTATTAATGTTGATCCAGTCAAATAGGTAATAACAACAGAAATTAACGCTTCTTTTGATTTAGTGAAAAAAATTATAAAAAAACAATGCATGACTAAATAAATATAGGTGTGATCTATTAGGATTTAATAAGGTTAATTGTTAAAAGAATAATATTATTACAGCACGTAGGTAAAAACACCAATATTAATAAAACAAAGAGAAAGCAGAGTACATCAATAATTATATGGTGACCAATCTTGCTTTATGAACGGACGCGGGACGAATGACGATGTATAGATAATATTAAAAAAGGACAGATTGACATTTGACAGACTAAAGATGTTATTTCAATTTTTGTGTTTTGCTATTGAACTAGTGAGTAATCAGATTTAAAATTTAAATTGTTAGTTAAATAATATAGTAATTATATTATTATTATTTTACACACCGTATACGAATATTGATTTAAAAACAGTCGATGGACGAAGGACGATGTATATATATATATATATATATATATATAAAAACAATAGTTAGCGATAAAAACCGTGGCTGCCATCGTCGCCGCCGCCACCACAGGTGGGGCTGCTATAACTGTAAAGAAGTTTCACTTCAAAATACAATACTCACTATAAAATGTATAACATAATAATAATAATAATAATAATAATATAGAACCACAAACATTAGTCAAACAGAATAAAACAACCAATAAATAAAAAACTTACAAAAAAGTAAATTTTTTAACCCTTAAACATTGTAGCATCACCATTTTTTGTAACTCCACTTTAAAAAGTTGCATCCCTAATAATAACCATGCGGTATACATCGTACCAGTTATTTCCAAACTCAACATACAAAAGATAAAAACCTTTTTTCTAAAATATATGAAAAATACACTACATTAGTTTAATATTATACAATATGTAACCTATTTTGAACTATAATCTGTTTTTTATCTATAAAGGTTAAATTACTGATTTTTTAGTTTTTTCTTTAACATAATATCTCTGAAGGTAAGTTAGATAAGGATAATTACTTAATTATATGCAACAATTTGTTAGCTAAGTAGTAGGTATTTCCACTTATTATGTAACTGTTATGACTGTTAACAGTTTACCTACAACACATGTTCTAAAACGGCTAAAACAAAATACATTTTTAATCTTGAACATGAATTAATGTTATTACGAATTTTGAATTCATTAAAATCGATATGATTATTGGTCTGTCTTGTGTTTTACAGCGTCATAAACCCCGTTATTAGTTTTACAGTGTACCTGAAGAAAACACATGTACACAACCTAACATAACAGAGTCATAACCAAATTTGTAATTTGAATACCCTCAATTCTTATGGAAGGAGGCGGTACAACAAACTTGAGGTTATTAAACGAATAAGCTCATTAAACGATCCATAAAAATTCCGGCTCGGTCTTATCATTTAGCGTGTCAAATTTGAAAATTGGGTTTCTGGTATTTATAGCGAGGGGCGAAGAGTGAACTTTTCCATTATTGCATCCCCAGGTACCAACTAGATATACGAGTTCAGGTGTGTTTCTTGAGTAGTAAATCGGTATACTAATGTTAACTAACATAGGGTACAAGAAAATTATTAAAAATAAAAGAATAAGTGAAATTTGTATAGTGAACTAACTAATAAACTTAATCACTAATGATCAAGACTAAATTAAAAAGCCAATATAGTGGGGACGGAGTATATTAGAATGGGATAGGTCATAGAGAACTTTTTTTTATGGTACAATTTCTGATATATAGAGTTGCTACGCGAGGAAATTGGTTCAGCAATTTAGAAGAAATCGCGGGTCCAGTCGCAAAATAATAAAAGGGTTTATAAAATGTTTCGAACCTGACAATTTTATCGTATAGGTAAATGGTAATAAGTAATAACTAATAGTGTATTTTATATACACGTGTTAATAATTATATCTATATTTCATTTTAATGCATCCATTTAAAGACAAAACAAAGATAAAACACGTATTACAGTAATATAATTGTAATTAAATTAGAAATTTTAGTTATAAAAGGCGTGTTTTATATATTGAATAATTGATTCCTTTTTTTTTTTGAATAAGTGTTTTAAGTTATCAACTTAGAAAATACGATCGTTTTTGTCTCATAAGTAAAAATCACTTTTATGAAACACTTTGAAAAAATGATACAGTTCACGTCACTGTTGTCGATAGGATTCATCATAGCTGCATTACATGTTCAAAGCGAGCGTAAGCATAGCAAATTAATATCCATTAATTCAACATCTTATATGCCCATTCAAAAAAATGATTATTAAACAAATGACTAGTTAAAAACACATTATGTCTAATTTAAAGAGTACTTATAAATTATTTGTAAAATCAAAACAATAATATTTATTACATACCATTACCCATGTAAACCTTCAGTTTAATACCAACACTTAACTGAAATTCAAAAATCAAATAAATAATAACCCCCATATTCCATACTCACCAAAATTAAAATCCAGAAATAGTTTTATTAAAGCACAGATAAAAATGACTGTAGTGTTTATAATTGTGTTTTTATAGTGATAGGTTTTATGATACATATATATTTTTTAATGAATTATAGTTGTTTTATTATAGATAGGAATAAAAGTGAAATTATATTAAAAGAAGTATCTACCCCAATACATCTAGAATTATTTTCATCATTCTTTTGAAATGTTATGGCATGTAGTATTTTTATTACAAACCTATTACATTTTACAAAAACACGTTTGAACATTATATAAAATTCCAAATTTAAAAATCAAATTTGGAAGAGTTAAATTGAAAAATTGAAATAAATATTCTGACCGATCTTAAGTAGACTTCATGCCGAAATCAAATCTGTTTGCAGAAGTCTTAACGCTTCAATACAATGATCGGGCCGATTGAAGTTAAATGAGTAGTTTTTGGCCGAAAAATTGGCCGGTACCCAATAGCCCTAACTCATAATATACAGTTTTGATAAACAATAATTAGCTGATAGCCATGAAGTGTGCTCTTTTAAGGCCGAGTTCACACTGCAGGGCCAAACGTTAGCGTACATGTCACTTGGGAAATATCAAACACCAATGAAATGTTCGTGAGAGCGTACACGTTAACGAACGTTTAGTGGGGTAGTGTGTACCTGGCTTAAGGCAAATATAAAAAGTTTATTAATTAATTAAGTTAAGTATTTTTCAGGTGGTTAAAATAAAACTTTCTTCTTTTCGACTGTACCAGGCAAATTTAGGTTACTTTATATCAAAAAGTCAATAAAAAAAAAATATTAGTAAAATTGAAAGCTGGCTGGGAGTCATGTTAGTCAATCATCCAGTATTCGTCCCAGTGGTTAAATTGTTATTCGTTATCGGGGGTCTAGACACACAAATAAAAAAATCAATAAAATACTATTTGTCACTTAATACTATAGTAATTCCAAACCCAATGTCTACAGGTGTGTCCTACGAAGGATATCAAGTTTTAAGAGTTAAATTAGCAAATCCAGAGCAAATCGAAATTATCGAACAATTAGAAATGAAAGGCAGTAAGTAATTTTGAAATAAATGATTTCGTTCCAATTTGTATAAGTGGCCAAATTAAATTTTACAGTGGTCGACAGATGGTTAGCCACGCGTACGTTTGTTGATATAATGGTTACAAAACAATACGGAGAATTTGTCAAAAGCCAATTACAAAAGAAATCCTTATTGTTTGAAGTAACTATAGAAAATGTACAAAAAAATATAGATGCGGAAAATCCACCTATAAAAAAAGAAAAAATAGGACGAAATGGTTAATAGCTACAATATTTATACCTATATATGTATAAAAAAAATGTATAAATAAGTATTTACATTATTACATATAAACTTTATTTAGCGATACACAATGCACCAAAATGTGACACAGAAAGCAAAAGAGATACTCTTGTCGACATTTCCTAAAATTGAGTAGGTAAATGCCACTATCTGAATTTTTATTGATTTTAAACATTTTGAGACCCAGTATACATTTAACATCTTGTAGTTAAAATAGTAAAATATGACAAGTTATCAGTGAATTTTTTGTAATTAATTTAATTACTAATTTGACATTAGTATTATTTTCCACTAAGAACATACTAATCGGTGCAGTAGTTTCAGTGATATAGAAGATGTACCTTTTAGAGGCCTGCCAAATGATCTTGAAAACTTTGACCTGTCTTATCTTCGCCAACCGTTTAGCGAAAAATAAATATGGCCATTCTTGCTACATGCAACAAAATAAAATGAATCATCAAAATTGATTAATTTTGTTTGCAAAATAAAACCCTTGAATTTTACACATTCCACAAAAAAATCACTTATATTAAACTTTGAAGTTTGCGAATATTTTGTCTTTTTTTAAAAGCAACTTTGCCAACAATAGGTCCCTTTTCGCTTTCCGCATCACATACAATTTCACGAAATTATAAAAACCATTTTAAAAATGTTTACAAATTGATTTTTTAGGGCTCAACTTCACATTTGAAAATTACCATAATGTGGAGGATGTACATGCATATATTGACAACATAGCTAAAGAATATCCGAGTACAGTAGAAATAATAACTATAGGGCAATCATTTGAAGGCACTCCGTTAAAAGTTATTCGAATAAAACCAGAACAAAACGTCACAGTTGCAAGGAAAATTTGGGTTGACGGAGGAACACACGCAAGAGAATGGATTACGATATCATCAGTATTATATTTGGTTAATGAACTGGTATTTAATCGGAAATCGCTAGAACCCCATGTGAAAAATGTAGAATTTCACATTCTACCATTAATAAATCCCGACGGGTTAGTGAATGAAACAATAATTGTAATTCAAGTAACTCTTAAGAGGATACCACATATTTTTTTAAGATACAATTTTGAGTACACTTGAAGCTATTTATTGACATTTTCATGTCTTAGCTCTGGCACATAACCGAAAAAATTATTAGTTACAAAAGCGTATCTGATAAGAGATTACAGATAAGAGATAAAAGATATGGGGTTGGGGGTGGTAATGAGGTTAGAGGTGGGAATGGGGTTGGGGTTGGGAATTAGCTCTGGCATATAACCGAAAAAAGTGTTACCAAAAAAGCGTTACGCTGTTATTTTAAATTTTGTGTTGTATTTACAACGATCAAACTAGAACTAAATAATAAATTTAAAATAGTTAAAAGGGCCAAATTCTCTATAAATTGTTTCAGGCCAGATATTATGAAAACACTAAAATATTAGCCATAAACTTGATATGTTTACTAGCCACCTTAGATACTAGCTTGTTAATATACTATTTCATTATCTATAACTCCACCACTACTAATAGGTATTTCCGAAATACTATTTCGGTACTTCAACGAGACATGAAAATGCTCTTTCGTGATTGCAGACTCGGCTGAAAAAGGTTTTTAATACACGTATTCGTATTGTAGTAATGAACTAATGATACAGTGCAGTTGCTATGATTAATTAAGTTATTAATTAGTAATTTAAAAAAATGTATTTGTGACATCAACAAAACTCATGTATCGTGAAGAAGTGTAGTATTATGGATCTAGTTTGAAAGATCGTAAAGACGTGTGGTGACCTCCATCGATGATTTCGTGATCCCACAATGGATGAGACTGCCTGTCCGATCGCCGTTTTGATCAGTTTTATAGTGCCTGAACGAACCAGTAGACGAATACTGTGCACCTGTTTGGCTAACAAGTGCTCACGTGGCAAAAGTGGACGTTCAGCTCAAAAACACCATGAGGCTAATATTTAGTACGTTAAAATCGACCCCCCCCCCCTTATTGGCTCTCAGCACTGACAAAAATTGCTCCCCATCACTTCGAAGAGCCAATGCCTTGGTGAAAGAGTTCACAAAAATAAACCTCAATCACGACCTACCTTTTAACACCTTTATCGATGACGCGGTGAAATCGCGACTTAAGTCCAGAAATCCCCCAAGTAACAGATTTAAATAACGCTCTTTTTGACATGATAGTCAGGTGGAGACAGTCGTAGGCGAAAACAATGGAAGGAAACCCCATCTCGAGCAAACTACCACAGGTTTCGATCTACCACATAAACTTTGGTGCACGCTAGATAGAATACGTACATTTCACGGCAGGTGTACAGACTTCATGTACAAATGGGGCATAGGAAACACACCAGAATGCGAATGTGGTGCAAAAAAGCAGACTATCAAACACATTGCACTTGAACGTCTAATTTGATCTTATCAGGGATCCACAAACGACTGCCTAACGAATAACGATTCCTGCTACATTTGTTCAGTGGCTGGAAGGATTGGATATTCTAATGTTAATTATGTTAGATAATACGCTGAAACTGTTTTGTTTTATTTGTTTATTTTATCTGTTTAGTTTTGGCAAGCGTGTAATATATCATACCATACACTAAATAAATAAACTTATAGCGACTTATTGACCAGTGGCACGACTGCCCTCAGTTAAAAATAATACACTCTTGGTGTAAACAGTAATGTTTGATTTAGATATACTTATTCACATGAAACAAATCGACGTTGGCGTAAAAACCGTAATGATAATGGGGATAATCAAGGGTTGTTCGGCTGTGTCGGAATAGATTTGAACCGTAATTGGCCATACCATTGGGGAGAAAGTGGGTCAAATAATTTTCAATGCGCAGATGATTATCGTGGACTAAAAGCTGGATCTGAACCCGAGACTCGAGCTATAGTTCAGTACATTATGAATGAAACCAGTAATTTTATGGTTATTAACACAAACTTATGTTTCTTTTATAAGGAAAAACAACGGTAAGTTATTATAATCAAACATATAATTTTCTAATTTAGGGATTTATATCATTCCACAGTTACGGACAATATATATTATATCCATGGGGGTACTCTAAAGACGAGTTGTTTGATCAAGGCGAATTACACAGAGTTGGACAAGCCATGGCTTCATCGATAAAAAAAGCAACCACAATGGAATATACTGTAGGATCTGCTGCATCATTATTATACATAGCACCAGGTAATTAAAAAGCTTTCAATACAAACTGTCGATTATTTTTAAATTTTATCATTTATCTTAATCAAACTAACAAACATTAACGGACATTTTAGGAGGATTTTATGATTGGGCAAAAGGAGTAGCTAAAATTAAATATTCGTATACAATAGAACTGAGAGATACAGGAAAATATGGATTCGATTTGCCTGCATCAGAAATTGTACCTGTTGGAAAAGAAGCATTTGCAGCTGTTTCAACATTAGCTAAAGAAATACATTTAAGTTAAATAAAATACTTATACTAATATATGTTACAACAAAAATATCTTTGTTTAATTTAACATTAAAGTTTTAATTACACAATCAAATAGTTCTTTTTATTAGGTTATTATAGATATACTCATAGTACTTTATATAATTGAAATAAATTAGATTAATTCATTCTAATTTTAGCTCTTAAGTCCTAAATTTACGCCTAAGACATAATAAACCCAAACAAAGCTACCTGTATTTTTAAACAACGTTGATACAATCAGATCATTTTTGGGAATTACAAGTTTAATATTTAAAACACGATAAATAGCAAAATCGGGTTTCACATAGATTTACTTTTAAAATGATGTACTCATCGAGTAAATTGAGTTAGTGGTTCAAGAAATATATCTAGTTTTTAGAAGCCTTAATAGATTTTTTTAAAGTAAATATTATCAAATTGAAATAGACCAAATTGAAACTTTTTTAAAAATGGCATATTTTTGTTAATAAATCTTTTGTATCGACATTTATATTTAATATTAATATTAAGACTTAAATCATTCATAACAAAATATGATTTATGCAATGCACATAGGTAATAAAGATAGGTACTTACTTGACTTGAGGTATTTAAATTTTAAATTCTTTATTATCTTTGTAAGTTATAACTTCTCAATTCATAAACATTACTGAATATTCGTTCTATTTGATCAAGATACGCCTTTACTTGAATATTTCTTTCGTTTAATTTTACTCTGTATCGCATTTGTAAATTGTCAATTTCGTCCAATAGATTACTAATAATAATAGACAATTGCGTCTCTCTTTTTAAACTGCGACTAATTATTCCATTTAACAGATTCTCGTAACACTTTAACTTTTTTTCAATCTAAATAAATAGTAAAAATAGTTTAAATAAAAAGTAATAATACTCTAAAAGTTTATGTTGCATAAAACATTATTGGTTCCATAAACCCTTTTTAGAGCACGAAGTGATAAGGTTTAAGGTTTAAAACGTACGAACGTTTTAGCAAAATTTTTTTTAGACGTCCAAAAAAAAAAAAAAGATAACATTTGGGCTATACAAATTATAACACTATTAAGTATTTATTATTCAATAATAATAACTGATCAACCGTAAAATTGGAATAGTTAACAAAAAAGTAGCAATTATTTTAGTTAGTTGACTAAACGCGACATGTGTTAATAATGTGTACAGATTTTTAAGAAAGTTGTATGCGTTGTAATAAGAACCACGCTAAATCTACCTTTAGAATAATATTCAGAACTTAAGTCTAAACACTACGTTAAAAAATGAATTTAAAAAAAGATTTCATCCCTTCTAAGGGAATGGGTTTATGACATTTCTATGATTGAGCAATGTTAAAAATGTACACGCCTCTAGATACAAACGATTGATCAAATAATTTTAGTTTGGATAGTGTGTTAACAAAGCTTGAAAATAATAGTAAACACGTTGGCCTTTAAAAAATATTAATTATAAGTATTAAAATTATAAATAAACAATGACGTACTTCTTTCTTTAGAACCCTTTCACAATAGTAATTTAGATCCTGATATCGAATTTCCCAATTAAGTATTTTTTTTTCCTGGTTCAAATATTTTTCTTCAAGTTCCTGATATCGAAGCTGTATAACAATTTCATAAATTTCAGTATACACAAAATTCAAATAGTAATTAATAATTATTAACAAATATTTGTTTTTAATATTACTTTATAATAATTTAACGCTTCTTTTAAATTCGTTTCTTTGGTCTGATCGGATTGTTGAACACCGTTTTGATTTTCACAAATCATATTTTCTAATCCTTTATGACAGTTTAGTATTACACTACACACTGATGTTGTTTTTTTAGTTTCATTGACTTCAGAATCCTAAAAATAAATAGTACTTAAGAGTTTCAGAAATTTTGTTAGTTTTCCAAAAAATAGCTTACAACACAGTTATACCAAAATAAAATATAACAGACATTCATTAACTATGAAATAACAATTTAAAAAGTACGTATGTAAAAGACACTTCAAATAATAATATAATAAAATACATAATAATAACTGACACTTAAAATATATTATGCTCGTACAATACATAAAGTTAAAGTTAGTGTTCATTATCAACGCCTAAAAATTATTATTATAGACCTATTTACAGCCAAAAGCTACGTTTTTGAAATATCATATACATATTAATAATGTTAGAAAATTAAAGTGTAACGCAGTAGTAACAGTAATATTAAACACTACCACATGTATTTTTCTTATAAAAAAAGTATTTGTGTAAAAAATACGATTTAAAAATAAATCTAATTGCCTATTCATTAAGTTCAATATTCAATTGTCATTCATATTTTATATTTTTCGCGACGTGACAAAAAAAAATTGTTAATTGATAATTATTTTTATTATTGTTTAAAATAAATATTTATAATAAACACGCATTGTCGTGAAAAATAACTTGTTCACAATTCATAATTCACACAAGTTTTGCAAAACTGACATTGGAACTTCTCCAGTGGGCACTGCTATAATTTTGAAAGTCGCCTTATTTTACCCTGTTGACCTACATTTTATGTGACTAAATATTATAATCTATCTGCGTTCTACTTATGAGAAGTTGTACAAGACTTGTTGTACCGTCAGTACAAAAAAACAATAAATTACAAACATTAGTATGCATGTGGTCAACAGACTTCTTGGAATGTGGTTTATTAACTGGTGACCGCGCGGGTTACTGACACATTTAAGTATTTAACCGCTATTTCCATAAGTTATTTATTTGACTTTCTCGGCAAACAATGGATTAAAAAAAAATTCCCCATACAATTAAAATACATTCATAAATTAATAAAAGATTTAAAAAACATATAATTTCAGTTGTTACTGTTCAGTGTATAAAATAAGCATAGGCAAATCTTATGTCATACTAACATGATGTGCGGTATTTAAATGTCGAGTTTTAATGAACAGTCGAAGCCATTCAGAATGGGGTCTTTCATATTATTATTAATTAAGATAATTTCATAGGCGTTATTGGGTAACAAAGAACAAATGAAAAAAATTAATTTCTACTTTCACATGTAGAGTACAAATAAAGTAGAATAAATCGCCATCGTCACAACCAATTTTAAAAGAAAAGTACTTATATAATTATTAAGACTCTGTATACAAAATCCATGTGGAACAATAATAGCTTAACAATAATGACTTGAGAAACTTTTGTTGTTGTTTTTTATAATTAGTTAACAGAAAAGTACAATATTAAACTGTTCACTAGATAAGAGTGTGAGAAATATTGCACGATTAAAGACATTTTAATTTTTAATCACGTTTCAGTCAGTAGGAAGCAAACGCAAATTTGGCCAGTACCCACATCAGGTATCATAAATATATACCTACCAAAAGGCGTGGCTTCATAAGGAGAACAGATATCACGATACAGTCCCGGTTTTGTTTGCATTTAAACTCTTCCTGTAGTCGTGTTTTATCCTCTTTTATTCACTCAAAATGAATAGTCACCTTAGAGTAATATACTGTGTAGTTGCAGTTTTAGTCATTTCAAAATCAGTTTATAGTGATAATAAAAAATCAGACGAACAAGAAACGGGTTTACAAGAAAAAATCATCTACACCGGAGATCAAGTGTTAAGGGTGGAACAAGTTAATTCAAAACAGAGGAAAAAGATTAAAGAACTTGAAACACAAGGGCGTAAGTACATAATTATACGTTTTAATGAATATCTTTTAAAGTAATGTAATTTTATAGTGGTCCAAAAATGGTTTACTACTCCAACGTCGGTAGATATTATGGTGAAGAACGACAACAAGGTATTTGTAAAAAGCGCATTAACCAATGAATCGTTACCATATAATATATTTATCGAAGATATACAAAGAGCTATAGATGCAGAAAACCTTCCAATGAGCGATGACGATGACGATCAATCTGGCAGAAAAGGTTAGAAAAGTAAAAAATTTAATAAATTACATTAATTCATTATAATTTATAATATGTAATTTTAATAGTTATTTAAGCCTAAACATTATCTATAAAAGATATACAAAAACTCTAAAAAAAAGATCTGTAAAACACCTCAATAATAAAGTTAAACTCATTTAAGATACTTAAAGATTATGTAAAAATTTAAGAAGTCTGAGTTTAAATTTGGCCCGACTATAAATTTTATACGTATTTTAATGTTTAATGCCGAAAAGTAATGCACAGTACACGTGACCAAATACTAAGATAAATTTTTCACCATATTTTTGTCGCAAAAAAAACTAAAAGAATTGCGAGTTATATAGGTTACGAATGTGCAACGACAGAAAAACTTGAATACGATTATTTAATTACTTTTGATATACAAATTAAAACAAAAACATTTTTAACCACCCAAATAAAATCATTTTTTAAATATTTGTACTTCGCCAAATATACTTTTTTCTCATGTTTTCTATGGACTTTTTACTGATCACTATACGTCACGGTGCGGCTAAACCAATTTTAATTTTAAGTCTTTGCATACAATTTATTTTTTTTATCATGATTGTACACCCCTAAATAATTTAATACCAAAAACAAAACAAAAATAAAAACATTTGGCATTTTGTTTTGTTTTTATACAACTAATATAATAGGAATAAATTCTGAAAATGTAATAATTTTCATTGAAATTTGTTTTTAATTATTTTATAATGTTAATTCAAATAATAAATACTAATAATAAGCTAATTATAGGCTACATGAGCTTCAATTTAAACATTCAGAGCATTACATTTCCGACTGCCTGCAGTAAGCGACGACAATAGTCCGGCTGGTTCTTGTGGACTTTATATTTCTTCTAAACAGTTTTGAAGTCGCAGTTTTGGTCTGATGCTATCGCTTACTCATCGTAAAAGTCTAATCGTGACTGAGTCTTTGTGCAAAAGTTTTCAATATTGTAGAATACGGTATGCACGGAGGTATGTTACGGAGGCTCCAAATTCCATATAACTTAAAGTAATCGATATAAATTTTGAAATTAAGATCAAGCAGCTTTCCAAAAAGTATTGTTACGATTAATTGAAAGTTACTGGAAATTGAACAAATTTCAAGCAATCTAAAGAGCATTGAGAGCGCAAGACATCAAGTTTTACAACTTAATTTTGCAGGAGTTTTCAATGAAACCTAAACCACCGTAAATTATGTCTCGTTCAACATTACACAATTTTTCCCATGCTAAGGTAGCTTCGTTAAATTCGTCTAACATATGTTAAACTCTATATTTACCACACGGCACAACCAGCATCAACTGAACCTCGAGTGACGGTATGATATAAAAAATTAACTTGACTGTATCGCCATTGAAAACTGGTTGATTGATGCAGTCATATATTTCTTTGCACATACTTTTACTTTTCCTGTATTGCACTAATCAGTATGATTTTTTAATACGTTATCAATAGTTCTAAATGGGATACGCTTACTAAAATTATTTTTGTGAGCAACAGAGACACAAGTTGTGTGTACAGGGATCCACGCTGCTACAAGAACTCCCAGTTGTTATAATGACAAGTTTCAAGTCTGCCGCAACCATACCATCAAACTTGTTGATATTGATTGTCATCCATAACTGAGATACATCTTATAGTTCTCTTATGAATATTGAGCCAGTACAAGGATAACATTTTATCATTTTAGAATATCCCGTATTTTCATTCTAGAATATCTTTAGAAACTTTTTGGAAGCTACATCATTATTATCTGAATTAATATTATTTAATAATAATAACTAGGTTTGACTTCAAAATAATTAAAAACAAATTTCAATGTAAACTGTTAGATTTCCATAATTAATTTTAGCATGGAACATGCTTTAGCCTTGGTTCTCCAGCCTGAAAACGACACTAAATAGCGGCATTAAATTGCAATACTGAAGTAGCGCACCTAACCTAAACGTATAATAAATAACATATAAGATGTCATTGAAATCATAACGAGTCGTCGTCGTCATTCGAAATGTAAAATATTGATAAATGTTGCCAGTAAATTTATTAAAGCCAGATATTATAAAACTACTAAAAAAACGTTTGGCCAGAACATATAATTAAAACTATACTATCATCATAAACCACAGGGAGACTAAAGATCAGAAATAATCACTATTCAGAAGCCAGAAGAAGCACCGTACTTTTTTTGAAAACAAATTTACTTATCAGTATCGTATCCGGATATATATAAATATTTTTTAATATTTTATTATTTATTATAACCCTCAATTCTACTTTTGCACTCGGCATGCACCCATAGATAATAATTAACACAATAATGGATAGGCCACTCCTACACTAATAACGCACAGATCGCAGTCGGGAATGAGATATATTCAGACAGTCCATTTATCTGTGTTCTTCTCGCACAGGGTATGACGTTGTCATCCCTTTTAACTTTAAAATATTTATGTTCATGTAAAAACAACTAGTTTGACATTTCAATGATGATAGTTGCGTCGTTTTAAGTATTTTTTTTTTATTGGGAAACTTCTTTCAATTTTCAAACATACATTTTGATACTATAGTAACTTAGTCATTTAAATAATAATTTTTGTGTATAAAATTGGTCATTTAAAAAAATATATATTTAAAAGGCAAGAATTATTACAAACAATTTTTTAACGGACACGCCTAAATTTCCTAATTTCCCCATAGCAACTCCGCCGCTCCTGTCCATAATTATTCTATGTCTCAAAACCAATTAAAATGCGGTTCTAACCAGCCAAAACTGACTTTCTAAACAGGTATATAATTCATACCATAAGTAATTAATCGAACCCAAACTGAGAGAATTAATAACCAATTTAAAAAAACAAACCCAAAATCAATTAACTTAAAAATCCGATGTTCAAACTCAATTAAAATTGATTGCATTTTCATAACGGAGTCTGTTAACTAATTAAAATCTCGATAATATCGTAAATCGTAATACCCTTAACCACAACAAATAATAGGTACACTCAAGCGCATACGCGTATTTCGATAGCATTAATATTTATTGTGGTTAAAGGTTTTTAAATACTTTATTATTTTAGGATCTTTTCAAGTTTATCACCTTATATACTTAAAAAAATAAAAATTAAAAGTATCTCGTTGTTAATCGACGTACCTATCTCTCGAAAATGGCATGGGTAACAATAAATGTTTTTTTTTTGTAAAAGCTGAAAAAAAAAACAACTTGTTTTAGCTTGTACTCGACCTAAATTGATGAGATTTCTAAACTTGTTTTAAATACCAAACTAAAAACAATACACATCGAAAACCAGTTTCCTAATCATGATCAAAACCCCATTTTTCTTAAAACCGGTTTCAAACCAAAACCCATTTTTTCTTAAAATTTGTAATATTAACCAAAACTAAATCTATTCTTATCTAAAACCAGTTAGAAAAATTATGGCCAAAACCCATAAGAAACCTAACAATTTAGAAAATGGCAAAACAAAACCAAATATTATAATACAGGTTTATTGTACATTGAGGTCTATATCGGGTACTGTCCAGCCCAATCAAGGCCTGCAAAACTGAAAAATATATTAGTCTGTTGCTACATTTAACTGACGCTTGTTTTTTGTATTTCGCAGTAATTATACACTTCTATGAAATCCAAAAATAAAGTTACCAATTGAAGACCTTGAGGAAACAACAAGACATATCCGTTTTTCAAATTTTTTTTTTTTTCAAAACGTTTTCAATTCTAAAAAATATTGTTTAGAATTTTAATTGTTTTAAATAAAAAAAAAATGTTTAAATAAAAACGTTATAAAAAGGACATGTCTTGTTGTTGCCCCAAGGTCTTCAATTGTACACCAATGATTTCCACCTATTGACTTATAATTAATTTTAGATATTAAAAATTGTATTTTCAGCGCACAACTTCACATTTGAAAATTATCATAAAGTAAAAGATATATATTCGTACATTGATTACATATCTCAAGAATATCCGAGTATAGTGGAAGTTGAAAATATTGGTTTGTCCGTTGATGGCACTCCGCTAAAAATCATTAGAATAAAACCTAATCAAAATACAACTGCAGCCGAGTCTATTTGGATAGATGGAGGAATACATGCACGAGAATGGATTGCTGTGTCTTCAGTGTTGTATTTAGTTAACGAACTAGTGTATAACCATGAATCTTTGGAACCTCATATGAAAAATATAGAGTTTCATATTCTACCAATAGTAAATCCAGATGGGTTAGTACATTTAAAAAAAAAGTATATATTATAAATTAAAAATTTGTTATTATCTACCATAAAATATATAATTCATATTTACATATATTATTTTATAAATATTAATTTAGTTATATAAATTTATAATTAGCTTATATTAAATCTGCACCATGAACCATCTGCTGTGAATTACTGTTCTCTTTGTAAGCTCATTTATGTTAAATGTACGTTTAAAGTATATATTTTAGTACTTGTAAATATTAATTAATTACACTGTTATTCATAAAAGAAAAAGATACTATTATTAATGAGAGGAGGAGTGGCCAAGTGGGTAAGGCGGCAATGTGTTAGCGGTCACTGTCGCCGGTTCGACACTCAGTCACGAGCGCTCGGTTTGCCGGGAGAGCAATCATCCGATGAAAAGGAACTACCATCCCCCTCTTCGGCGACGGATTGACGACACGTCCCGGTTAGCGAATTTGTCAAGAAACCATCTCATGATGGCAGCGTTAGGCCTTCATGGCCTGTAAAAAGCTACATGATGATGATAATGACTATTATTAATGAAATATTGTAGTTAAATTGAATAGGAATTGGACACTAATACTTATTTGTACTACATGTAGTATGTGAATAGTTTATTTATGAAAAGTAACAAGTACAAAAGTAGAACATTTGGAAAACTGAAAAAATATTTTTAATTTAAAATAATGTATTAAATCTATCTGAAACATTACAACATTTTACTTGTTTTCTTTAGATATAATTATTCACATGAAAGAGAACGTTTGTGGCGCAAAAACCGTAATAAAAATCAAGGTAGTAGCTGTTTTGGAGCAGACTTAAATCGTAATTGGGCCTATCATTGGGGTGAAAGCGGAGCAAGTAGATACAAGTGTTCAGAAATTTATCGTGGCTCAAAAGGAGGATCCGAACCAGAAACTCAAGCTATTGTTCAATACATCATGAAAGAATCCAGTAAATTCAAGGTTTATATATTTAAAAAAATTTCATTTTTAATATCATAAATAAAATTAAAAAAGTAGTAACTGAATAATGAAACCTATTACTTTAGGGATTCTTAACATTTCACAGTTATGGCCAATATATCCTGTATCCGTGGGGATATGCTAAACGCGTACCTTCTGATCATGTAGAAATACATAGAGTTGGACAAGCAATGGCCTCGGCAATAAAACAAGCAACATCGATGGTTTACACTGTAGGAAATAGTGCAGCACTCTTATATCCGGCTGCAGGTAACTTATATAAGTTTTTATTCAAGTTTTTTATAACTCTGTTTCAATTTTCAAATGTTTAATTTTAGGAGCATCTGATGATTGGGCAAAAGGAGTAGCAAAAATTAAATATTCTTATACAGTAGAACTGAGAGATACGGGCAAAAATGGTTTTATTTTGCCTTCATCAGAAATATTGCCAGCTGGAAAAGAAGCTTATGCCGCTGTTTCAGCGTTAGCTAAGGAAATTAGTTCAGAAATTTCTAAGGATTTATGATATTATAAAAAAGAAAAAAGAATGATCAATGAAAATATCATTACCTTAGATGTCAAAACATTGTTGAATGGAAGAATTGAAATATTGTCATCCTCGCAGTTTGTTATAGACTTGTTCATACTGAGGCCCCCTAATATTTCAAAAATATATATAATAAATTAATTATTGGTGAATTTAATTTTTACAATTTAGAGCTAATAAAGTATTTTTTAGATGCAATTATTAAAATTACAAAAATAACTTAACTCTTTGAAGGGCAAGAAATGTCACAAATAAAAGACTCAAGGACCAAGCTAAAAACGATAATATCAGAAAAATTATTGGAAAAAAAATTATAGGACACAACTGAGAAATCAAAAAAATAAGTAACCGCATAAACAATTAAAAAAAAATATATATATATAAGTGATTACCTACTTTAACCACCTACTCTACAGGTCCATAACAAAAGTGGGTTATATTTGAACCACCTCATTGAGTTAAAATAAATATACATCTTACAAAACCATTACATTTTTTTCATAGAATTACCTGTTTTAGAATTCCTGACAGTCATTTCTTTTATTTGATTTTTAGCTTCTTTCTTTGCTGAATTGTGATGTGATAAAGAGGTAAGTTGAGCTGTATTATTATAGTCGAAACTTGAAATGTCAGTTGAATTTGATATTTTGTCAACGTCAGAAATTGATTGAAAATATGGAAGAGTCTCAGTAATTAGTTTATCAGCTTCACTCAATAGATCATCAATGTTTCTATGTTCTGACTCTCCTATATTAAAAATTAAAAGTTATCATTAACTTCTATAGTGTCAAATTCTCTTAGAAAGTTAAGATTGATTTTTATGCAGATAAATCATAGAAAGAAGGTGATATGTATTTTTCTACACTATCTAAATTCTTTTAAAAATGGCCAAGTCAGACCCGGGTATATTATAAGGATTTTTGTAAACAATGCATTAAATTTTGAATATATTGAAATTAACAATCCGTACATTTATAGTTGCAAATAGGGTGGGGTTGGGTGTGTTACATATTTATACATTACATTCCTTACACTACAAACCATTTTTTGGAGAAATTGAAAAAAATTAAGTGGGATAATAATATATACATCCATAATATATACATTTTAGTGATTTTTATAATAAAAAGGGGTTCTGCCCTCTATTTTGAATTTTTATTTGTATCTAGACCTCTTTTCTGCCTTTTTTCTACATATACCTTCTTACACTCGACCTATAAATTATAATAAATCAAAATCCTAATTTTTTTACTAAAATTAGTATTTAAACTTTAAAGGCATAATAAAAGTATGTAGTAAGACATACAGTTTTCAACAAATTTGATTGAAAAGCTTTTATATTAGATAACAAAATTGTAGGTTAACATAATTAATTATTTAACCTAAATAAATTTTAGGTTACTGTATAATAAAAATATATTAGATTACTTTCTAAAACTATTATTTTTCAAACTCAAAATTTTCATTTTACATATTATTGAATAATATATACTTTATCAATAATTCAAAAAAGTTATCTTCAACTGCAAAATTGTTTTAAACATCACAAACAGCAATTTAGAATATACTCTGTATTAGACTTTTATAGTTCAGATGACACCAAATAAACTACTTATCAGGGGCAGATAGGTCCATAGGGAAAGAGAGATTTTCCCTATGATTTTGTCTATCTCCATCATCGACGGTCTCATAGTACCATCCATTTTTTTTTATAAATAAATAAATTTACAATGAAGATATAACTATAATTATGAATTATTGTTATTATTATATAGTTTCTCATAAACATTTTTTTTTATTCTGGTGCCTGGAGGCCCCTTAAAATATTTTCCTGTGACAAAAAAACTACCTATCCGCCCCTGTTCCTTAACTCTTATTTAAGTAATCACAAATTATTCAAATTAAATTTATAGATGATTACTCCCCTTTTATGTGTTTACCTGTTAGTGCTTTTATGTCACATCCTGTTTTTCCAGAGTATAATAACTGTTCCATCTCTGAAATTAATGACTCTATACTTAAAGACAGCATCATTGATAGTTATTTAACTGCCACAAATACTATACCAAACTACTATACAAATACTATGCCACTTACACTATTATAAATAAAAATATTTTATTAAAACAAATAGTTGATTAAATCAACAAAAATATGTTGAAATTACTTTAATTATTTATCATAAATGATACAAGGATACATACGCTAAACTGTACACATTAATAACAAAAATATATCTGTATGTAGGAATGATCCAAGCTGATGTTCGTTAGATAATTTATATTTTATTGATTTGATTATATTGCTATTGACAAACATTAGAATCACTAATCCGCACTATATAATCTTGATTTGTGATTCATGCTACCTATTACGTTTGTTTGTTTTGAAAAAAAGTGTATACTAATTAGTAATTAGTGTAGTCAGTAGTGTCTGATCGAAGTGTAAGGGGTCAGGGGTGTGATGAGTGATCAGGTGTGGTATTTCAAAACAAACGTTTTTGCCTTTTGGTGTAGATTAATTAACCGATAATTTATTTCTATTGATAGTAGAATTGATTATAAAAATTAGTTGATAATAAATATGATAACGACCAACACCGAAAATTAAGTATCACAGTAATTACTATGTATAATCACTTATCACACCTACTCTACGTCTACGGTCGGTGTGAAAAAAGTGTACACTAATACAACACTTTTTTAATACATACGGCGTGTACCGTGTACGACTACACTATTTTAAAACGAACGCTTGGGTGTACACTTGTTGTGAAAAATTGTACACTTTTTGTCAAAACGAACAAACCTATTGACTATCGAGTTCAGTGCTGAAGGTTCGGTAAAATTATCTTTTTTAGTTGCCACTTAGCCAATCTATTATCTAATCAAAGCGGTCGTCGATAGGGTTTAATAATCAATAAGTGTATCCTAGAAGCATTGATTAAATATACATGTATATTTAATCAATGCTAGAAGAAATATAAAACTAAAAAAAAAATATTTGAAGAAAAATTGAATTATTAAAGATTTACACGAGTTGGCTAAAAGACAAAGCTATAATTTATAAAGTTACAATAATATCAAGAAAAAAAGTGTAGAGCCATTATTACTTATTGCGTAACATGCAGATAAGTAAAATAATAAAAAAATTACTGAGTTTTATTAAAGCTTTTTGAGGAATATTTTTACATTATTTAATTCAAAATATAATGATCCTGCAATGCAATCCTAACCTTAATATTAGCGACGGTGTATGTATGTTATACAAATGTTATTTAAAAGTTATGTTTTTACTATAATACATTAAACTTAAATATTTTAACGATAATGACATGATTTCATAGTCGAAATATATTTTTATTCATTTCAAAGGTTTAAGTGCTGTATAATAATTTTGTCAATTGTGTAACCTATCAGTCGCGCGGTTTTCAGTCACACCAGCCATTTCTAAGGAATAAAGTGTAGGCAATTTTCAAAAAATCTTAATTTAGAGTTTGAACTATAATGTATATTTATAAATACAGTAATGAGGATACTTTGTTGATTGGCATTTTTTTTTGTCAAACTATCACAGCCTTTTCTATCGGATAAACTATAATTTCCCCCCATCAAAACTGCTTTGCGCGGATTAATTTTTCTCAGGCTTTATATATAGGAAGTTAAGGAAAGAAATTCATGCATATTATACATGAAAAAATTATCTGTGGTCCAGCATCCGTATTTTTCCATATACCTAATACAACCGATGCTATATCATTTTTAAAAAAGTCCTTTCTTAATTTTTTAATTATTTATTACCTGGTTGAAATTTTAAAAAAGGGACCATGGTAGAGCATAGACAATGTTGTATTATGTGAAAATTTGGTTTCTTAGTTTTGATTAGTCTTAGTAAAATTAGGACGCGAAAGGCGGGTTTTTTGAATAAAATAACGGATGTATGACGTCCTCTTAAATGAAAAGTGACTTAGGTAAATTTTTCACGTCTGACACAAACTAAATTTTTACCCCGCGATAGATACTATTGATTATTATCTATGTGTATTATAATATTACAATTATAATAATTGTATTATAATATTACATTATATTTATTATATTATTATATTATATTATTTATTTTTTACAGATACATACAATATGTTATATTGTTATGTATAATTTATAAATAACAGTTGCTAACAAACATACAATGTAGAAATATTACTTTTTTTAATAAAATTGATAAAGTAAGTAGGTACTAGAGTTCTAAATCACAAAAATTGAAAAATCGTTGAGAATTTAAGTAACGTAATATAAAAATACTAATTGGCTTTTTACCAGATACTAGTTACCACTTACCATTTCTAAACCTGTAGAATAGAAGACGGAATTTGATATCGGTTATAGCAAAAGAGATAACTGATAACGTTTACAAACAAATTTCTGAAGAATTAAGACATCATTTCATTAATTAATTAATTATTAATAAAAGAGTACCTATTTATTATTATTAACTGTTAGATTATCTGATTGAAATTCTTTCTCACATATATTTAACAATATTACCAAATTTGTTTGCGATTACAGCTTAACATTATCATGGCATCCTCTTCAGGTTCCGAAGATCCTACCGATAATTTAAAAAAAGAGCCTTCTAAAGGTATTCTTAAACCTTCCGTTAGTTATGAAGAAAAAGAGTAAGTAATTATTTTAGTGCTAGTTATACTGCTAATTATACTTACATATCACTTGTTTTAGCAAAAAAAAAAAGATAGCTAGTAAGTCTGCAAAATGGGATGAAATGAATATATTAGAAACCTTGCATCCACCAGACAAAGATTATGGTCATATGAAAGTAGATGAGCCGAAAACACCGTATGAAAGAGAAATTAATGAGGATGATGATATGGATGGTGGCGTGAATCCAGATGAGTTGAGAAAGAGGTATTTTCAGATAATTTTTAATCAATATAATAAATTATATTAACCATATTCAACAATTTAAATAATAGGTCAAAATACTAATTTATTCTATTTTATATTAACTAATCTCAACGGAACACTGGATAATTGTAATCATTAATATTTTTTTGATAAAATTGTTTATGCTAAAATGAAGATCACTGGTTATGTTAAATCTCAGAAGTCAGTACCTCAGTACTTGTAACTATAATAATTTGTACAAGAGTATCAAATTAAAAGGATCTATTAAAATACTTATCCAGGAACTAACTTCAACATGATTTTGGCAATTTTAAGGGCAATTTCATGGCTGTGTGTCTGTTTACAATTCATATTTATATGTTCACATGATATTTTGTATGAAACACCTTATTGTATTTGTAGCTAATTAATTGTAATTTGAGATAAAGGCAATATTATGATAGTCTGATAAATTGCATTCCTTGGCAGATCCATTATGGAAGGAGTGAGCTCACTGCTCGGTTTACTATTATAAACCAAACAATTTGAATAAACTAGAAAAATGTATAAAATAAAATTTGTATGCCAAAATTTTTCACCCGGAATCATTTATATGTATATTTTATTGTAAAAGTTGGAAAACTGCTTGATACAGAATTTTCCTTGATTCCTGAAATTTCCTGCGATCATAGACAAGTCTCACTATATTAAATTGCTTTGTTTAATTATAGATTCAACATACATAGAAAGACTTACGCTTTATATTTTTTGGACAACTTAATTGGACATGTTTCTATATATATTGTAATTAATAATTAAATAGTGTGTATAATATTTTTTTACCATTTATTAGAATCGAAGAAAGTAAACAAAGAAAAAATAGTGGTAGTAGTACATTTCAGTCCGAAGATGATTCTGAAGACAATAAAGATGAAACACCAGAAGAAAAGCGTGAGTATTTATGTAAATTTTCCCTTTTGAAAATTATGTTGTGCATTTATATTATTGTTAACAAATTTATATTCTTAATTTTGACATTTCAAATCTATTTAAAGTGAACAGTAAATTGTTGACACTAAACTTAGTAAATATGTATGTTACACATCATGAACATATTTTTGACGATCACTTCAAAATGCCATTTTATTCCCATTATATCCATAACTAGATGTGGAAGTTAAAAAAATACATGATTTAAAATTGTGTTAGGGCATTTTGGACTGGTTACAGTCTTAAAAAATATATTAAAATTTTAGTTGCAAGAGAAGTATTTGAAAAAAAACGCAAAGAACATTACAACGAATTCAAAGCGGCAAAAATGGCTCGACAAATGATGGATGAAGAAGATAATGACGAAGATGATGAAAATAAATAAAACAATACTAGTCTGGTATGATGTGATTTTTATCTAGTTTTGTATTATTCATTGCACGATAATAAATAAAAGAATAATCCAGAATTGTGGGTCATTTTAAGTTGGTTTTGCAAAATTGGCAAATATCAATGAGATTTAAAAAAAACATTATTTTTGCGTGCAATTATACTTTATAAATTTCATACCAATTTTATTTTGAAAAAAAAAATTATGCTTAAAAATGAATATGATTTTTTTATGTAACTATTAAAGATGAATTAATTAACAGCAACTTAAATAGGTTGAAATATGTATAATGCAAGTCTATAACAATATGAACATTTTTTTCAATTTAAATAATATATATATTGTTGTATTATTTGCTACCACTTGCACTTCTGAATTGTTACAAATTATAATGATATTTTTTATAAATTGTGTAGATTGATAAATAGTAAATTTAAAGCTAACTTATATATAAGTATATATTGTATATACTTCGGTATCACTAACACTATTCAATAATAAAGCTATCATTATTTTTTAATATTCAATAGAAATAACTTAGATAAACTAAAATTTTAAAATGTTTTAAAAAAGAAAAAGATGATGAGTTAAATTATTTATTAATTATAACCTATACATTGAATTATTAATTTAAATTAGTAAAAAAAAACTTTGTTAAATTCTTTTTATGTAGATTAATTTATAAAAAAAAAAATGTCATTTGGACCCTGATCTTTTAAACGTATTAAATTGTTGTTATGTCATTAAGTTTTTTTGTAAAATGTTTGTCATGATATAAGTCTTTTTTATTAGAGTTAACCCTTAATAACAGTATAGTTAGCTAATCTAACAAAAGGTTTTTTTTGCTTTACATTTTATGTTGGCATTTTGAAGCTTTTACTAAATCTATCCAACGATCTCTTTCCTCTTTTTTTGCTGTTTTATCCACCTTCATGAGATCACTATTTACACAGTCTATCCAGCGTTTACGTGTCCTTTTTTCATTTTGTTTATTAAGTAAATTGATGTATTGACTATTGTATCCATGATATTTCTTAATATATGACGTGTATTAATTTTGTTTGTTATATAATAAAATTAGGTAATATTTTATTTATCACTCTTTTGAATTAGTTAAATCTTAAAACTACTAGTTCAGTATTACAATTTAAGTGATCCTGTTTTCATCTCTCAGATATTTGTAAACAAGAAATTGATGAACAATTTAGTTTATGTATAGTTAATAAAATTGCACATTTAACTATGAAATAATATTTAGTTCATGAATTACTGCTTCTACGACTTGACTATTAACTATGAAAAATATGTTCATTAAACAAAATACCTAACCAATTATCAAGCTTACATTTAAAAAATATGCATTTTGTACGTAAAATGTAAATGTAAATTTAATATTACATACATTCTTCAAAATTTTTAATATTGTTAAAGTGGTACATGCTGTCATTTCCTTCTGGGTCCTTGTACTAAATAGTCAAGTACTGTGGTATAAGTTTTTACTTGTAAGTAATTTCTTGTCAATTAATATTGTATTATTGAGTTCACAGGATAAAACAATTTTTTTATTTCAAACTTATTTTAATAAGTTAAGTAATAAGTCAATATAAAGTTATATTAAACATGACCACGTTGCTTAGTTGATTTATGTAACATATGACATAATTTAAGCCATGTTATTTTTTATTTGTTAACAAACAGTACCATTAACTCTTCATTATCCACAGCAAAGGGGCATTCCCCTCCTCCCCCTTCCGGGTTAACTTACACTGCTAACGACATTCCGTTGACCAATAATCTACTTTTCTAAATTATATTAGTGTTTATGTAAAAAAAATTGTTGAGTTTATGCATTTTGTAAGATTTGAAAAAACATGAAATTTTATTGAAATGGCTCCCGGAATTTGCGACCTGGATGTCCGGGTCCCAATATTATGACATAACATTGTGTTGTCATCCAAAATGAGTGTCTGGGTTAAATTTCAGACTTCTACGATATTGGGAAGTGGGTTAAATTAATTTTGGAAGATTTGAAAAATCATACAAACGTACGTGTTAGTGTAATGTTCAGTGGTAAAAACATGGTTATGCAGACTGACTGGAAATAATAAATAACTAGTAATTACATATCTCAGTTTAACCTTCAAAATAGGATTTTGAAAAAAATTGCCTATGAAATTGTGCGAAGTTAGCTTAAACTAAAATATTTAGTTTGGAAGAGTCAAAATAATAGAAAACGAGGAATTGTAGGTATGATTTTAGTCTATAAAGTACTATTCATCTTCAAGTTTATGTAGTGATGTACAACTGAACAGATATCACGGCTTAGAAATTAGAACTAAAAAATCTTCTACTTTCTTTTTTTTTTATATAGAAGGCCGTATTACGTGTATAGTAGTCTATAGACTATAGTATTTGTTTATCAGGATGTCGCAAGTACATACTAACAATGATTATAAAATATAAATACATTTTATTTATAATCAATGATACTAGATACAAAAATACAATTTATCCCAGGTTTAAAGATTATAATTTATTATATTATCTTAATACTTTTGTCATGATGTAGAGAAGTTCTTCTCTGCTCTCAAGTTTCTACAAGTACAGTCTTAGCTCTTACATCGTGATTTTTCATTTTTGTCTATGAACCTCGTAATTTAATAGTGGAAAGGTGGGTAAAGCGGCTACCTTAAGGGAATTTATCGATTCAAACTTAGATTTTTAATTTTGTTTGTCTACTCACTATGGTAATGTATACTTTGACTTGTTAGACATCATTTTTTGCAATTATAATTATATTTTAGCTTATTAAATTAATTTTTTTTTAATTACATATGAAACTGGCCGCTTTGCCCACCCAAATTGGCCATACTATATCCACTTTGCCCAATAGTTGGAGATTTTTATTTACCCTTGAAAATATTGTCATATTATTTCCTAAATTAAATTTTTAATTTTAACTGAATCAAAACAATATTTTTCTTCAAATCTTTTAATAAATTCAATCAACAAAATCGTACACAAATAAACAAATAGAAATCTTTTTCTATAAAATATGTAAATAATTATTATTATTATTACAAGTATTTGTAGTCAACATTGCAAAATTCGTTTTATAATAATAAAAAAAAAAATCGAATTATAATAACTTGAATGGAAATGGAAAATAATTAGTAGTGGCCACTTTGCCCTTTTTATAGTTATTGTTTTAACTACTGGGCAAATCATTTAGCAACTGTTAAATTCAATAAAAGTTGATTTTATTGTATCTACAAATATGTGTTGCCAAATTAAAAAAAAACCAAGTAGTTGAGTGGCTAAAATAATTAATAACATTGTTGAAACGTAACTGTAGCCCTTCAGCAGCCGGGCGCAAAATGCATTTTTCTGTTATCACTTATCACTCTTCTGAGTCTTCAACAGCGAATCGTATTGTTATTTATGATTTATCAATCAATAATAATGATAATAATAAATATATGGAAGGATAATTGAATAGCTGATAACAGAAATATAATAAAAGACCAGTTTACCCACTATGGCCCCTTTGTACACCTTTTCCCTATTTATCTACATAGTGATAAATGGTATCTATTAAGATCTACAATGATAACACAGTTGTGACATGCATGGTAAAACCACAGATTATATGAAAACAGATTGTTCACTCGGGCCTTTAACAATAGGATTGCAAATAAGGCTCTATGATTGGCCCGCCAAAATCAGTATGACCGTCTGAAGGGAATTTGTTTTTAAACGTGTTCGCGGGCTTTCGCATTTGTTAAATAATTGAGTTAAACAGAATGTTTCTCTTGTATTTACCAAACATTTTATAAATATTAATAACCATAATGATAATAATAATAATTTAATAATATTATTCTTACAATTACAGTTGTTTTATATTATCTTACGCACTATATAGTATGACTTATCCAAGGGCAATAATTTTAATTCCAATAATAAATTACAATTAATAAATAATAATACATTTAATAATAAGACATTTTAAAATTCCCAATAAGTAAAAATATAATGCGTTATAAACAATAAACATAACATATCCATACTTATTAATATACAATTTTAATTATTTCTAACATAGAGAAATAGTAAGCTGTCCACCATAGGGCATGACAACTGACAGAGCATTAATCAACTATAAATAGTATTGACACGCAGTATTTAATTACATTGTTATTGTAAAAATAATATCAATTCAAAAATAATAAACAAAAAATAATTATAAATAAAATAATACAAATTATTATAAAAAAGTATTGCATATTTATATACCTAGTTATACGTGTTTTAATATAACCAATTTTTTATTTACTCTAATTCTATAGGCTACTCAGATAAAAGTCGTGCCTTTAAAAGTATATTTGGCGTACAAAATGCGCATACGCGCCTGCTAATAGGTTAAAATAAATAAAAAATAATGAACATGAAATAATTAGTAAAAATTAATAAATCACAAAGTTCACATAAATAAAATAGTATAATTGTTAGTAAAATAGTATAAAAAACTGAAGTGCCGAATTGTTTTCCGTTTAACATGTTACGGATACATATGAGTACTAACAACTGACAAATTTTCAACTTAAAGGTCCCAAAATTATGGCTTAAAAACAAAAAAAACTTGTAACCATCCTAGGGGGTGGGAAATGGGAGTAATATAAATTCGACACCAGTCCATTTTTGGTCGTTTAAAAAAAATGTTTTGCCAGAACCATTTCCATTATTCTGAAAATGCAAACTGTATAAAAGACTTAGATGCTATTTTAAGTATTATGAATGAAAACAAATTTAAATATAAAAATATGTTTTAATAATTTTAATTTTTTTTGGTCAGAATAATAATGTCAACCAAAAGATCACCTTGTATAAACTACAGGTGATTCATCTGATGTAAGACATTCGTTTTTTCAGAAAATTAATTCCTTTAAAACTGTTTAAAAAATGTTAGTAATTGATTATTTATTGTTCATCAATCTGTTCATTTGCTATGAAAAAATGTATAAAATATATCATAAATTAAATATAAATTAGTAAATTACAGTCAATTAAAAATTACTAAATTGCCATGAAGTGTTTCTTTTTTTAGAATTCATTCACATTCCGACATAAGGTTAATTAATTCCCATTCCTCATTCCTTAAAACTAAATGTAATACATTCATGATTGCATTCCTCTAAAAAGGAATGAAATCCAATAAATGCAATCTTTCCAACACTGATATATATATATCAGTGTTAGTAATGAAATGTCTTTGAGATAATGATAGAGTGTTATCGACGGGATCAATATTATTACCGATATAACATTTATTATTTTTTTAACATTTAATATGATAAATACACAGATTATATGAAATAATCATATAATTTGTGATTATATGAAATTATATGAGATTATATGAAATAATCATATAATTTGTGGTAAATACAAGTTCGATAATTTCGTTCCGGCTGACATGGTCACACTGGTTTCGGCGGAGTGCTTATCAGCTCATTTTTTGTTTACATCGAGAGTGAACAATCTGTTTTCATATAATCTGTGGTAAAACAGTGATACCTATGGTGGCTACACTGGTATTCATCTGATTTGTATAGTTCAAGGCTGCTGAGAAAATGAAAACAATCTGAAAGTACTTGTTACTTGTTTGCAATAATGTAAAAGCTAGTTACTAGTTAGTTGTTATCCTGAAATTTCTCATTATTTAAACTCAATTTTCACATGTCGTTAAATTAATAATTTACACTTTCCTATTGAATTAATCATTCAAATTTTACTAAATCATATCTGTACACCCATTCCATAAATAATTTACCAAACAAATATTTAGTAGTTTGTAGAATATAGACTACGAAGAACATATTATATACTTTCAGACATTAATATTTTAATTGTCTACTATAATTCAAGTAGGTGAGTACTAAATAACAATTCATTTTTTTATACTTTTTGAAGGTTCCAATTTTTGTATGTATCATTTTGGTAGTAGTTATGTATGAGTTATGAAAATGGAAAAAACACAAATTTTGGGATTTTACTTTTAGTTTTTATTAGTTTAAAAAAACTGAAATGGCAACTATAAAGATTTTGATACTCGTATAGGAATACTTAATTTAACATTATAGATTATGGCTTGTAACTGTTTGTTTTAGACATTTAGGTTATATTATTTTGTACTTGTGGTATAATCTTTTTATTCTTATTTTTAGAAAATGAAGAAAATAATTATCTAAATATCTTAAAATACAATTTAAAATTTTGTTTATTGGTTTCCTAGTTTTTCTGTAATACACTAACTCTTAAGCTCCAATTAAAAAATAAGTAATTTACAATTTAAACAAATTATGATTAACAAGAAATAAAGCTATATAGGTATTCATTTATTTTACAAGTCCTAAACTCTTCTTCTATCAAATAAATTCTAATGTTTGCTTAATATACAACTTTTTAAAGGTACAATATTGTGCAGTACTTAACCCGGTATAAATTTACTTTACCGGACACTTTTTTTTGCCATATAATAGTGTTTTTTACACCGATTGCGAATCTGAAGGCAGAATATAGTTATATAGTTATACTTTTAGCATAAAAGTATAACCTGAATAGCATAGCCTGAATGCAATTACTAACATTAGCAAGAATCCAGAACTGTACTTTAGCTTTCTCAGGAGATGCGGCCTTTATTACAGTACACTTCTATATTTAAAGACAATTAGTTTTTATAACCTTTAAGGAGATGTACACTTTTAAATTAAGTAAAAGAAAGGATAACTTAATAAATAAACACACAAAAAGATATAATGTTCATAAAACAATTAAAAATTAAAATGATAACTAGTAGCATGCGAAATACTCCACACGAAATAGATGGTTGTTTACGGGACAGTGTCACCGACATCAAATTTTGAGCGGCTTTAAATAATAGTCATGATTTTAATTTTTGCTGTGTTTACAATTTCGTTTTGTTTTGTTGTTGGCTGTTTGGCCTACATTTTATTGCTTATTTTTCTAATGTACATTTTTCTCCTTAAGATGACGTCGCATCGCCCATTTTTAAGGAGTAAAGTATAGGCAATATTTTACAAAATCTTAATTTAAAGATTAAACTGTGATGTGTAATTATTTGTTCAATAACTAGGACTCTATTTTGGTGGTTAATTTATTTTTCGGACTATTACAACAACCTTGAAAGCGATTTAAAAATGTTTTTTCATCTCAAAATGTTAAGCAGACTGAAAATAACTCGCTCTATTATGGTTTTAGAGTAATAGCACCCATTATGCAATTAAAAGAGAACAATAATCCCGAGCGCACCACGGTGCGTTTTTTTCATTATTCCAAGTATAACACTCAATACATTGTTTAGAAATAACGACTATTTTAACATTTTTAAATGACTAACTTTTCAAAAAATGAATTTTTTTTTTTAACGCACCGTTGTGCCCTCCAGAATATTGTTCTATTTTAATTTCATAATGGGTGCTTTTACTCTAAAATCTAAATTAAGTGAGTTATTTTCAGTTGGGGTAAACATGTTTTTACCACTGAAAATCACCAGTGCGACGCCCTCTTAAGAACTATACTACACTATGTAAAGTTACAACAGAAAAATAACAATTATTCTTCTGAAAGTAGACTTGGTAATTGGACTAAAATTTCAGTAACTATTTACACGTGCGCATATTTGTAAATTTATATATTTGTAGAACCATAGCTGTCTCTGTAAATATTATAAAGAAGAAAATTTTTTCTCATCTCAAATTAAAATGATGTAACTCATATTCATTTAAATAATTGTAGCCTTGTCAAAAGATTATAAGGTTTTATAAAAAAATATTTAGAAGCTTAGAAGCATATCTAATGCATTGGGTCTTAAAGATATGTTTGGTATCAATAGTTTTACTGTTTAGACCACTTACCTAACATTTAGATTAACACCTTTTTTATCTATGGCCAAGTACAATTACCAATAAGTGGATTGTATAACTAAAATATTTAGCATAAGGTACATTTTGTTTTTATCACTGAACACTGAAATCACATTAGAAACTGTAGCTTAAATTATTTATTAAAGAGCATTCTTGCCAATTTGCCATAAAATTTAAGTAGAGGAGTTTAGCCTATAGTTTTGATTAATTGTGTATTGTAAACTATACTTAATTTTTTAACTTAACTGGTAGGTAAAACATAAACAGCCTTAAATATGTTTATTTAATTATTACAAAAACAATTTAAATTTGTCTGAAGGAGTATTACAAGTACAATATAAAAGTAAAAATTCTATAAAATATACTAAATTGCTTTTTGATATTTCAGTAATGGTTTTTGAAAGTAATGAACAAATAGTAAAAGGATCAATGCAGTAGGTATAATGTTGTGAAAAATTTCCAAAATATGAACGTCACCATTTATAATAAACTATCCTCTAACAGAGTTATTTTTAGTCATTAATCTGTTAACGACTAGTTAAAAATAATACACTACTTATAAATGAACATTGTATGTTCAATGAAAACTAATTTTATCATTTATTTTGTTAAATAAAATATACTATTTTAATGTTATCACCTGTTGAATTAGTTTTATTTTTTGCTACAGCCTATTCTTTTTTTAGCCTTGGCATGAGCTTTCTACGTAATGAATTTGTTTTTTTATTTTTACACATTCTAGCTTTAAATAAAATATTGAACTTGTTATTATTAGAAATACACACTGTAACTTTTGTTTCATTAAAATGCAGTTTAAGATGAAGAATATATCCTAAGATGAAATAAATACAAATTATTGATCAATCATGTTGTATGAATAGTGTATTTTACTCTTGGGCCAATTTAAAAAAAATCAATTTTTTTTAGCTTCATTACTGTTCTTCTTTCTATCTTAAAATACTCGAAATAATGACAATAGTCAATAGCAATGGTTGAGCAAGCATAAAACAAGCAAGTAAAAGTAGAAGTAAAAAAAAAAATAAGATTTTATAACATAACAATTAAGATTGGATGTAATGCATTGCAGAAAAAAAAGTATAAAGAAATCTATTTTAAGCAGAGAATTTTGTACAGTTAGAAAGTATCGTTTAATTAAAATTTAGGCAAAATTATAGTTACATTATTACTGTAATCTAAAACTCGTGGTTGTTGCATAATAAATAGTATAATTAATTGATATTATTTATTTATTAATTGATAATATTCAATTAACTTCAAGAAACAAATTTATAAATATGTATCTAATAAGATACAGTTTATAAAAATATTAGATAACTGTCTGAGTACTTAGTAATGACCAGTGGTGCCGAAACAGGGGCACGTCTATGACACATGTCGTAGATGATTCCTTCTTTTTCTCGTGTAGGGCACTGATGGGGTGGGTGGTATGTTTTTGTTTTACTCAGAATGTCATAGATATTTCAGAGAAGATCGGCGCCAATGGTAATGACTAATGAGTAATAATGTTAACATTACAGTGCTGAAGTTAAAATATTAAATTCATTTTTTTTTAAAATAAATTATATGCTGTAAAAAATGTTAAAATAATATTATAAAAAAATATGTAGAATTAGTAGCCTTCATAGTCTATTAAGTATGAATTGTAGCCTTAAAATGTTTACGATATTTTAGCTACAATTTATTTGGGTCAATAATGAGCCTTTTCATTTAAAAATTAATTTGGTATTGAAAAATTACTTATGTGAAATAATTAAATTAATTTACTAAATTACTTAACTGTTGTTTATTTTAAAAATAGTTCTTATATTTTTTCATTTTATTTGTTTTTTGTAGGATCATTCGAGATGCAATTAAGTTTTAGTCAAAATGTCTGAACATCGAAAACATTCAAGGATCTCGGTGATGCAAATGTTTCACGAGCTAAAACAACAATTTCCAACAGTTCCAGATCAAGTAGTTACCGATTGCATAATTAAGGTTATAACTTTAATAATACTGTTTTAATAGTTTATCAGCAGAGAATATATTTTTCTATTGTCATTTTCACATTCTTAACTTCAAATTTTAGCATTCAGTCAATCGTGAAGCATGTATATCAAATTTAAAAACGGTTCAAACAAAATACGTTCAACAAACGTATCCGTCTGACATAGTTGACAAAATGGCAAACCGACCAAAATCATTAGAAATGCCATCAAATGATTTTCACTTATCTAAATTACAGTTTTTAAATCAATTACATAATACAAATATACCAAATTTAACAAAAAATAATCACTTGGATGATACCCAAGAATTAGACATCGAATTTAACATCAATAAATGTTCATCCATCTCCGCTCCATCAACTCCTTCACAAAGGATACAATGTGAACCTAGACACAAATCTAGCCTATCATTAGACTCGGTTCCTCTCGTTGATGCTCAGTGTCGACCATTCACATCGGTTAGTTTAACTTTAAGAACTCCTACTAAGGATCCTTTACCGCCTTTGGATTTAACTGCTGGATGTGGATCTGAACTCACGTATACAGCTTGTTCATATGATCCGTCTTCCGATCCCAATAATTGCTACCAATCAAGACTGCATATTAGTATTGATCCCGAAGGTGAAACTACTGTAACAACTTCACGAGTTATGGTTTCACCGACAATTATCAAACCTACCAATCGGACAACCGATGGCCAAGTTCCTGGTTCTATTCAAATGGATAGTATTTCACCTAAAACTAAAAGTAAGTATAATTTGAACAATTTATTGTTTCATTTGATAATTTTATTAATATGTTATAATATTACATTACAGTGGTAATAATTTCTCAATTAGAACGTAAACAGAAGTTGCTATCGGAGTTGAAAATAGAAAAAGAAAAACTTGAAATTATAAAAAAAAATGCAGCTACAATGGAAGCGGATATTTTTAAACGACGTTTTTCTTATAAAAAGGTGTGTGTACATATTGCACTACTATTATTATTTATTTTTGCTAAAATGTATACTTTTTAATAGATCGAAAGACTAAGACATGATGTTGAGTTTTTACGGCTTGAATGTAACAAGTTAATTATTCAAGTCGATCAAGCTGTAGAAAACAAAGGTAAATCAATATTTACATTGTTAAAAAATCGTTCTAAAACATACTGTTAATAATTATTAATTAAAGACTAAGTACAATATGTTTAAATTACTTATTAATTATTTAAACTACTGTTAATTTTTTTTAGTTGAAGTTAATGAAACAAATGAACAATTTTATAAACAAGTTTATACTGGACAAAAATTATCATTTGGAAAACCCAGCAACGAGTTTCAAGGTTGTTTGTTAAATTGTATAATCATTTGATTTGAGATGCATAATGTTTTATGCAATAAATTAATTATATTGTTGTTTTTAGATGATTTAGAAAGTCAAAATTGGGTTTGTCCAATGTGCACATTCCAGAATCATCCAATATTACCTAGATGTGAGCAATGTGACATGGCCCGTTTTGATATAGGTACAACTAGACCAGTTGTAAATGTTATACCCTTGTGTGCCACATTAACTTCGAAACTAACTACTCAGTGCTTGACGTAAACATAATTATCCATTGTGTGTTCTGGTGAGCAGTTATATTTTCTAAGTTTCATTGTAATTAAAAATTTATTTTTTAAAACACTAACATTAAAAAAAACCTATTTAATTAGTTTTTTAAGGCTAAAGCTTCCTTTGTATTAATTACTTTTAAAATTTCTTATTTAGGAAGACCTCAACCTTACCCTGGAAATATTCATGTTCCAGTTACTCAGCGCATAAATCACCAGAGTATGTTAATATTTTTACTTATTTTACTCGAAAAAGTGTGCTTTCTGTAATATAATACATTCATCAATATTTATCAAGTGCATATAAATATATTAAATAAGTATATTTTTTTTTTTTACAGGAAAAACAAAAAGTTTATACTGCTAAACAAAATAATTAGGCAACTACTATTCTAATTATTTTTATATATCAGACATAAAAAGACCAACAAAATATTATAATATTCTATTGTGATACAATGTAATAATAAGATTTATTTATATTATTTTAGATAATTATTAATGAGTATTGTTTTCTTTCTATTTACAATCTGATGTTGTTTTATCTATTGTAGGCTATATTGTGTATTGTGATATAAATGTTAACTAATTGAAATTTGGATTGCAAGAGTTTTTCGCTTAATTATTTGGAAAATATTAATAACGTATTACTTGTAATTTCATCTACTAAAATTCAATGTAATTATTAAAATACAATCGGTATTTTTCTTAATTTATATACATTTTTTTTAAATAATGGATATTTTTCTAAAGTTTGTAAAATATAGTTGAAGAAAAAAAAGGTTCTATTGACATTTTATTTTACCTGTTGTGATAAATGTTATTTAATATTATTATTATTATTAGTGTAAAAAGTAATACAAAACAAAAAAATATTTAAAAAATTAAATAGCAGTTCCTCTTTCTAAATTTTGTTTAATTTGAGTAGTATGTTCCCCGTAATACCGCTCTAATTTAGCATTGAATTTCATATTTCTCTCGTTGATGTAATCAATATCGGCTTCATCATTATGTGTTCTTCTTCTGCTGAATTTCTGTCGTTTTGCAATCCTAATAAAAGACAAATGTATTAGTAGAAAATTTGCATGGTATGGAACGAGCATATAAAATGTTCTTTTTGGGAAAGTAAAGAGATCAATTGGAAAATTGTGTAGTGCACAAAAATGGTACGTCATTTTATATGAGATTTACATCAACAATTCACCCTCGATTAACGGATAGATGTTTATGAATCAAAAATATTTTGTTTGTGTACATATAAACATAATTTACATATACAATTTTATATGAGGCATTCTGAGTCGAACCACGTGGTTTTCGGCTCGACCTCAACATTTTTCGAAATTTTATAAACTTTTATTGGTCCAATATAGGTAATAGGACCTTAATTTTTTTGAAATGTTAACATTCTAATTTACCCCAAAAATGGAGGGTTTTTATGTTATTTTTTTTCGATTTTGACCCGTTTTAATATTCTGAAATTTTTATCATTAAATCAGACTTAAACCAAATCTTGTGGTCTAATAATGGGAATGGACCAATATTTATTTATTTTTTTTTTAAACCCGAAAAGAAATGTATAATTTTAGTTTATTATTTTAAAAACTAATATAAAACATGTCTTGGTATAATTTGATTTTTGCATATTTTGGGAGTCAAAAAATGAAAAATGTGCCTTACAAATATAATTAAAAACGAAAAATATTAATTTTTCCTTTAATAAAATAAAGAGCTTGATTACAAATTCTTAAAAAAGTTGTTTCTGTAAAAAGGGCTACACTCGGCCATACTAAGCCCAAAAACTTCACCTAAGAATGTAAAAAAAAAGTGCAACCCGTTTTGGTTCAATTAAATGAGTTAACAATATTTTCTCAATATTTCACTGTATATTGTTAAAATTGAATCTAAAGAATATCCCACAAAAATTTGGAATAATTTGTAATTTTTTTAAAAAGTTATACTGTGCAGTAATTTAAAAATTTAAAACGTATCAACTTTTAATTTGAAGGGGTAAATTTTATTAATTTTTGGCTTTAAAAATTACCCTTTTGGTACAAATACTAATCTATAGTCTAGCTACATAAAGAAATCAGCCCGACATTTTAAAAGCTATTGTGGGTACAGACAAAAATAAAAATAAAAATAAAAACATCATTGTAAACCAATACCTTTGACGCTTTGTTTCGAATCTAAAATAGGAAAATAAAGTGACAATTAAAACAAAAATTAAATCTTACTGTTTTTCAAGATCGTCTACCATTCTGTCAACGCCTTCTTTTGAATCTTTTATTTTGTCATGTAAATATGTATTGGATTCTGCGTAAAACGCACCTCCAAGTTTTTCTTTTTGCCTTTTATAAGCATCCATATCTACTTTAAAGTTAGTTATCATTCGGTTATATTGCCGAGCTGTTGCCTGTTCGTAATCTGAAAAACCAGGATCTGGGTTTTTACGATTCTTTTTTCTGTCAATTGCATCTGCTTCCATTGCAGTCATATTTAAAAGTTTTAAACGATTATAATCTTGTCCCTAAAATATTCATATAAATATTGATACATACATAAACTATTTAGATTTACATTATACAAGAATAATATTAGCACTGTATTTACTTTCTCTTTTGCTTCTTGACGAAGTTTATCATCATTTAACAACCACTCTGCTTTTCTTTGTCTCGCTTCCCAATTTGATGGTAATTTCATTAGTTTATCTTCTTCAATAACTTCTTGGTGGTTATTAGCTCTGGCTTCATTCTGTAATCAACATTTATTAAATATTTGAAAAATAATATAAAATTTACTTATATAGAAAACAAATTTTTTTTAACAGTGTACAATGTTACAATTTTTCTTAGCTTTGAAACGATACGTAGCTTATTTCAATAATATGCATAGACGGTCAAATAGTTAATATAAATAAAAAACCTTTTATGCGATAACTATGAATGTACTATAAAGTAAAGTTTGAATCCAAATAGAAGTGTGTTGGTCAATTAAAACTCATGATTAATCTATGGTTTTAGTTTATAAACATAATATTATTTATAATAGTTCATACAATTTTACCTATGTATAATCATCAAATACTTAATACAACAAAAATTTTGGTTTAGAAAATTAATTGTGACTTACAAGTTAAGTACAATTTTTCCATACAATTTTCTTAGATTTATTTTTGAATATTTGTACAGCTGTTATTAGAACCTTTTGTTTTCAACAATAACAAATATTATTCCCACAGTATTTTTTATTTAATCTAAAATTTTCTTAAACAAAATAATGAATACTGGAAAGATTATAAATTACTCTTTTGATATGAAGGTCTCTAAGTTTCTTCAAACGTTCTGCTCTTTTTGTATCTGCGTCGTTGACTGTGGCGACTACTGAACTCATTATACTACTAAAATTACTATTAATTATAGACAGTGATTGTTATAAATTTTACAAATGTTGATCGTACTTTAAGACTGTATCCGTATTGTAAAATATAACTGTTTATTTTATTTTTATGTTTTGTTAGCTGAAGACAATAGCTTTATTCAAAACTTTGAAAGGTTTTAGATTGTTATCACACAAGTATACTTTAATCATGATAAAATAAAATTCCTATAAAAACCCTAAACAGTGTAGCCACATTAACGTAATACGGAGTATTCTAATCTAGTAGAAGGATGACAGGTGTCCAAGCAAATACAATTCAATTGGTGTATTTTATTATATTCATTTCCCCTTTTCTCTACTTAATTGATAACTTAACTTGATTTGACGGAATTGAATATATATTTTTTTTTTTTATACTTAAGTATGTTAAGATTTAAGAATATTAAAGATATCTGATCCGAAAAATGGACGGGAAAGTTGTTTTGTCGGGAAAAATATGTACCCTTTAAGGTATTTAATGATCAATTTGGGCCACTTAACGCTTATAAATTATTTTGTTTGTAAAGAATTGGTGAAATCAGTGTTATGATCGTAAGTACTTACCTACACTTTTTAAAAACATATGTTCTATCCACTCTTACTGAAACATTACAATAATGGTTACACAATAATTATGAAATTCATATTAGTGTTGACAATTAATGTTTAGAATTTTCCTTTACCTATGTTATGGTAGGGTTACAAGTATCGATTATGTTTTTTAATAATATATTGTGAACACATATTATATAGACAAGCAAAAATGAGTGGAGTGATGTTCAGAGAGATACACAAAAATTCTTGGCTAAGAAAACTACCCACCGGTGTTGACAAAAAGTCGGCTTTAAAATTAACAGGCGGACAAAAGTTATGGACCGTATTTTGTATACACGATGATACAGAACCAGTTTTAGAGTTTTACGTAGATCAAAAAAAATGTGCTGCACATCGCCCGGATAATACAGTAGCTTTATCAGATACTGTCCATGTGTCGGCTACAATATGTCCTTTACCAGTTATAGCTGGTGATCAACAGCAATATCAATACGAGTTTGTTGTGACTTTGACTTCAGATGTAGTGCGTTTGGCTGCTCCGTCATGGTATGTATGTATATATATCGTCGGCGTCATGCAAAAATTGACCAAGTATTTTTCTAGTTTTCATGATATTTTTTCCATACAAAAATATAGTCTAAATAACGTATTTTATAATGTTGTTTCACTTGGTCACTTCTTGCACAAAGTCAGTTTTGCATGACGACGTCGATATATATATAATATATATTTATTTATTTATTCATTTTCCTAGAACTTTAATAACTTTACTATGATAAAATGTATTATTATTTAGGAATCAGATGATGGACTGGGTGCAAGGTTTAGATATGAAATTGCGAGAAATGCATATACTGTCTCCTAAAGAAAATGTTTACACTAAACCACCAGAATCTAGACCTCCACTGCTTCCAACTAGAGATCCAAACTCACCATTGCCTCCTCCACCATTACGAGACTTGCCTACTAATGTTTTGCCTGGAGTTGAGCCTGTTATGACAATCATTCAAACGAGTCAAACAAGTATTTTAATTCTTGTTTAAATTTTATGTAAACAATCTATATTAAAATAGCTAACTTTTATAGACAGAAATGAAGAATCTTCGGAAGTAGAACAAACTATTTTGACGCCTCCTCTTAGTCCAAATTCAACGTCAGTATTCACAATTTTTTTGTATATACACCTAAGTTATACAATTATTTATGATAAATATATATTTTTAATTAATAGGAATGCCAGTGAACCTGAAAATAATGTTACCATTGTAGAAGTTCCAAATAATAACCAAGTATTTGATTTCAATCAAATGGAACGAGCATTAAATTATAATCTAGTTGAATCAATTATAACACTTCCTAGAATTAGCCGATTGCCTAGTACAACTGAACAACCGGCAATAACGTCGAGATCTAATAGGCATCGTCAAAATGTCCCTACTGAAGAATCCGTTAGTTTTTCTAGATCTGGCAATCATTCAGAATCTAGTGATAGAACGACTAATCAATGTGACACACCACAAAGATTTAATGGTGATATACCAGATGAAGACCAGCAAAGCAGAGCGAGACCTGCAGATCCAGAAGATGGTCGACTGAGGAGAAGAGCTAAAAGACAAGAAGTCGTAGTGTTAACTGATCAAGAAGTGCAACCTAGTAACTATGAGCATTTGGTCTTACCTACAGCTATTCAGCCTAGAACGCCTAGTACATCAAATTTCATTCCAACGGATATTGCAATGCTGCCGACGAGGCCTCAAGTAAATATTCACAATATTTACTTTAAAAAAGCCAGCATAGTTGTAACAAGTCTTTGGAATTAATCTACTGCATTGATAAAATTACTTTCTAATAAACACTTTGATGCTAAATTATGGATAGTAAAAATTAAGTGATATAAATATTAATAATTGTACAGACAAAAAATTGTGCTTATAATCGTATTATTTGATTTTTAAGATTTTATCGTAAAATAGTGTCACTACAGTTTTTTTTTATTGGTAGCATGTATGTATTTGATTACCTAAAATTAAAAATAATCTGTTGAATATTTTTACTGATTTTTTTTTATTTTAAAACAAAAAACCTACAAAATTACTATCATTTTTTAAAAAATCGTGCTTCTTATGCTAAGTTAATCACCCTGTATAATAGAAAAAATTTAGAAATATTAGCAAAAATCTCCCGTAAATATCTACATCAATAAATTTAAAATTGTACAAAAATATTTAAAAAATTAAAAATGCATAATTGTAATAACAATAACTTTTCTGCTCCAAATCTAAATTAAAATATAATTAATTATATTTGTTATTTATGGTAGCTTCCGATCGGAAGGGGCCGAGGTGCTCGACGTAAAGGCAATAGTGATAATCCACATCCTGTAGTTGGAGCCGACAGAATCAGGGTAGCGATAAATAGTAATCCACGAATGTTGCAACCAGTCCCAACACCTTATATTCCTATAGTAAGTGGTTATATATTTAAAAATATGTATTAAAAATTATAGAGAAATAACAATTAATATCACGATTCATGTGTGTTTCTTGATTAGACTGAAACAAGAGATTTGTTCAATCCAAGTCGTTTAACAGTTCGCGAAAAACAAGTGTTACAGCTTAGAAGAGAAATGTCTCACCACGCAGGTGTTCGGTTGCAATTGAGACGGAAAGATTGTATAAATACTATTGCTTTAGTGGATGTTTTTCAAACCGTATGGATTGCTGGATGGAAACAAAAAGAACATCCAATGTTGCATAATGCCTTACACATAGGCGATCAATTACTGAGTGTAGCCGGAAAACCAGTAACATGTTCAGCAGATGCTCATAAATTAGTTAAGTCTTGGCCAAGTCTATATGTAAGTAATTTGAAATGTCTGTTTATTTTTTTCTCTTATTATAATATATATATATTATTTTAATGTAAATAATAATGTTTAGGTCGAACTAATTGTCAGGCGTGTTCCATGTGGCCGAGTATTTGTAGTTCGACGACATGAACAAAATCAAGATCTTGGTATTATACAAGAAGGTGGTACGGCAGAAATTAAGGACATAGTATCCAATAGTGTGGCCGCAGCCCATGGATTATCCTCTCGTACACCAACTCTAGATGGCTTATCATTAACAACTTGGACATTGACCGAGATCAATTCTCGCCCTTTAAATTTACTATTCAAAGACACAGAAGTGAGAGATCGTCTCAATGCAGTTGGGCTTGACATCTCTTTGTTGGTGCAACCAACTGATCTCGTATCGGCACTACGTAAACAGTTGAAATCATTAAAAGCATTTAAAGATTACCTGTTGACATGAAGTGTCAATACAGTTAAATCACCTGGGAGGTAAACAACATTTATTTATTACTATTAAAATTGTCAAAAATGAAAACACCAATATCTACTTAGTTTTTTTAAGTGATGTCACAAACTGTGTTCAGATATCAAACTAAAGCAAACCAAAATCAGGGTGTTCTGTTTGATTGAAAAAACTAGAACGCTATATTATGTAATAATTTGCAAATCAGGAACCTATTAATCTTCCTGCACACTACCAAGCCGAACACCGAGTCAAAACATTAACACTTTACAGTTAAACATGGCAGCACATAAAAGGTTCGGCAAAATACAACTATAAGGTGGATTTTCGTGCAAAAAAATCTGGGTTCGGTTCGCTTGCATGGATCACACTTTTGGTATTAAGTTCAATTCAGGTTAAATTTTTTTGTATAGTTTGGTTTGTTTTGGTTGCATTTACAAGTAATTTTTTTAAACGTTGGCTTCAAAACGTAACGAGTCTATTGTTGTTTGGTTTGACATAAAACAAACCCGAATTTGGTCACGTTATTATAGGTTTTATGACTTAACAAATACAGTAAAACTATAAAATTAAACATTGTGTGTGTTGGTATATTTTTTCAGATCAGGATTTAAAGATGCAGGGTCTAATGTAAAAGTTAGATAGTTGGGATCTTAGTAAAAATTAAACTATATATTTTACTATACCATAAAAATTAAAAAATATATTTTTTTGTATAAGGATTACCAACCCAAGCCAAAAAAAAAATGGGTATACCAAAATTTACAAACTCAGTATTTTTAATTATTATAATTAACTATAACTATTATTTAAAATTATTTTTAATAATATTTTATTGTTTTCTGTGATATCTTTCAAAAATATTGGTTGAAGTTAAGTAAAGACATTTTTAATTTCAACTCATGATTACTTTCTTGCACGATGGTGTTGAATATCTTGTGTTTTTACTTAGGCAATTTTTCTTCAAAGTGATATTTCCACATAGTTTAGTATTAAGTATTAATTTTTAGTCGAAACAATTATGTCAAATGGCGGAGTGTAATGTGTGAAAACTAAATATGTGCAATATTATTGTTTTGTTTTTTTTTTTTTTTGGTAGTTAAAATTTATTTGGATGTTGTACTGCTAAAAGTTTTGTGTTATTAAACATTAAATTACAATAAATAAATTTGGTTTACAAACAAATAATATTGTCAGCTGACCTATTCAATAAATAATAATTTTGTTATATTATGTCTATAATGACCTAATTTTGTATGATATGATTATAGTACTTTTACCCAAACTTATATTGAAATTAATAAGTTGTATCCCCTTCTGAGTTTTCCCCTGTTGACTCAATGATTGTTGTTAGGCAGATCATAGTGATTCTAAAAATATATTCCTAAAATTTACCAAAACAAATTACACTAATATTATTCAAGTACATAAATCACTTAATACATTTTACACGATGAACTTTTTTTGAACCTCCGTTTGCCAATTGTTATCAGAAAACAATAATTTTTTTTAAATTCTTAATGATAAACTATCCACTAATAAACAAGAATTATCATAAAATTTGTACTCTAGTCGATTATTCATTTTGATTAAGCACATCTCAAATTATATAAAATGTAAAATTAGAAGACAATTGATTAGGTTTAATACATTTAAGAGGACGTGATACTCCCTATTTTTTAAGCAGTTGGATGTAGGCAATTTTTTGCAAAATCTTAATTTTAAGCTTAAACTGTAATGTGTAATTATTAGTTAATTAATTATAATTCTTACTTGGTAATTAATTTATTCTTTGGACTATCACATCATCATTGTAAACGATTTTATATATTTTTTTTTTTCATCAAAACATAGTTACAGTTACAAGTCCATGGTTGTTTTAGAGCAAAAACACCTATTGTGAAATCAAAAGATAACAACGATTTGGAGACAATGTCATATCCAATTTTGAAAAAAAATTATAGGTTTTTCAAAAAAGTAAAAAAATATGTTTTAAAATATTTATCTTAATAAAAGGTTCATCAAACAAATATATATGAAATTGCTTCTAAAATCTTGTCATCTTTCGTTTTTGTTGTAGGTATTTTTGCTCTAAAGTCATCATGGAGCGAGTAAAACGCTTAAAAGATAGTTATGTTTTACCGTTTAAAAATTGGCTGAATGACGTCCTCTTAAGCTTTAATATCTATCTGTGCTCACTTTTTTCCTTCCTTCACTTTTAATATAATAATAAATTATGAATATTGTTATTTTTCATGTTTAAATGACAAAAATGAGCATTTTGTCTTTGTTTATTACAATAAAAATATATTAATTTATTATTTAAGAAAAATAATAAAGAAAAAAGTTTAATTTTGAAAGTTTGACATTACAATAATTTGATTATACTTTTTATCTTACTTTGGCAGTTATAGTATAATTTACTGAAATAATTAAATTAGTATTGTTATTTGTTGGCAATCATTGTAATCACGTTAATATTACTGACTTATATTTATATATTTATTTTAGTGGATATGGTATTTAATGATCACTTGATATTATTTAGTAACTACCCACATAATTTTGTTTCCCTAAAATATTATAAGACAGTTTCTATTACTTTAACCTAAATAAAACATGTTTAATTAATTAATTGAAACAGTGATTTTATCTCAATAAGTACCTAAATTAGACGTGCCATGTCATTATTATGATTTTTTATAACAATAAAACAAATTTATCATAAATCATGTGTTTTTTTTTATGGTGTAATCCTAAATAACAATCAAAAGTAGCTATTTTTTATGTCTGCTTCCCATGAAGCAATACAAATTAATGTTCTTAAAACATAATTTTGATTTTGGCTAAACAAATATAGTCGAAGAACATTTTTACAATATTTTTGAAAATTGAATTTTATGAATGCTATTAATATATTGTTTAACATTTTAAAAATATTTTCCAAAAGGTTTTTCTTTAAATATTAAAACTGTTTTTACAGTTGGTTCTTGGCGTCCCATCAGACGATTACTCTTTCGCCTAGTCTGCTGTTGAAGATTATATTATATCCATACCCCAGAGCAAAAGTGTATTGAATCACAAAATGTCAATTTTACAGGAACTGTAATTATTTATCAATAATTATTGAAATCCAACAATTTTAAAATTTACATTTTGTAACTAAATACACAGACTGTGTATTAAGTCATATACACTTGGTCTGGACTCTGGGCTTCATGGGGTATGTATGTATAGATCATTTGCGTGTTCAGGTTTTTTTGACATAGGGAGGGGATTTGAGTTTCACTTAACACGATAGCTACTTAGGACTGATAACAGGGATGTTCCATTGTTACCTATTTTATCTAAAAGTGTTTGGTTCACAATTTACATAAAATGTGGAATTCATAATAACATATTTTTTATTTACTAGCATATTTAAATCGTATTTATTTATTAAACATAACTTTGAACTTTATTTTAATAAAAAAGTATATATTGTTAAATATATAATATCGTAGTAACTGCAGTTAATTATATATCATATCTATATTATAGATATATTTACCAAAATATCAAAAAGCCCGTAAACGAACCTAGAAACCTCAACGAAAATATTATATTTGCGCCAAAATAAAAACATCACAATCATTAATACGTGACATTTCGTATTTACTTGCGACTTAACTCGAAATATAATTAATATAATTTTGTATTCGAATTTAAAGCTCATAGCTATTACAATGGAATTGGGCCTCGTGGTGTTAGAACCTTTGTTTCGGTCGTACTAAACCATCAAGCTGGGCTCTGCGTCCAAGCCGGAAGACAGACAATCTCTGTTCATCCTCGAGTACACTGTATGCGCTGTTACGAGCAACCCGCTAATAAGTAATTAATATTTTTAATCTGCTCAAGGTCGGGACTATCGTATGGCGTCAGGCCAGCGGCGAATCCGAGATCTAGCCGGCCATCGATGGGACTAAGCTAAAAATACAGTCACCGTGCAAAGCGTCCACCAAGATTACGAAATAAATAAAAGCCAATAAGTACCTATATTAGTAGAGAAAAAGATTTTAAAGAAAACAACGTATTAAAATAAGTCAGTACAGTGGGGACGGAGCATATTGGCGCGGGGGAGGTCACAAGTCTATTTGAAACGCTTCAATGCGAACCTGTAATGGTAAAAATTAGTGATGGGAATCCGAAAATCCAGATTTTTCAAAATAACGCTATTTAAGCCACTTGAACATTTTATAAATATTAAATACTATTACAATATAAAAATGTGTACCTAAGTAAAATTTTTTGATAAAAATTAAAAAAAAAAAACTTAACATTGTATATAATATGCTTTCGGATTTCAACAAATCCGAAATCCAATAGCAGTTTATTTTTTTGGTGTTTTGTTTTATTTTTACATATTTATCAAAAACATTTTACTTAGGTACACAGCTTTATATTGTAAAATTATTTAACTCTTACATGATTTTTAAGAAGTTTAAATAGCGTTTTTTTTTTTAAATCCGGATTTTCGGATTCCCATTACTAGTAGAAATACAAATATCGATTAAAAAAATTGTACTTAAGGGGCCGCAGCATGCTTTTTACAAACAAATGTTCAGTATAGATTTAAAAAAAATAAAATTGCCACCCTATTGATACCGATTTTCTCTGTACATTGTGAAAATTTAGTAGGAAGCCGATTTTCGATTTAAAATTTGTTATGTCTAAAATAAATTAAAATGTCATTCGGGACTTATCACTAAATTTAAAAGAATAGTAAATAATAATTTTGGAGGTCTTCAAAAGAGAAAATTGAAAATCGGCTTCCCAATAAACTTAGACAATTTGTCAACAAATCCATACATACTTTAAAAATTAAAATCCAACATTGGGAAGTATGTTTAATTTAGCACCGCTTATTGGTCTAAAATGCATGAAAACTAGTTATGCTTCGACCCCCCTTAAAGGGGGAGTTTAACAAATTCTCACAATGTATAGAGAAAATCTTTATCAATGGGGTCGTGTTTTTATTTTTTTGATATCTATACTTAATTTTTTTTGGTAAAAACCATGCTGCGGCCCCCTTAATGACAATAATGTGCTTAAAATGTTTTTTTAGTATTACGGTTGATCGTCTGTTTGTAATTATTTATTGCATTAGTTACCCATTTATCGTAATTAACAATATAATGAAAACATTTCCAAATACATCTTAAGGCCTCGTCAAACAGAACGCGTTATTATCGTCGCGCCAAGTGTTATTACCGTCCCGTTTCTAAACGTCATAAAGAAACATGACCGCCGCGTACTTGCGCTGCGTTACCAAGGTTATTCGTTGTTGAAGTATATTAGTTATTACAGTGTTTGTCCACAATAGAAGTTAAAAATATGTCTAGCAGTTCAGACGAGGAAGAACTGTTACTTATTTTTTCGATGACCGTGTGCTCAAAAAGAAAGCGAATTCTGGTTCATGAAATAAACAAAAAAAAGGGAAGATTGTGGTGAATACCATCGGTTATGCCAAGAGCGGACGTCCCATTAAGACCGTTTTTTTTATACTTGCACGTATCCCAGGATTGCTTTGAAGAATTATACGAATTTCTCTTGTATTACTCCCCCCCCCCCCCGAGTTTCTGACGCCGTTTATTAGAACGCGATAAACAAATACAACTTGACGAAAAGAAGCTCCACACACCCTCTCTACATTTGGCTAAAACTATGCATTTTGCCTTAACAATACCTTAACTTTACACGCCCCCCTTAGGGGGGGAGGCCCAATAACAATATGCACATTGGGCCCCGGTGAATTTTAATTACAACATTTCTTACGACTACTTAGTGCTATGCTTACATATAAATACTAAATACTAACAATTATACATACACAATGGTATATATATTTACAACGGTGGTGCGTTCTCGGGTCGGTGACGCACGCACCCACTGCCCTTGACCACCGCGACGTTCAGGCATCTGGTCGCTGCCTGGCCCGCTCTTGATCTTCCTTCTCCCTCAGGACTGATTTCGCGAAGCGAGCGACCGCATGCCATGATTCAGGACTGGGTATCATGTGCGTCACCAGCGTACACGGATCAACTTTGCCAATCACGTCGTTTAAATCCCGCCTGTTAGACATCCAAGCGGGGCAATCCACGAGTGTGTGTCGGGCATCGTTCACCATGCTAGTGAGAGCATGCTGGACTGGGTGCCTTGCCGATCCTGTGAATGAATCCGTTAAGCACCCATGCCCGGACATCAACTGAGTGAGTCGGTAGCACATCGTCCCGTACTTCCGTCCCACCCAGCCCCGTAGGTCAGCGACGAGGGACTTCGTCCACTCACTACCTGTGGCTGTCCGAAGTCGCCTCTCCCACTTTACGAGAGTGGCAATGCTGAGGGGAGCCTGTGGTTCTGGTTCTTTTTCTGCTTGCCGGCAGAGGTGGAACGCCTCTTGTCGTTCTAACGCCAGCAGATCGATCGGAGTGTCGATGCCAGGATATTGGCTGCGTCGTGAGATACTGTGCGGTAAGCGTAGATGCTCCTCAGCGCTGCTTTGCGGTGCACCTTCCTAAACACCTCTACGTTGACTTTGCGGTTGGGGAGTCCGCCGGCCCACACCGGGGCTCCATAGAGGAGCAAGGAGGCGACAACACTGGCCAGCGGCCTACGTCTTGGCTCACGGGGGCTGCCGATGTTCGGCATGAGCCTTGACAAATTTATCTTGCTTAATATTACAAAAATTACGACGAACTGGAGGAAACTTATTTCCACAAGAGGAAGAATTGCAATTTGTCTCAGAAATGTATAAAATAAACTCAACCAAATCAAATTATTTAGATATTTATTAGGTATTTTAATCAAACCATTTTAAGTTTTAAACTGATTTAAGTGAATGTGATATATATAAGGTAATTTAAAGTTAATACAATACAAATTATTTTTGGATGGATTTCATAAAGCTTATATTAAATTTTTGAAGTCTTATTAGTTGTGTGATCCCTGTTTGTGTATTTGTGAGCTGTATTCTTAACATTAAGATCCTGTAGAATAGCTGTATGATGTTGTAGGTGCTTGGAAATTTTCTAAAGTTAATATGTTATAGCTGTAGTCGGATTTTAGTGCTTTTTGAAGAACAGTATGGTCAGTTGTAAGGTTTATAGCCTTTGAAGGTGATATCATCACATCATTTGATTGAGATATGTTAGGTATATTACTTGTATTGCCAGAAAAGTCACGCCATTCCTGAAGAAGTACGCTTGGATGCTGCCAAGGCTTCGGGTAATCAAGTAGCTACTTTGTTTGCCTCTTATTTCTCATCCGTTCATAAAGCGCTTAGGATTGTTTCTGATACCTCATACCCTATTGGATGAGTTTACATCAAGTCAATTTTCCTTCATTTCGTCCTCTATTACTATAACCATTGATGAAGTAAACGCTGCTCTTAGCTCATTGGCTACCACTCGCGGTTCAGGGTCTGACAGAATTTCTGCCCTACTCTTATATTGTTGTCACGATATTCTTTGTTTACCAGTCTACTTGATTTTTAATAAGACGCTTTCTGAGGGTGTTTTTCCATCAGTTTGAAAAGTTAGTGGAATCACACCAATTTTAAAAAAGGGGTGATCCGATTGACGTTCGAAACAATCGACCCATTTCTGGTTTGCCCTTTTTAGGTAAAATAACCTAACCGATCTCTTTTTTCAACCATTTCAACTGATCAACATGGGTTCTTCCCTGGTCGCTCGACAACTACTAATGTCTAATACTGTTGATTTTACCTCCTTCGTCTACGAGGCGTTTGAGTTAAAACAGCAGGTTGACGTCATCTATACTGATTTTAACAAGGCATTCGATTCTATTGACCATCGTTCTCTGATATATATTCTGGATCACCTTGGTGTTGAAGAACCACTTCTTTCACGGTTGAGACCCTACCATAATGGGCGCAGATAGTTTGTTTATCTTTTTGGAAATACATCAGATTGTTTTCGAGCGCTGTCCGGAGTTCCTCAAGGTAGTCACTTAGGTACCATGTTATTCAATACTTGACTACAGCTCCATTAATAAAGGTCTTAGACTACAATCGCTAGAACAACGGTGCAACAACCTCAGCTCTCGCTTTATTTTAGGTTTGTTAGAAAGCCGAATTGACACCCCTCGCCTATTTTAACAGCTGAATATTCGTGTCCCGACTAACACCAGGTTCAACAATTTTCTTTTACCTTCTAATTACCAGATCCAATTTTACTAAAAATGCAACTTTAAATCGTATAATGGAAATTTATAATAATGTATGATATATATAATTCGTATTAAGGCCACACAATTCGTTTCTTTATTTTTAAATATGTATATTTATAAATTATATATATATATATATTATTTTTTAGTCAATTTGTATATTTTAAATGTCACTTTGTTGTCTAACACAATTATAAAAAGCCGTTTGGCGTATATTACTAAAATTTAAAAAATATTGTCGTTAACGTTTTTAATTTCAGTATCTGCGAACAACTTTACAAGTTACATTTTAAGTTTCAATTGATTTGTATCTGAAATTTCCTAAAAGTTTCCGCGTAACTAAGAAATAGATGGTCAACGCCATCGTAGTTCCTTTTTTTTATTAGCCAGGTAATCAATCACTTTATCTACTCCATCACTTTGTCCAGACACAAAAACTAAAAACAAAATCTTCTCAGGTTCATATCGAAACTAAAATTTACAAAAAAATTGTAATAAAGGTAACCGGCCGTTGTTCTTTTAATGAACACACGTATAAAGTTACGAAATTACTATTTATTTATTTTAAGAAAATTTACTAGGATATTAGGGATAAAGCTGAATATTTACTTTTATCTATAACTACAGTTTAAGCTGAGTAAAAAAGTAACTTAGTTAAAAGATATATGGTAAAAAATAAAATTAGGTTAGTTTCAATGTTTTATTCCGCTATTTTTCTCATAAAATAAACCAAATTTTATTTTTAAATTGGTAATTGTTAATATTTTTACTAGCAATAACATTATTATAATATAATAATTAATATAGCTATTATAAATAATTTAACCATTTTTTTCTTCAAAACCCAAACTTTTGGCCTTGTGGTTTTTTGACCAGGTGCAGATAATTACTTGGCCCAGCAAATACCTGTTGAGTATCGGAATAATGGTAGGTCAAGCGAAACCATTTCAGAGTCCTGTTTTTTTAAAGGCCTCGCAATGTCTCGTCGGTTTTTTAAATTTGGAGCCTGAACAAGTGCATTTTTTATATTTGTTAAAGTGACAGTTGAACTTCCAGTTTGACACACCGCCTTTCATGCAATGTTAAGCCTTTTTTAATAGAATTTTAGGCTCCGTCTGGTAATTTACAGAAGAAGGGAGCCAAATCAGAATTGGCATAGGTAGTTGTTTCTTTAACTATACCAACGTACCGTACTAGTTCTTAAAGGCCTTTAAATTTTTATTTATCTAATAATATTAATTTTTCTCCTTTCTTTCAACATACCTAAATTCGAAAAATGAGTAATTTTATCCCCTATTTTCTCTACAAGTGAAGTCAAATCCCGAATACATATAATATGGCGTATAAGTATTAAATTAAGAAAGTACTAAAGTAAGGGTACTGATTTATATTGTACTTGGTTTGAATTGTGCTGGATTTTATCACTTTAGTTAATAATAATACCTGTAGACTTGGGCGTCCCGCCCCTACTGTACTATTTTTTTAATTCGTTCTTTCTTTTCTCAGCCTTTTCTCTACTGTATTTTTCCAAAACATGTATTGCTTGTCTTATTAAGTGTATGCCATTTTTTAAGCTAAATGGCTTTAATGACATAAACGATAATTATTTCTGAGAGTGCTAAAGTTAGCCATAAATAAAAAAAACCTACCCCAGAAATTGAGAAATACTTTGTGAGTGGAAGTAAAGAAATAGAACAAATTAGATGAACAATAACTAAGTGAGGCGTCTCGATACAATACCAGCTAAAAGCAATTTTTGTAAAATTTCATAAACAAATAATTTTTTCAGGTGGTTGAATTTAAAACCCACCAAGATTTCCCAAACACAGTTTAAGTTAGTTATAATTTTTTTGATATTCATTAATAATTTTACATACCATGTAATACAGTGTGGCCACACGTTTTCAAAATGTCTTTTAGTTGACTTTGAAACTAGATGCCTCAAGTTTTGTTTCGGTTATACCTAGTTGGTAAAAATTACTTAGTACATCATTAAATAAATTGGCAAAATGTTCACAGCTATTAATATCAGTTAAGATTTAATCCGAGTATTTTATTACCTATGTAAAGGTACTCCGTAGTTATTCAGAATTTTTCCATTTATTTTCCATTTATTTTCTAATTTTTCTATTTATCAGTAATTATTAGTTAAAATATTTTTGGAAAAAAAGACAAATTTAACCAACATTATGTGTGCCGCAACAGTGTTGACAAATTCGGGTCGAAAAAATCGATAGCGTATACACTGACTTTCTTGTTCGGCGTTCGGCCATTTTATTATATCACCAGACATTTTGCGTCTCTTCACTCTCTTATCTTTTGCTCTGATTGTTATACTTGTTTTGATATTCGTTCGGTTTTTGTAGTGTGAACACAAAAGTTTGTTGGATGATTAAATTTTTTTTTAACAGTGTATGGTATTAAAATAAGTTATTTCGAAAAGTCTACCAAAGTATGAATATTAATCTGCTAATTGCTGACCAATAAACAGGCTGGTTTTGTTCGGAGCGTCTGACCGGGTATGTCCACTATTTATGTATTTATATATTTTATATATATACATATATATGTGTGCGTGTGTGTGTTTGTATGTTTATGTATATAAATATTAGTCTGTATACACTTATCTTACAACAAATTTCAAAATCCAATTTTAGATCGATATATTAAATATCCATTTTTTCAAATAACATATTCACAGTAAACCAATTCAAAGTTTGCTTTGTGACCAAAATAATTGGCATGCAAATAATTTGTTATAACAAACAATTATTGTTTTTTTGAATTCATTAGTAAATTTTTATAATATTAATATTTTTAGAACAGAAATGCTATACATGGATCTTAAACGACAAATATGAACGAAGGTTTGGACCAACCCCCTTCAAATTTTTTGAAAATTACACTGCATGTCTGTTACGATGAAAGACATTTTTTCAAATTTTTTTTTCAATTATTTTGGCTAAGGTCGTAAAAAGTATTTTGAGTTTTTGTCTCAACACCTCATTTTTAATAGTTTTTTTATAGTATCTTCCTAAAAAAAGTTATTAAAAACTAGTTTTTTTTTTGAAAAAATATTAATTATTTTTTTCGCTTAACAATAAGTCATTAAAATTAAGTTTATAATCTAAAATGTTGTTTTTTTCGTGTTGCTCAAAAATTAGGCATTTTACTAATATTTTTTTCAGAAAGCTTAGAAAATTTTTATAAAATGTTTAAAATTTTAAATTGGGATCTCCATAAAAAAAACCCTAAAAAAAAAAAAATTGAAAATGCAAAGAAAAGTTAGGAAAAGGGTAAAAAAACTACCACAGTATTCAAAATATTTGAAATAACTATAGATAAATTTTCATTTTTTTTACTTTTGCATGTATTTTACCTTTTTTTTTTTTGAGCTGAAGTTTGTAAGAAACCCACCCCGCAAGAGTTATCAAGGCTTTTAATTCGATTTTTGATAAATGTATTTTACTTTTTTTAATTTTTTTCTGCGTTTTAAAAACAATAAAGGATTGGTCAAACAGAAAGAAGACTGTCCGCGCAGACAGTTCGCCGGTCCGCTGCGGACTCTGTACTCTATTTAAATGCATCATTCTGGTTAAACAGACAGCCCCCAAAAAAAATAAAAAATAAAATGCCCCATTATTATTAGAATCCACACTAAATAATGAAAACAATTTATTAAATTACTTAAAACAAATTAATAATTTAATAATATAATATATTGGTGCGACTTATATTATTTTTAAAATATGTATTATAATTTATATGTAAATAAAGTGCCCCGTTATTTATTAATTTTGTTATTAATATATAATATATTAATTATTATTTATATATAAATATAATTAAAATTTCTCTTTTAGTCAAAACATACTGGGGACGAATCACTTTACTTTCAATATTTACTGGGGGCGAATTGTCCACAAACACGTTTTTTTAATGGTGACGATCGGCCGTTTACCAGCAAACAGATGCTATAAAATATGCTCAAATTAATTAAAAATATTTACTGAATTCTCATTTTAAACGGTATTTAATATTATATTCTACTAGAAAACAAAATTATGAATGCGTTAAAACTTTTGTCTATTGATATATCAGTTGAGTAATTTTCAGATATATCCACGTCACAGTAAAAGTTCTATGCATATAAAATATTTTGGTTAAAAAAATCCTTTTTCTTTAGATTTAATTGTTTACATTTAATTTTGAAAAATTCAATTGAGTGGATAATATCTACATATTCATAAAATATTTAAAAAGCACTCAATAAAGCATAATATGAAGTGTTAACAATTATGTAATAAAAATTAAAGGATGTTTTATTTTCATGATGATTTTTGTAATTCTCGTGATGGACATTTTTTTAAAATTATTATATAAAACCAATGTGAATTATAAATACAAAATTGAATATAAGAAAAAATTACTAAATAAGTTTGGATTCGTGAGCAACACGTAAATATTAAAACAATTTTAATTATATCAAAAATATTATATAATATTGTATAATTTTAATTCGTAATGCTAAAAGCAGCTTTGATTTTGATAAATTGTGGTGTAAAAGTGTGTTACGTTTGCAGACATACTTTTAAAAATAACGTGCTGTAAAGGCTATATATATTTGTCATAATTATGGCAGATAGTGTGATGCTATAAGTAGGCAGCAGAAAACTTCAAAAGTTTATTATATAATAATATATTATTTCAAGTATAACAAACGAGTTGGAGTCAAACAGGGGTTCCCAAACTTATTAGCCAGCATTGCCCCTTTTTTAGTGAAATTTTGGTACAGTCATTCTGCCAGCTATCAGTTGACACTAATTATTAAAACCTTTATTAATTGTATATATTCATAATACATTAATACCATAGAGAACATTATTCTTATTATAAAATTTCAATTGATATTTACAAAAAAAAAAATGTATTGGTAGCTTGATATTTGTGATTCAGTAACTGTGTGCTCAATCCCTAATCAGTTAATTAATCAGTGTTGTTTGTGGACAATAAAAGGTTTTTTTTAATAACAACCAAATATTTTTGTGACCCTAAACTGCTGTTATCCATGTTAAAGTAATTTATCATTGAAATTTTTAATATTTGTCACAATAAAGTACTTTTTTGATTTACACAGACTTGCTTCATAAAGTGATTAGTTAAACAGTTTAAGAGTTATCGTGGGTCCAGACACAAAAATTAATTTACATAGTTGTAAAAACAATATCTTTTTAACGCCACGTCGAAGCTAAAATAACATTTAAAATTAATATTAGGAAATGTGTATTTTTATCCTATTCTATTATACATTTAACCATATTCTTTATTTTATAGGCAACTAAAGAACAAATTACCATTGACAATCAAATAACTTTAAGATGGGTTATACAATACTTTTCAAAAGAATATTATGAGAATTAAAAGACACACCATTCAAATATAATAAATACATTTTCCAAGAGTTTCCAATCGGTAAAATAAAAATGTTGGAACCAGTTACTTCATCTTCATCCAGTGGATCAATGAAACCTGATTTATGTGAAAATGAGTTTGAAAATATTATTAAAAACATAAAAAAGGAAAATATTGTAGAAGTCTCGGACGAGAATAGTGATTGGGAAGAAGTGCATGAAATAAAAAGAAAACATAATCATGGAACTCCTGAAACTAACCATCATATAATCAAAAAAATTAAGATAGTTAGTGATTTCAATGAACATACTAAACTTCGTAATAACAAAATAGTAGGAGTTAATCAATCAAAGAAATTTAAATCTTCACAGGTATAAATAATATTATTTTCAAATATTATAGCTTAAGTGTAGTTAAACCCATTTCCGGCTAAAAATGTATTTATTTTATGGTGCGCGTACGCACCATTGGCCAAAAATGGGTTTACACCAAACTTTTGCTTTATTTTTTTAATGAAGTATCTCATTAGGGGGAAAGGACTTGTGAAATACATTTATACTTGGCATTTAATTTTAAGTTAAAATTGTGTTTCACTTTTAGATTGCTGTATCCAACAAAATGAATGCTGCTCATTTGGAAAATAATGGTATGATTTATTTAACTTTCATATTTTAAATTACCTTTTAACACACGCTGTTGTAAAAAGTACAGCATCAAATGCTTATCAAAAAACGCGTCTGCTGGAAGGTTAAATTGGAAATAATTTTTTATTAAGGACTTCAATATTGTTTGTATATTATTATCATATAAACATTTCCCAATTATCTAAACATTACAAATACTTAAAAATTATAGTTATTAAAGTATTCTTTTGTTATTTGTAGATCAAAAAGAAAGTGCAATGATGTCTAATGAAAACATTTCTCCTCATTTAAAAACTATTCACAAATGTAAAGACAGTTGTTTATGGTGTATGAGACCATTTGCTGTGTTTGATAATCCAAATCATATTTGTCGAATTCGCAATGTCGAAAAGCAAAATTCTTTTTTAGAAAGTAAGTATGTTTAAGGTATTTATATTAGAAAAAATTGTACTTAAATCTTTATATTTCATCTATCAATGTTAAGTTTTTAATACATTTTATCCCTATTTCTTCTAATTTTTTTTTTTTATAATTCAACATTTCTAGTTGTGCCGCAATTAAATATAGAGTCATGTCTATGTGATCGTTGTTGGAAATATTTAGAAAAAAAATATAAAGAAAAACAATTTGAAAAAAGGAAAGGTTGTAATGATGAAGTTGGTAATAATTCAATAAATACAGCTGAAGTCAATGATGTTAATGGAGCAGTTAAAATAGTAAAATTACATCCATACAAAAAATCTAAATATATTAAAAGAAGGAAGAGAAGAAGAAGATGCTTGCGGATTGATGTAACATGCTCAGTTCATAATTGTTCAGAATATTCAATACATCCCATATCGGAAGAAAAATATGCAAAAATTAAAATGGTTTTGTCAAATTTTGTATCTTGTGATGTAAGTTACTGTTAACACTTAAAACATATAATAATTATAACAAAATTTATTTTTATGTTTACAGTTGGTTTTAATAGAGTCAAGTAAGATGAAAACAAATGTTAAGGATAATAGTAATTCGCCTGTATCCGTTTGCGAGGATCATCTGCATCTAGTATGTCTATCCCCTAGCATATTTGTCTAATTACTAATATATATCTTATAATTATAAATGAGCATTATTCAATACATTTTTATTCAAACAATTATTTATGAATATTTGTGTTTATTATTTTATTTGGTTATTCATAAATAATGTTATGCATAAATGAAAATTATTTGTTAGTATAACTTATTCATTATTTGAGCATTTTCGCACAACTTTTTGACTGTAAGTAATACTTTATTTTAGCTGGATACAATAATTTCATGTCAGCTTTGCGGTGAACTATTAAGTGAGGATTTGAACTCTGAAGACTGGGAAATTTATGATGTGTGGAATAAGAAATTAATGAATGATAAGATACCATTAAAGTTGTGTCCTGGAATGTTTATTTGTATGAAATGTCGTCAATATGTCTCTGATGGTAATACTTTATGTGTACACCTAACTAGTATACTACAAAATATTAAAAAAAGGTAAAATAGCTCATTTTTTAATGTAAAAATAATTATTTAATAATAATATAAATTACCTACAACATTTTTTTTCTTTATTTTTTTAGAGAAAATGCCCGGCTAAGGCTATTTGGATTAACTGATAAATGTGATTTAGAAATTAATAATACATTGAAAAAAAATCCCATTATAAAAGCAAGCGCTAATAGAATTAATGTGTCTAATATGGCAAAAGTAACATTTACTGAACCTGAAATAACATCAACTTTTCTATTTAAATCTGAGGATTTGAGTGATACTTTGGGAAAAATAGATGAAGAGTATACTAAACAATTAGTCAAGTTATTACCTAATTCATATGATAATGATATTAATAATTTAAGATATTTTAACTGTACAAATTTAAATGATTCAAATTTAGAATTAAAACAAGAATTTAATGAAAAATCTCATGATTGCAATGACCAAGCAGATACACCTGATTTAATTGAAGTATCACCCCAAATTGAACATTGTAAAAATGATTCTTTCAACTTAGTCATCTCAAATGCTATCTCGCTGGCTGATATTTCAAGTGTGAATTACTCAGAACAATCAAATATCAATAAAACATATAATTCAAAACCAAATATAAGAGTAGTCAAATTGATGGAATTAGTAAAAAAAGATATTAATGCAATATCTGAAAGTACATTATTAGATAGTAGTATATCAAGACCAACTAGTCCAGATGACGATTGTACTATTGTCTTAAATGATACATTTAATATACCTTCTGAAGTAACATTTGCTGCTAATAAAAATATAATTCCTCCAAATAACGATAATGGTAATATGTCAATATCTAATTGTGCATTAAGACGATTTAGCCCTGATCATAATATTACACTAAAGGACTTATTAAATAAACCTTGTGAAGAATCATTTCCCAGTGATAAAAATATTGCTCCTAGTATTGACGTTGAAAAAGATTTGTTACCATTACACGTTTGTAATTTACTGGATAACGATGACTATTCATTTTCTAATGAAGAACAAACTAGTAAATATGAACCAGTCATTACTAGTGTATATTCACAACAAGATTTACCCAATAGAAATAAACAGTTTGAGGATAACAGTACAAGAAATGAGAATCAATGTATTAATTATGAGGAAATGCCAATTTCAAAAACGTTTTCTTCAAAGAGAACAAATCAAAAGTCAAAAACATTACATTTAGAAAAACGTGCAGCAAAAGCTGATCCGGTGGAAATACGAAAAAAATTACAACACTTGTTACGTCAGAGAATTTCAAAAAATAAAGGTATTAAAAGACTAAACAATGTTCCTACTTACAATGATAGATCGATGTCAAAGGATAGTTCTACACAAGTATATAGTAGCTCCTTTAAAATGATTGAGAATAATGCCTGTTTACGTGCAAATGATAAGAAAATAAATAATTCTCAAAAGACTGTTATACCCACAATTGTTAGTAGTTTTTCTGCTCGCGATAAAATTATGCCATCAGTTTTTGATGAATATTTTGAATCTGAAGAGCAAACTATGAATATTGATTCAGACTCTAATGATGCTCAACAATGCTCGGCCTATGATGAAGAAACCTTGTGTCAGAATGATCAATATATCCATGAGTTCATAGTTGAAGATCCAAACTTAAAAAAATCTGATAGTTCAGAAAAGCTACACAACTCCATTTTACCTGTTCCAAAGTCACTTAAATTTATGCGAAAACTAAAAAAAGTCTCAGATTTTACGCCGTTACATAATAAGAAAGTATTCGATCAATTTGTTGATGACAATTACTCTTCAGATGACGAAATTGATTCTCTGGAAGATAATAAATGTCCAGAATACGATTCCGAACCTGAATCCAACGCTGTAAAACGTCTTAAAGTCATATCTAGAACATTTGCATTTCCACAGAATACCTCAAGTATTTCGACAACAGCAGTCACAAACATCAAGCCACCAACTGTTAAACCTGTAAAAACCACTCAAACAACAAATACTAAAAAGGAAGTTCGTTTTTTTTTAAACGAATCCAATAAAAAAATATTCAATGATTTACTCGTACGATTCAAAAGTGAATCTGATGTATTTCGATACCTTATGGAAAACGAACGAATGTTATATGCCGGTGAACTAGACATTTCGAAAAATGCAAATCCTCAAGTAGCCAAATATTTAAATAGTCATTTGAATTTTTTGAAAAACTGGTTTAGTAATCCTGTTCATGGCGAAGATTCTCTGCCCAAACGTCAAACTGCAAAAAAAATAGAAACAGTAAGGATTTCCTCTGTTCAAAGACCAGTTCATAAAACTATATCTATAACTTCGACTGCGACATCATTACCAAATGTAGCTAACATAGTCGGTCCGGTAAGAAAGAACACTTTTTCACCTAAAAGTGTCCTTCCGTTTGTGGTTTCTTCAAAACAACCAATTACTATTCGACCAAGACAACCTACATTATCCTTGTCATCTCTTCAACAATCCATCTCGCCCAATATCTTAATCCGACCAATACAGCTGCCCTCTCCAAGACCAGTAGCAATAAGGTCTGGAACTTCTTATGTATTAACCAAGCCATCAACTGTTCGTGTACATCAACCATTCGCAAATCAACAAATTAGAAATATATTAGATTTAGGGACGGGCCGTAAGTATATGATTGTAAAAAAATCGGTAGTATAAGAATATATTTAGTATATATTATTTTTAATTGGAACTCCTATAAAAACATTATGTAATTATTTTGTGTTATTTAATAAAGTTATTAGACCTTCCAATTGTGTTCAATACTAAATTGTGTAATAGTCACATATATTTAATTGATTTTGTCCCTTAAATAATTAATTGTATACAAAAATACTCGCTGTTTTTTTTTTTTTTTTAATTGTATTGTTATTTTTGGTATAGATAGTAAAATGTAATTTAGAGTTTGCACTTGATGTACAATAACAACATTTTAACGAATAGTAACTGGTTTTTCTTCTAATCATTTGCCCACAGTTCCTATTCTTATTAATTTCATTGTTTTTGTACTATTGCTCAATAGCTCAAACCCAAATAGCTTTAGGTGTTGCTCAGTAATACAAAAAAAAAAACGCTATCTAATGATAAATTTAGGGAAGTGTTACTTAAGGCAAGGCCAAACATACATGATTTTGGCCGCCAGGCTTATTATCTCTAATGCCACGCTAAAATATCCATCTACATATAAGTGATTAAGAAAATTACTATACAGTAATTAATTTTGAAACTGCACAGCATTGTTAAACAGGCTGCATGTGTACACCTATGCCATAATGGCATAATCCCATCAGCACAGTCCTCCGAACTTTTCTTTGATATAGACCGCTCAACAGTTCATATGGACCCATCATACAATACTATTTTTCGAACCTATTATTAAAATAATATTAAGTGCTATTTAGCTAAAAGTAAGAGTATACCTAGTTAAAAAACACTTGAATTGTACAAATAATATACATACTTATGGCTCAGTAGGAGGGGTAATGAAAAAATTATTAGATCGGGTATGGTTTATTTTCCAGGTATTTCAAAGGGGTTAACAAACATTTTTGAAAATTACGGTGTAACTCTAGTCGCATCAAAAAATTCTAACTTAAAATCTTTGTTAGGTAGTACCAAAGATAAAATAGGGGAAGAAGAAAAATCCAGGATTTATAAAATACAATGTGAAGAGTGTGCTAAATGTTATGTAGGTCAAACAAAAAGAAATATTGGGGTTAGGTTTAAAGAACACATAAGGAACATCAAAAACCAAGAAGTACACAAATCTCCTGTTGCGGAACATTTATTGGACACTAATCATAGTATCAAATCAGTAAAATTACTAAAAAATGTAAATAACTCTAAAGAACTTAATATTAGGGAAGCAATAGAAATGTTAAAAAATAGGACAAATTTGTTAAACTGGAACTTAAGTCCATTACAAAACATTTTATTAAAATTTATAAAATGTGTTGACAAATGAGTCTTCATTTCCGGTGTGACGTCACACCCGGTATAATGACCTTGTGTATATATGTATAGAGGGAGATGTTCGGCCGTAATCGGTCTCAGTCTGTTGTTAGCGCTGAAGATGACAACATTGTCGTCGTAACACGTGTACGCAAGAAGTGTATCATTTTTATGGTTTAGGGTTCAAGTAGATTTTATATCTTTACTTCTTATTAGTTATTATTAAATAATTATTTGTACTTAAATAACTAAGTCAACAATTTAAATACAATTATTTATTTTTAGTTATGAAATATAACACGATTAGGTTTTTTAGTAGTATGATTCATTGAGGTTTGGTGTAATTGTTTTGGCACAAAATGTAATATAGAAGAGTTTGGTGGCACAACATTTTTAACTGGATTCTGAAAAAAACACATTTACTAAATTAATTACTAAATATTATTAATAAAGAAGACAGAAAAGCCATGAGTATTAATTATTAAATATTATCTTTAGTAAACTTTTAATAAGCTCAAAGTGTATAGCACAGTATAACTTTATCTGAGATTATGAATTACTTTCAAACTTGTGTGTATTTGTTTATAGATTTAATACTACCGAAGTACATTAAGAAGAAAGGGTTTTAAAATTATTTATTGTGATTTTTGTTGACATTTTTAATATTTTTCATTTATAAAGGGTGATCAACTTCTAATTTTTTAAAATAATATTTATTTTGTCATTTTTTTGTAGTTAAAAATAGAGTATTTTTTTAATTTCTAAAATATTTAATAGATTATTTCCAACTTGAGTTAATAAAATTCAGGCATTACAATTTAAAAACAACTTTTATAAGAATATTATTTTACGAAGATATCTTAAAAATAAAATAGTACGATTATTGATATTTTGATTGCCGAAAAAATTACTTATACTTATATTCAACAGTTTTTATCATCTAATTTGAAAGTAATTTTATCCCCTGCAATTTATAATAATTCCTAAGACCTGTTAACATACCAATTGTTTTGTTACTATTTCCTTAACTATAGAAGATGAGCTTGATTTTGGTTCAATATAAGAACACTTTAAACCTCCTTCTAGCCAACGATTATGTGTTTGAGGAATAGATTCATATTGTTGCTGAAAAAAAAATTTTAATATTAAAAAATTTGCTATAAAAAAATGTTACTAAAAATAAATAACTTTTAGTTAAACCTTATTTTCTGAAAAAGCTTTAGAACATTCATCAACAGATCTGGACTGGTCACTAAAAAAAAAAAAAAAGTGCAATACTGAGTAATATTTTAACAAGTTAGAATTACTCTACTTATAAGACGTTATGCGCCTATGAAACATTTTTAGAATAAGAGTTATATTTACAGCTTGTAAGTTGCATCACAAATATAATAATGAACATAAAAACTTTTACCATATTTTCCCCAAGGCTTCAATGTTTTTTAATTGTTATTTTAATATAATAATAATTATTATTATTATAATTATAATAATGATTCAAGGTCTAATGAATTCACATTTGGGCCATAGGTTATACCTATATGTGATATTATCGTATTAAATTACAATGTGTACACATTTATAGAAAAACCAAGTAATAATAATAAATATGAAAACATGATTAAAAAACTTAAAAGTTTGATTCTTGTAAATATATAATTCATTTTATTCTGGACAATATGTTTAGTACGTAAGAGGCCCTTAACTTTTTTTTGCCCAAAGGCCACCAAAAGTTTTTGTCTGACTGAACTTTTTTGTTAATAAAAATAAATTAATCAATTATTTAGTTTATAAGAATAAAACTAATTAAAATAAGACAACAGAAACAATTGAATTGTACTAATTTGGGGAAAGCGGGGATGTATGTTACTAATATGTTAGTATTTTTCTTTCTTCACAAAATACTAAGCTTTTGGGTAAATCACGTGGTATACTTGGTGGGCACCCAACTAATTTACGCAACAAATTAGTTTAAGAATTTGAATTATATTACCTTTGATTTTCTTGAATATAGCCAAGCTTATGGAGTCGTCGGGCAACTTCAGATATCCTTGTTATTAATTTAGCTCTAGACTGATCTAAACTTTCAAGTTCTGGAGCATAACAGACATGTAAAACTCCTCCAAAAAAGTTTTTTGTGTCCATTTGTTTTTTTGCAAATCTTAAAAGTTTAAATTGATTAAAATATAAAAAGTGAACAAGTGCCTAATTTTAATTACCACAACTAACCTTGCTGATTGTATACGTGTATAGACGACATGGAAACAATGAGTGAACTGTTCTTGTTCTTCGAACTGTACTTGTTTTATACTCGATACGTGACCGTATCGGTTGCAGAGTTTTTCTACCTCATCGTTTAAATTAACAGAAGGCACACCTCTGATCAATAAATGTTGTGATTCATCATTCACTGTATAAACCTTTTTAAAATAATTAATTTGAATTTAGGAATAATTACTTACAAGAAACAAAAATGTCTACATTACAATACTCTAAGAATTCAATACATTCAAACAATATTAGTTGCTAATCAACCCTTGAATTATAAAATCTAATGCTCATAAAAAAAAAATACATACATTACAAATAAATATATTGATATAATTTACAAAACAGAAAACGCATTGTCAATATAATAAACTAAATCATTACCAAATTAGGCATTTAAGGATACAATTTTTATGGAAGGTAATTTATACCTTAACTGCCGTGAGTTTACGTCCCTGACGGTACTTGGGCCGATTTTCGCAAAACTCAAAAGTATTGTGATGAGGATAAGCCTTGAGTATTTCTACTTCTTGTTTTGACATACTGAATTTTTCGACAATTTTTATTTGTATTTATTAAAAAACTATGAAGATATTGTTTAATAGCAACATAATAATTATTATTACGTATTACTTATAGTGGAAATAATTATTACTTTTCTTATAATAAACAAAAACGATTCCAATTGTAAAATTGTATGATTTAAAATTTAAATGATATCATTAAATTTGTATAATATGTACCAATGCAGTACGTATGTTTTAAAATTTTAAATGTAGAATGTTTTATGTTAATGACGATTGACAAAATGTTACTATCAGATATTCCTTATCAACATCGGCGTTTGCATTGTTTCCTTTGGAAAAACAGTCTGTCGAAATTTTTAGACTTTATTTCAAGCTGGCTTTCACTTACAATATTATGTAACGCCCCCTATAATTTCACCCATCCATGTATTTCTTCCAACAGATCCAACAGATAAAAGAACGTTAAGTTTTAAGCTAAAACTAAAGTGTATATTTATAGTACAGCAATGAGATTAAGTTACTTTGTTGGCAGTGGTGGACTTATGGTGGGGAGTCCGGGTTCAAATCCCCCAGAGCCCAAAAAAAAAATTGTAAATTAGTAATATATTATAGGTATTTATTGTATAATTGTTACAATGTTACTCTCTGAGTAATTTAGAACTTGAAGTAAATAAATATAATAAATAATAATTATATTTTAATTATTATGGGGGTGGGGTGGGGATGTTAAATTTTTTTAATTATTTGTTGTTTTTACAACGAACAAACTTGAATGAATGGTTAAATTGATTCAAAATAACTAACCAAGTGAGTGTTTTGTGAGTGTACCTATCCCGTGGTGTTGCGGACTCGTACGCAAGCTATTAATAATAATAAATATATTGTAATACCTATGTGAAAACCTTTAATAAAGGTTATACCCGAAAACTTTTTTGTATAATATTTCTTTGGTTATCTATTGTTTTAATATAAGATAGTCGTTTTATGAAGAATACTTTGCTGAACATTTTGACTGGTCGAGAACCACTTTTGGATAATTACTTTTAAAGTTTAGGATGTGGAGTGAGATAGAGTAATACGCACAGATAAAAATAACTGTCAATTAATTTAATTAATTTATAGAAGCTGCGGAAATCGATTATTTTTCATTTTTATTGACAAACTTTATTTTTTATTCTTCTTTGCCTTATTCCATCAAGTAGTGTAGCTGCGTAGGCTAGTTAAAAATAATTTTCCTCTACTTTTTTTATTTATTTATTCGTGTGGTTTGTCATTACATGCAATATATAGTATATATAGTTATGATAATGAGATAACAACAAATAAAATACATTATATAGAAGATATTAGTAACGATAGTTAAATATTATTAAGCTAACAGATTAAGATATTTGGTATCAAAGTTGGAGTCCTGTGCATAGACCTATAAAGAAATGGACTGCGCCCCCACACCGGTGCAACCTAAACGGCTCCCATCCATTGTTTGTTTTTTCCCAAACGGCTCCCGTCTAAAAAGGTTTCACGAGTAGGTAAATTCCCAAACGGCTCCGGTATTCGGTACTACGCGTTTATTATCAAGTCTCTTTAACTTTTCAAAAAAACTTAAACTTATAACCTCCTCCTAGACTGTAGCCTACAAACTTAAGATATTTTTAGTTAGCGGAGCGAAGCGACGGCGCCGAGCGAGTGCCAAAACACTCGGAGACGTGCCCCGTCCTTATCAGCTATCAATACGAATTCCGAATTTGGTAAAAGTGATAACAACCCCTATTAAACCTATTAAAATATTTGAAAAAATGATAGAAAATGTTTCGTTTTCTTTCCATAAAAAACTCGCTGACGAGAAGGAAATTGTGCCGTAAAAAACCGAGCCATTTGGGAAGTTTGTTTGTTTTTGTTGTCGAGTGTCGAATACTTTCGTATAATGTATTCAAGTATAATGTATTGTTTTTAATAAACTGGTATAATATATCGGGATTAAATACTTAAAAAAAAATTATAATTTCATTGAAATTTTATCGATGAACATTTTGTTTTACATTTTATAAAACGTGTAGGTATGTTTTGAAAAACAGATTTTCTTTAAAAAACTCAAGACCAACTCTCAATTTACCAACTCTGTTGGTAAATTATCATTATAATATAATATTGCAATAAAAAACTCAAATATGTATTTTTTAATACTAAATTCGAAAAGAATTCGACATCGTACTTAAATATTATGTTAATAAGTCATCAGTCTAAAAGTGAATATCCCTCACAGACCTGCATCTAAATTTAAAAATATTGACTAGATATTGTAAAATCAATACCTTTTCAGTTCCTCATTCAAGCTGAACAGTGTACCTAATATGTACGAGTATTAAATATAAAAAAAATCACAGTGTATAATAATAATACATACAATAATAGCCTCAATTTTGGATAACTAATTAGGGTTAGAACTAACTGAAAAAATAAGACATTAAAAAAATATAATAATAATTAATATTCTGTTAAATTCTATATTAAATCTAATATTTAAACCTATATTAAATTCTGTTATTTGTCGAATTTTTGGATGTTACAGCCAGGCTTAAGTCAATACTTGCCCTTTCTTCCTGTAGCCCACGTCTACCCATGAGAAATATATATGTACTCCATTGTTAAAGATAAAAGGCCAACAAAATATTATTATTTAATTGTCATTGTAATTCATTTTCTATTTACCGAACTATTCATGCGCATGTAACAGTGTAAGCATCTCTTCTTTTTCTGTTTATTATAATAGGTACATCTTTCTCCTTATTTAACCAACTCCTCGGTTCATTAAATTACACAATCGATTTAAACTGAACTGTTATAGATCACGGATTAACAGTGTGTTCATGACTATTTAATACAATAATACGAATGTACCAATGATAAATGCGGGGGCGCAATATTGCAAAATATACTTATACATCTCTACAAATGCATTCTACATCTGGTCCGCCATTCTCTTTGCAGCACGCGAGATCAAGATGATCTAATCACCTTGACATTTAGCCAAACACGTATATATAGGTATTATGTTTTGTTTTATATAATGTAAGGCTTCGGATGTGTATAATTTTGATTTTGCCTGACCTGTCATGGATTTTAAATAACTAACTCGGTAAGCCCATTGCGTTCGGTCCTTGTAGTTTTGCACGAACCGGCGACCAATCGGGACTAAAAATCTGGTACAATTAATACACGAATAACTTATTATCATAGCCACGATGAAAATATTTGTACAGGTAAAAAGTCATATTGTGTACTATTCATTTATTTGTATTTAACGGGTTATTTCTGTTAAAAAATCGAATTATAGTTATCCTAAAAATGTACACGACATATGTTAATTTATATTACTTTTCTATATATTATATAGCTAATTGTATCGATCATCGTATTATGGACAAGTGTAACGAATTGTCAAGATTTCTACGTGCCCGCCGGGGAAGAGAACGAGGTATGTACATTAATTTTTCATTTTTTGACTAAACAAACAGACACTTTATTATCTTATGTAAAAAACAACAAAATATAGACAACTACAATAGTTGAACTACCTCATAGATATTACAATGTCGACTATCGTCCCAGACAAAATTATTATAATATATTTAATTATACAAATATACAAGCCTTAATAATTGAAAATGAACGCCACAGCATGATAGTACAACATGATTTTGAATTAAAAACTAAAATAAATCTAAACAACATTTCGAGTTTTCTAACTTTTTTTTATGTTTTTTAATTTTAAATTTAAAAAAAATAGAATAAAAATTTCTATTTTAGACAACTTTTGAGGTGATTTAAAAATATCTAGACGTGCTAGAACGATTCTGAGGCCACATTTGGATTCAGCAAAATGTTCCCAAATGTATTAATGTTAAACAATTATTATTTATAATTACAGTTAACGTACGAATTTAATTATGAAATCAATGATTTGGTTTCGGGCATCGTATCACATAGGTGGGAATCCAGGTATGGCGATTACGTTAAAGGGTCCTACAGCTTTTTGGAACCCAACGGTATGATCAGAAGTGTGTTTTATGAAGTTGACGGAAACAAAGGCTATAGAGCTATAACGAAAATATACAAACCTACACAAAGTAATAGAATAATAATTTATGTAATTATTGTTATTTAAATTCAGATAATTTGTTTTTATTTTAACGTTTCTTTTAACAAACAGGTCAAAGTGTTGCAAATTTAGAACAATTGTTTTTAATCGTACATAATTTTACATTATTTTATGTTAATATAATATGTAAAAAAACTTAATAGAAGTAAGGAAGAAAGTTAATTTTGAAATTTCTATTTGTAATAGAGTTGTCGAGCAGCTCATAAATGCTTTTGTAAATTTGCAACACTTGACATCGCAAAGCGTTAAAATATTAACCTAACCAAAAATATTTTGTTCAGTTCTATATTGTTTCTTTTTAGTGTTGAAATTGTCTACGTCAGAAATTCCTCGCCCAAACGATGACAATCGACTAGTTTAAAAACCAAGTTATATATCTATTTATTCAAATAATATTACTTATTAGTGATAACTTACCTAAACAACTTTGTAATAGCTAAACTGGTTGTTGACAAATTAAATTATTACGTTTTAATAATATGTAATTATATAGAAATTTATGAAAAATAAGACATATTTTGTTTTAATTAATCAAATTACTGTTCCTAATTACCGAAATGATTTATAATGTTTTGCTGTAGTGGCAACTGAGTCTTCAACAAATATGCGAAACAAAGTCTAAAAATATCCATTTAGATTAATTTTTGGCACAATAATTAATGTGACAGTTATAATAACTGACTAATAATAATTAAGAAAACTAGTGAAAATCATTAACTCCTATAATTACAGCATTAAAATAAATAAAGAAATTAAGGTTCTAACAACAATTTCCTATATCAAACCCTTTAAGAAATAGAAAACTGTAGCAGATGCTGCGTTCTATTTTTGTATACTAAAAAAATCTAGACCATAAACTTCCCATCCTAATTTATGATTTATACGTATAAAACTAAAACGGGTAGTTATATTTTGTTTTTCAATAATTTTGATACGCTTCTATAAAAGAGTTGTCATGGTAACATATAGGTACTATATTTGAATGTATTGATAAAACACTCACTTCAGATATGTATTCAATTGATATATAGTGCAAAAATAATAATTTTAGTTATATTTTATAATTAATAATACAATGGAAGAGCTAAAAGATAAAAGTCTACATTTAACTGCAGAAAAACTAACGGAAGAACTTCAAAAAATGGACATCTACAATAACTTTTTTGTGGATTTACAAGTAAATATGAATAAAAAAACACATTCTTATAGCAATACAGTTATTATAATGTAATTATATTATTTTGTCTGGGAAAAACTATTTTTGTGCGTATCTGATTTTATTACCTGATCTTAAGATCCCAAAAAATACAATTATAGCATAATATTGTTTGTTTTTCTTTAAACTTAAAATATTTTATAGTTCAAAGATATTATTTATATGCAAGACTCTCATGTGAGTCAGACGTGCTGAACATAATTTTTTTAAGACAACTGCCCCAGGGGAATTTCAGAAAATATGTTGTTTTTTTAGAGTATTGGTCCATATTTTATAATTTGAAAGTCAGTGGGTAGTATTTTAGAATAATTTACCACGCCTGAAAAGTGATCTGTATATCAGAAGAGAGTATATATTATATTTTAATATTTATAACTATATTACATTTTATATAAGAGAAACAAATGACAAATGTATAATAAATTTGATATAAATATACAAGATATATATTACATTTTATCGTTTAACTTTTCTTGTGACTAGTCACTCGTTCGAATATTGTAAAAATATTTTTAAAAAATCGAAGTGAAAAATATTAAATTATCTGTTACGTTAGAAGATAGCAGCGTCACACGAAGTATCACTAGACGACTTTAGTAAAACTTTAACTATAGCCGTCAACCAGGGAAAAATGGAAACAAATTTGAGAAATGCTGTGTTTCACTGGTTAAGAGGTCACGACAACAATAAACAAATGGTGGTCAGGGACGAAATCGCCAATCGAGAATCGTTGGATTACATGAGAAAAGCTCAAGTAATGTACATACGTTACACGGACATCAGTAAATTATAGATGTATTTATTATGATTTGAAGTACTTAATTGTTCACTCGAATACATGCAGATTACGTGGGAAAGAAGGATTCAGAAATCACTGGAGTCCATGTGCGATGATTTAGGCATTAGCCTGTCACGGCACCGATCGAAGGCCGAAAAAGAAGAAATGCTTCAAAAATGGAACGAGCTAAGCACGTACAATACAAGTAATAATAATTTATAAACTAAAAAAAAAAACGAGATAATCATTATAGTATATTAATTATTATTGTCATTTGTCACAGAGCTGGTTAAAATCCAGATTTTTGGAATTTAAAAACAGAATTATGTAAACAATTCTTTAACCTAAAAAATGTGTAGTATAAAGGGATAACGTGGCTGAGTGGACTAATGCGGCAGTGTTTTTTACACTCTAGAGTGGGCAACCATTCGAGAAAAAACGGCCCCCCTGTATGGAACAGAACAAGAAACCACCCCACCAAAAATCTTCCCAAGGCCACAACTCTTAATGTTCATCAACAAGGGTTGTTTTAACCAACCCTAAAAAGTTGAAAAACAAATAATTTTATTGAGGTTTAAAAAGTGTGGTTAATCAGGATTTTTCTCACCTCTGAATGAACTGTTCAATTTTTAAAATATCTATAAAATTTATCAGATTCGGAAAGACTGCGACCTGTCTATGCGCCAAAAGACTTTTTAGAAGTCTTGTCTTCGTTACACAACCCCAACTACCGAATGTTATCGTGAGTGATTACTAATTACAAAACCGAAATATAATCGAAAGAGAGCTTGTAAGTAAATACATTTTTTTTGTCTTCAAACAGAGACCACATGATTTGGGATTTCACGTACTTGCCGATAAAGGTGAAAACCCTTGGCGAACTCGTAAGTAGTCAATTACTGTTTACATTAAACGCCATAACTGGCTGAGTGATTATTGTTGAGTGGTGAATTTATAGAGACATCATTATAAGGAATTAGCCTCAGCAGATTTTCTTTTAGGCCTGGCAGCACTGTCGCCAGTTACAGGTAGTTCGAAATCGCAAACAGAACAAGATCGTACCGTTTTGGGAGAAAGAGGTAATTCAAAATTTCGTATGGGTATCCGATTATTTGTCACACACATAGTTTCCTTTTGTAGTCTTGGCAAATGAACACTCCCCAGTTTGTCAAGAATTTTTAAAATTGGGAGCACCGCGCAGTCTCCGAGGCCGTTTATGGTCTCACGTTCTTGGATCCATCACCAAAACTTCGGTAAATATTTAACTTTTTTTTTCCTTGATTTTCTCCAAGTTAGGTTAATTGAATCATTTCCCTTTAGGAACATTACTACTTGGAACTAAAGCAACGAGTGATCAACTACGACATGCTGATCGACAAGTTAATTACCAAAGACGTGCAACTGACGGCGTGTAACGATGACCAGTACTTTGTCTTCGAAGATGTCTTATACCAAGTATACTTTATTCCAGTTATTAAGGTATTTAAATTTAGGTGTACGGTGTATCTAGAAAGTGAGAACCGTACAGGGGTGTCTATTTTGGAAGTAGGTTGGATTTTTTCTCTAAATGTCCCAATGAGACAAAAAAAATGATAAAATAACCTGCTGTGGAGTGTAACCAACTCCTCTAAAGGATGTTCGGGATCAAGAAACCTGCTGAATGACCATTGGGATTTGAGGGGCTTTTATAGGGTGTCTTTGAGAAATCAATCATTCTTACATAGGAAACATTAGGGGTATCACAAGAATTCTGGGAGCCAAGCGCAGTGTAAACTCACTAGAATGGTCCATCAACCACCCCTTTATAAATCACATGACATAATGAGTACTTATGTAATGTAATGTTTGTTGATAGAAAAACCAAACAGTATTTGGGTACATTAATTTAGGCAGATAAACTCGCTGCTTGGGCGTAAACGTCATACTCATAACTAATTACATTCTTTTAGCTTTAATAGAAGTTAAGTAGAATTTTTTCCCGTAATGGACTTTTTAAATTCAACTAGGATTTCCACTTAGTCTCTAAATGAAATCCTTAAAAAGTTTTTACGTTTCTGCGTTGAGATCCTAAACGATATTATTAGGACTCCCTGTGCTAATGTAGAGTAGGGTAGTTAGTGCTTAAAAAGCGTCGTATAATATGATGATGAATAACGCGATCTGTTGTTTTTTTTTTTTAATTTTAGGTAATGCTATGTTTTACTCGTGACGCCGACATGTTAGCGATGTTCAACAATTCGGCCAGCCAACCGATACTGACGACGCTTAAGGGTAACCCTTCCAGCGAAGCCATATACCCTCCAAATGGCATCGTTCCCTTCCATGGTTTCACTATGTACGGTAAGAACGAAAATTGGAAATAACATTTAATCTACCGGGAACCCTCGGTTGAAAGATCAGAACTTTAAACACATAATATTATCATGTAGTTATTATATGTTACAGCCTCTCCGGTTTGTTACTTGTACAACGATCCCGTACCAATGTATTTTACGTTCAGAGCTTTTTACATGCGCTATTGGTTCCGTCTGCATGAAATAAGCTCGCACCCGCAAAGTATACTCGGCCTGTGCATTTTGTATCAACGCCTTTTGCAGAGACACGAAACGATAATCTGGATGCATTTCGTTAGTCACAATATTCACCCGTAAGTCATCAACGTTAATCGGTATTGGTCCGGCACGGCAGAAATTAAATTTAAATGAAAAAAGCTAGAACAGTGCAAACAAGTGTTGTCAGAAATTATTATAATTGAAAGTGATAAAATCACTTTCAAGTTTCAAATAAATATTCAATGAGAAAAAAACATTACCTTTGCATAAAAACATCTACGAATACATAGGTATGTTTGTAAGATAATTCGGTAAAAATTCAGTTTAGAATTCTAGAAATTTATTTTGTTTATAATAAATTAAGTATAGGTAGTGTTTATGCTTTGTATATATACATTTTTAACCCTTCGGGGCTGAGTTTTCTGTTCGCTTAAGACAATTTAAACTGTCTTAAAATCTACATTCTCAAAATAGACTGAACATCGATTTTAAGAACATTTAAAAATTGACTAAAAATAATAAAAGGAAAAAAATATTGAATTACCTTCTTAGCTTTGCATTCAAGGTAAAAATACAAATTTTCTCATATTATCACTATTCGACGACCGATGTCCAAAATTTCATATGTTATCAAATAATTGAATATAAATGTTAGCTGTAAGCTCTATTCACATTGGCGGTCTCGGTTCGGTCCAATCACGGTTAGGTCACAATCGGTAGTGCGTAATCTAATGGAACGGTTTACGCTATTGGTCGCCGTCAGATCATGGACCGGTCAGGTCAGGTTACGATCGGTCGACGCGCGATCCAGACCGCGGCAGTCACGAGCTTTTTAACCAACGCGCTAGTCTAGATCGTGTCATCAATTAGTCGTTTACAATGGACGACGAATTTTTAATTGAATTAGTGTGAGAAAATAGTGTGCTGTACGATTTTTCACATCGTAAATATTATGATACAAATTTTAAATCCAATTAGTGCAAAGAAATCGGGTGAAAATTGTGTGTCCTCTTTTCTAAAATTAGGTTTCAACTTTTGACAGTATCTCCATGTATTCTCCGAGAGACGTACAAAAATATTTATAAAATTTTACGCCATCGTTTACTAACTGGCGATAGAGTGTTGAATATTGTCCTTCTTCCTGGCGAGTCCGGACTAATGGTTGAACCCAAAACCGTCTACTCCGTTTCCTTTCTCTTATTTCTTCCTCTTCAACAAGAATCAATGCGATTTTCATCAATGTACGACTTAAAAATTCCATCATGATCGGATTCTACAACACTTGGTGGCAACGAGCTGACTGTCTAGATTTGATTGTTTGTGACCGTAATTGACCGTTAATGTGAATGATATGTCATAATCCTTGACCGTGATCGGACCGAACCGAGACCGCCAATGTGAATAGAGCTGTACATTACATAGGACCGAGCGTTCAAAAGGGTATATTTATGACGTTTTTTTTAAAGTTTGGATTCAATTTGTTATACTTTGAAAAAAATTAAACTATGGGTCACCCTGTTCACATGACATAACAATAAATATATATATATTTTTATATATTATATTCAATGTTCATTGCACAAAAAAATTTAATTTCTTTGTTATTTTTCATTGCAATAAAATTTGCCCAACGATGCTTCTCAACTTAATATTATGCTGGGTTATTCCAGCTATTAAATTGTATACTATTTTGTGCTATCATTAGAACAAGAGTGGTATTTAAATGGATCATGCGAGGTTTTAGCGGGCACTTGCCTCCAGAACAACTGCTAAATTTGTGGGACCTAATTTTGGCTTACGATTCACTGGAGGTGCTACCACTTTTAGCGGTTGCTATTTTAAGTTTCAGAAAAGAAAACCTGCTACAGGTCAACACTCTTCAAAATATAGAAGTGAGTTACATTTCAAAAACCTTAAGAGTAGCTAGTTTTTAATTTATTTTGAGTAAGTAATTATTTTTTTTGTTTTTTATACTTACAGTCTGTGTTAATAGATTTGTCTTCGCTAAATGTAATGTCCTTATTACAATTGGCGTTAAAGGAACCAATGAAGACGTAACAAAAATATGGATACCTTTTACCAGTTTCTTCTGTTTTACCAGTACCTAAACAAGTAATAGATTTAAGATTGATTATTTTGGCATGGTTTGTTTTGGTAAATATAACAAAACCATTAACCATAAGAAATATATCTGATGTACAATTTTTTAATTTATTAAGTACTTACATACTTTAAATAAGTAATTATATATTCAACAGACAACAACAGTTGATTAACATACAAATATTATGCAATAAAATATTATTTTATAGATGGCATAAACATAATAAATGTATAAATAACATATAAGAACAATACAGGCAACAATAGTTTTTTTTAAACAAAAAACATAAGTTCATAAAAGCTGTAACAATAATATTAAAATACTTAATAATAAAATAAAGATAGTATAACAGATAAATAAAGTTCTTTATTACACAAACTACTATAATAATCTTCAACTTATATAGAAGTTAAGTTATGTAAATTTAAGTTATAATAGATAATCATTGGTATATATATATATATATAAATCAACGGTGTTTATAAGAAAACTTGTATATAAAAAATAAGTTTCTCTTAAAAATAAAACCACATAGTTAATTATGTGTGTTAAAATTTGCAAAAATTGGTAAATGAAACTGGACTAGAAATTTTCATATCGTCTAAAGTATCAGGCAATTTTGTGCCTTTAGTTTCAGGCAATAAAAGAATTAAAATTGAAACAAAAATGGATAATAACCCACAGACGGTACTCGGAATGTACCATGCTTGTGCTCCCTGAAAAATATTTTTTAATTAAATTAAATTTTTATTATTAGTGTACAATTTAAAATCAATAATATTTACCAATATTTCTACTACATATGGCGCTGCGATAGCCCCGATTTGAGCGACAGTCAGTGATGTCCCGAGACTAGTATTTCGAATTGACGTTGGGTACATTTCCGATATATAAAGTAAGCTAATAGAAAATACAGCACTAACACAGAATTTTCCCAATAATGCCAAAGTTATTATGACATCTGTATTTTCTAAAAAAAAAAAAAAAAAACAGTTCTTAAACAGAAAAATTAATTGGTAAGCAATTACTATTTTAATTTATTTTACCTTTCGGTATTACCAATAGAACAATCAATAATATTCCTGACGCAAAGAATAATCCTGAAGTCGCTAATTTACGTCCAACGTAGAGTAACAAAGGAATAGTAGCAACATAAGCTATACCTTCGACTATTCCGTTTAAGGCGACATAAATGTAACGATTGGCCGTAAAATTATCCCCATTCAATGCTATAAAATATAAAACAAAAAAAATTATATCAAACTTTTTAACTTAACATATGATTTTATTATTATATATGATTGTGTACATTTACATATAATATGATCACTACATTAACATTATTTTAATATTATTATTTAGTGTTGAATTTTAAAGAAAAAATGGTAGATTTTATTGATCATTGAGACTTACCAATTACATAATAAGCTAGACCAACAACAAAAGAACAAATATAGGCAATTGTAGTCTTAGCACACATGTCACACGTAGAAAACATGGACGTGAATGTCGAAAGCCATTCTTTAAACATTCCCCGACCGATTTTCAGCTATTCCGTTAAAAAAATTTTTTTATAATATTAAATATCAAAACAATCAGGTGTAATTTGTTTTTGAACCTTTTCATTTTTAACATCAGGTAAAACGCTGATTTCAGCTTCTGCATAAGTCGCTGATGGATTTAGCTTTGACATAGTAGCCCAAGCTAATTTCTTTTTTCCTTGTGACATTAGCCATTTGGGAGACTCTGAGAGATACCTAAAAAATCATGACAAATTTTTAATCCAAATTGATAACGTTGATAATAATATTGTGTTATTATTACCAGCAATTTATAATCATAAACAACAATGGTAAAGAAATAACGAGAAGTAATGATCTCCACGGACGTATATAATAAGCAGTAACTGCTAACAACACATAACCCGTAGGATAAGAGAAATTTAACAAAAGGCAGACCCAGGTACGCGTTTTTCCAGTTGTTAATTCAGTCGCTGAAATACATATATTTCTAAATTATATAAATATTTGTTAGTGTTATGGTATTCTGACACTTACAAATTGTATAAGCGGTTTGGTAAACTCCAGCCCCAGCAATGCCTATGAAAAATCTAGCCGCTAAGAATAATGAATATGAATTGAACAATGCGGCCGATGGGCCTGATACAATATAAATAAAAGCAGCTATATTAAATGCATATTTCCTTCCATATTTATCGGAAAGTAAGCCGAAAAAAAAACCGCCAACAAATTTTCCCAGCGCTAAAGCTGCTTGAACACTGGATTTGAGAACTTCATTATTGCATACCAAATTCCACTAAAAAAATACCACCAAGCTCTATAAGATTAAAGGATGTTAAATTAAAAAATATAGTTGGATTCATTTTTTTTTAATTTGTTGTGTTATTGTTTAACTTAAATATTATCAGTAATTATCTAAATACTTTGATAACTCACTTCGGTTGTCACTGACTCTTTGGTATTGTAGTTAAAATACTTGCACGGTATCAGACTAGCATTGTCTAAATGCTGCATTGACCAGTTATAACCTTTTTTGGCAAATTCTGAATAGCTCCGATTGTAATAAGTACATTCTTCAATTTTATCTGAATGTTTTTTCTGAGAACTGTAGCAAATCAATTAGATAAAGTATTACACAAACGATGACTACTATATTATGGACATCATTAGGAAGATATAATATTTTGTTCTATCATAGAAAAATTGAATTATGAAGAATTATGAGTCTATATAGTTAAGACGAAAATTGTATTGCTAAAACAAAATCTTTACATAACAAACCCAATTATAATCAACTTACGGTGCAGAGACATTTAGTATCATATTATCGTTCCATCTCACCAATTGCAATTCGGGTATGTCACACCAATATGATGGCCGATCAACTATAAATACATACGAGGATATTTGCATGGCATTGAAAATACCGGGAGTACTAGTCATTATTAACAGTAAAATTACGTGGCGCCATTGCTTGCAATAGCTTTCTATGTGCTCGTCTAAATCATCCACCATTTTGTCAATGGGATATGTATAACATAAATTACATTAAGAAATCATGGCTAGAAAAAAAAATATATAAGCTTAATATATAGAAATAATTAAATATGAATAGGGGTATATTAAGTGAACATAGAAAAATATAAGTAAAATGCCCCTTTTTTGGTTATTGTACCTCATTTGCTATGACTAAAAGTAAGCATATAGCAAGTAGGTACTTACTATTGCTTTTGTATGCTTATAATATAAATCAATATTCATTTTAAAACAAAATTGTTTAATAATAACAACTTACATGCTTAAAATGTAAAACTTTACTGGTCCAATGTACAATAATAATTGTCTTGAAGCTTGATTTAATCTTTATACGATTTTCTATAACATAAACGAAACATTTTTATAAAAACGTATAGTTTGTATAATTATTATACCTACGAGTATCATCATTAATACAAAAATATAGAACATTAACAAAAAATTAAAAATGCAAGTTAGATTTTTATAAGAAAAGTTTAATGTAATACAAAATACATATTGTGTTAAATTTAATTATTTTGACAAGCTTATTTTAAAAATACGAGCGAAAACACATATTTATATCAAATGGGTATCAACATGGAGAAATTGAGATAACACGCACTGCATCGTTTAGATAATAACATTATTATTAACTGCAGCTGCAGTTAGCGCACTGCGCAAGGCTATAGATACTAATAGTATCTATAACCTTCGGCCATGAACATATTATATATTCTTCGGCAAAAAAAAAATAACTAAGAAAACACTAATTAACATTTTTTATCAAAATCGACTTTTTTAATATCGTGATTTTTTGGATTCCGATAGTTAGAAGTACCATGTTAATATTTATAATAATTGTAATAACACAGATTATAAGATTATTTTCATATAATCTGTGGTAATAACATATTTCATAAAACCACGATTTAAGATAATATGGTTGCCCAACGAGCCCTGATAATGTGACCACCAAACTGTCTTCGCTGAGAATTGCTATGTGCAAATCACTCCTAGCGCTTTTAGCGGACAAACCACAAAACCAGCATTACCACTTTAAAGAATATTTAGCTTTTTTTTTATTGACGCCTACAGCCTGTATAACAATCACGATTTAAAATAATTATTATCATCGTGGATTTATAAATCCACCTTGGTGTAAATACTAATACTGATTTGACACTTATCTAATGGTTTTAAATAAAAGTAATAAAAAGTGATATTAAAAATATAATACATAGCATTATATAAATGTTAATTTTATAATACCCCTAATTGGTTCCACATTGTCCTATTCGTAGAAGCACCGTCACATGTAAGACCAATAACTTGCCCTCCAGAATCCTCTATTAACATTATAGCTTTTAGTATAAGCTTCGCTAAATCAACACCTTCATAAAAAAAAAATACAATACTAATTCAGCATTTATAGAAACTTTTTCTTGTAGCCAAGTATTCAGTAGTTCTACAACCAATAACTTTTTTTTCAAAAGCATTCTTTTGAAAATGAGAAAAATTGATTTAGTTTATTAACTTAATTTTAAATTAGCATACAGATTAGATAAATAGTTAACCTTTGACTGTTCCATGTGAGGCAAAAGCAGCAATAGGCTGGTCTACATTTTCTGCTAGACTTTGCCACATTAAGACCAATGCATGATTTGCTTTATTAGAACCCTCAATATTTATGGTTATGAATTATACCTACCTCATATTTGCTTTTAGTACACTTATGCATTTTACATGTCTCCGCTGGTCAAAATAATTAATGAATTGTGGTCCAAATTTTGATTTTATAGAACTATATTTATTATCTAAATCTATTTCTTGACTTTAATTTTGTCAAATAATTGTATTATATCTTCTAGTTTTTCAATGGACTTAAGTTTAAAATTAGACTCTATATCAATGTCTGATATTGTAATAGTTTTTCCATTAATTTGAAGAACTATGGCTAAATCTTTAAAGTTTTAATAATATTAAAAAAATTATTTTTATTATTCCTATAACTAGTTAGTATGATAAAATATTTACATAAATTATAGCCAAAAAGAAGAATACATGTTTGGGAGATAATATAATTGTTATTTTACCTCTAGTTAAAACAAGTTGTTTTTCTATGTATCTTGTATAGTCTTTTTTAAAGGGACCGAGTTTATGAAAACAAACATCTCGTATTGTTACTCAACGAATTTGACCTCACGTTGAACGCGATCACCTTGCACAACTGTCATCGAGCACTTCAGCAGTGATGTAGATACGATTTTTTTCTGGAGGGGGTTTAAAGTATACGTACTTTACAAGGAAGTTAAGCTAAATGTTATTTTTACTTTATTTTGAATTAGTATGTTATAACTTATAAAATGAAATCCTATATATATTTGTATTATTTATCTATTGTCTTGTCCTGACCAATATAAAAAAAAGATTTTAGGTGGGGTGGAAACCCCTAACACCCTCCCCCCCCCCCGTAACTACGCCACTGAGCACTTGATCGACATCAAACAAATATTGTTATTGACTTTCGACTCGAAACAATCGTATTGAAAAAATACAACAGCAAAATAGCGCTAATCATTTGAACGAGTTGGCCAATTAATTTGGTCAGCACAATATCGTCCCACACTTAAATACTGTAATTGAATTGATGGAACAGCCATGCTCGGTTTTCAGCACAACACAAATCGAAAATCACACAAGCAGTATAATCAAAATTATGGAGGAATTGTATCCAAACGCATAATACGACTTCACGTCGTCCGATTACGATAAATGGACGACAGACAAGGACTTAGACGAACAAGCATGTAAACAGTCAAGGACTGATAAAGTCAAAATTATCGTCGAACGATATAGATTAAACTTGACCGAAGACGACGACGAAGCCAACAAAGTCGAGTACACTTTAGCGCGAAGGACCATAATAATCGCCGAAGTTTTTAGAAAATATTTAGAAAAATTCACTAAAGAAATTAGATTTCCAAGTAATCTACTCGTTAACTACCTACTCATAAGTCATCCAGTGCATACTAGTTATTGAAATAATTGGAAAAAGACCAACAAAGGAAACATGTCACACGCCTTATAAACAATCACTTTCCGTTAAAAAAGTAACAACGATAATGACAAGAGATGTTTTCATAGGAATAATATCAAATTAGATATATAAGAAATATACTGAATTCAAACATATCTTAACATAATTACACGTAACGTCTTTTAATGGTCCACATAGCATACTATTTTTCACTTTCTATAGTCATAGTCACTAATATTAAAATATTTACAAAAATTAAAAACAATTAAAATTTTTCAAGGCAAATTCGTATTTTAAGCATGTCAGTTTATTATTAATTTTAAGGTAAAAAATAGACACAGGTCTTCTAAAACTCAAGGCTATAATACTTGTTACTACATTTTAATTGGTTTACAAAGTATGTGTATACACGTAATTTATGTATACCAACGAATTTCGTAGTACGAAATCATAATGTATTCATTACTATTTCATTTTGATAGTTTATATTTCATTCTTTTATTCAAGCTGCAGTTATTAAAGAGACTTACATTTATGTAGTTCAATGACCCCTTCAGTTTTTAGTCACAACCAATTTACAGGGTGGCCAGTTCAATTTAAGACACAGAATTCTCCTGAAACCAGTTTTCGTAATTTTGTAGTTCTTATTTCTTGAAAATATTTTACTTCGTGTAATCGAACAATTATTTGAGTATTTCCTTCATTTTTAAATCTCTTAAAATTGTATTGTAGCTAATATAATATAATATATTAACAATAAACAAATATCATAACTATTTAAGTAATTAAATTAAAAAAACAAGAAGAGCCTTAAACCTAATACTTATTGAAAATATTCACTAGTCAGGTTAGGTTTGGTCATTATTGAGAATTACTTATACTTTTGGAAGTTATTAGTATTTAAAGGTAAGTAGGCTATGGGGTCAGGAAGGTGTGACCGCAAATTTGCTCTCATCGAAACATTTAAATGTTATTTGCAGCTAAATTATCTAAAACTATTCTTTCAAATTAGTTTTGGACCAATCGTTATTTTATGCAGACTATTCGTGATTTATTTATTACAATTTTAAATGTACACCTAGCAATAGCAGATTGCCGTTCGAATTTGAATAGGTACACGATAGAATTACTATAAGGAAATTCCTAAGATGATAAAAGTCAGGGGGTCAGTAAAAAATGTTTAGGGGTAAAAAAAGTGTGGTAAGCTAATTCAATATAAATAACTTAAAAAGTTTATAAATAAGTGTTAGTCGTCTACTGAAAGTGTGAGACGCCTGCGTTACTATTAAAACTAATAAAAGTGCCGCGAAGAGTTTAACGAATTTATTCACCAAAGCGATCAAGATTATAATTTATAAGGTTCTAATGTTTTTTTCCCGAAAAGGGAGAAAATGTACTAAAGGTTTTTATGTAAAAACAATCTTCTGATTTCCTAGATAAGAGTTTTGATTTGAGGATTTTTCAATAATATGCTAAATAAGTTTTCAGAGTTGGTTAAATATAGAGCAAATAAGACGGAATGCTAGAGAAAATAATTCTATTTAAGAACATATTCGCTTTATTTTAAAAACTAATAAATATTTTAAAAACAGTTTAATGAAAAATATTATATTGTATTTATCTATAATAATATTATTTTAATAACATAATATGTATTTCCCTATATATAGGTTACTATATAAAAAAATCATCACGCTATATTATGGTGTCACCAAAAATTACCTACACCGAACCGAAATGTTTGGCATCCTATTGAATATACAGGTAAAGGTTCAAAGATGTATTTTTTATTATTTAATTAAATTTCAAAGTAGTAAACATACCTTAATATTAATAAGACATATATAGATGAAGTATACAAGTTGTGTTAAGTTTTGACCAGTTAGGGTTAAGTATAGACGGCACTCGGTAAACATATCTGGTAGTGTGAAAGATAACCTCACCACATAGATCTGAAAGGGACTTTGTCCCCCCCGTCTTTCAACCTATCATAATATATTTCTACATAGTTTGTTTTTATACAACCGTTTAACGTTTAAGATATAGTGGGAAAATATAAAAATATTTACAAGTACATTAAAAACGAATGCTTCTAACCTAACCTAACTATAATTTATAAAAATATAATGTATACAAAATACAAATAATATAAATTAATAAAAAAAAAGATGTTTTATAAAATAAACTTGCGCCGAAAATATATAAGAATATATTATTTATTTTTAGTTAATTTTTAGGATGGTTAAAAATATATTTGTAACCCGCAAATCCTAGTATACAGCAAAGAAATAAAATAATGGAATAGAATTTTCAAAAATACCTTTCTAACTCGTATTTTCCAATTATAACAAAATAATTATAAAACGTACGTATACTATTGGGAATATCGACCGCAGTTCGAAACTGAGTCAACTCAATGTTGTAAAATAACTTTCAATTCACAACTGCATTATTATTTTCTATACAACTTTAGACGCTTTTAAATCATTTTTCAATTGAAAATAGGACACTTAAAAATAATTTCATTTTCGAATTAACGATTTTAAGACGTCTAAACTTTTATAAGGAATCATTTTAGTTTATTAATCTTTTTTTTTTTACTATTTTTCAGAGTCTATACATAATATGTATGCTTATATGTGAATGGAAGTACAACGAAAAAAATACAGCTCGTTTTTATATATTATCTTTAATCGCTTACCTGTTGTACTTGTCCGAAAAACTTGATCGTAGATATAATCCAATACAAAAAATAATAAATTTCTGTTGTCTGCGACGGCTGGTTGTAGAAAAATGACTGCACGAGGACAACACTGTGGCCGTACTTATATAGTGTAAATTACATACATGATTAATAGAGCGCACGAGTAGTTAAAGTCATAAATACCATCAACGTAAAAACGTGTAACGGATGTCCGAAGTAATCCTCAATTACAGAACACAATCTCTCGCTAATAGGCCTATTATGTATGTATACAATATACTGTATATTTGCAACTTAGTGATGTGCGTACTGTACAGCATGATAATCAATGCCACCGTGGCTATCATACCACAGGATATCAATTATATAAATGAAATAGTTATAAAATTCACCATAAGTAATGTAAGGGTTTGGATCGGAATTAGAAATCGTATGTTGTGTAGGATACGGCAACAGTACCGAAGGGTAGTGGTCAACAGTTTCATAATGACCACTGTCCACTAAGTATAGATATCATACCAAATTCCTGAACTGACGCCATAAATCATAATTAGGTTACAATATATTTTATACATGACAAACCTTATATTGTTAACCTTACTTAACCTTATAGACCTACCTAATTATTAAACTATAATGTATTACTACAGCCTACATGACTACATACCTATTTGAACGTGTTTTTTACAGCTGTTGATTAATTTTATAATCTAATGGATAGGCACATCATAAATAATGCATCGTGCTTATTTCTGCTGGAGCATATCTATATCTACACCTAACCTATTATAATTTGTTGTACTAATCTATCATAGTTCATACGTCTCAACTTTTAACTCTTATGACAGTTCTCGTCAGTTTGGCTTAAAAATGAAGTATAGTAATTAGTAGTACCAAAACTCTAAGCTAAATTATACCTAAATGTTAATCCAAATTGGTTAGAATGTTGAATGGCTATAATAACCAATATATAGGTAAGTCATACAAATATATAATAATGTTTAAAAACTTTATTCGTTAGATAATTTTTTTTGCAACCAATTTTCCGTGCAACACACATCTTCTACCCCTATCTCTTATCTCTCACCCCCTATCTCCTATCCCTAGTCGTCCTCGGTGCTCGTCCTCGGTCCTTTAGACGTAAAAATAAAAATATTGCCATTTTAAACACATTTTGAAATATATTCTATAACGTGTAAATTTAATTTCGGTCGAATTTTCAGATCTTATGTAACAATAAACTTCAACCAAAAAAGGATAAAATAATGACAATTTTATACCTCGTCTATAATTATATATTATTATTGATTAATATTTTCTTAGTTTTAGAATTTTTTTTAAAAATTTAGAACTATTTAGATTATTATTTGAAATGTTATAGCCGTATATACAATTTTTCAAATATGTAATTTATTTAAATGTTTTCTCTATTTTCGAGGATTTTTTCTACTTAGTTGATCGAGGAGAAAAAAATTATAGTATACCTACATAAATACTATTATAGTAGACACACCTAATAATAATAATAACACACTATACATCTTCTCGGTTTCGCATCGTAACTTGAAATTAAAACTAATATTACATAACATCTACGCCTCATAAAGGTAATAGGTATTATGTAATATGATTTTATAAATAATTTAAGAAAAAAATTGTCATCGTTGTTAGGTATAGATGTTAAATATTATAACAGTTGGTGGTAGGTGTGGAAAATCTATTAGTATTTTAAAAAAGGTCACCTGTATAGTTTAAATTATACAATTATTTTATATCTAATTATTGTTTGAAAGTATGACAAGTTTTTTTAAAAGCACCAATGAAATTAATGAATAATTTATAATGTTAAACTGGGTGGATTTTACCTGTAAAAAAACAAGAATTTATTAATATTAACTAATGAATATTATATTGAATTATGAATTTGATATAGTGTAATACAAATATGCTATGATTCATACACGATGTAGAGAAGATAGATCGTGGATTCATAGCTAATGATTTACGGATAATAAATAATAATAAACTTTTGACAGTTGGCAACACCATCAAAATCTTTTAAATTTACTTAATCTATTCTGTGGCTACATTGTAACTATACTGTGATAATTATTGATAAGTGTATGGTCTGATAAAACCTATTACCTGAGATAATGCATAAGTCCGTGGATTGGACGAATACGGAACAACTATATGCCGAATGCCGATTGCCGACTACGGACAAATGAAGATAAAAGTTATAATTCTTATTCATCTAAAGGCATAATTCTTACTTCTCGCTTATATATTCATTAAAATTTGGAAATTATATATTGTTTTTTTAATCAATTAATATTAAATTAATGTGATCTACTATTAAATATTATTTTTGATAACTGGTTAAGATTTATACAAATAGTTTAACATCTTTATGGCTTAATATAAGTTAAAAAGTGAATTTTGAGCTTTATTCTATTATATACAAAATTATATCATGTTCAGAAACGTACAAATATTTTGCAACGGCTTTAACAAGGTACACATACATGCATTTTGTTTTATTTACCCCTTTTGAACACTTCATACTGTTACTGTAACTTTATCTACAAAGCTAGGTTATTTAAAGGGTGATTCATTAAAGATGGGACACTCATTTTCTCTTAGAATAACTGAAATTTTGTAGTTTTTGATTTTGGGAAACATTTTAATTTATATTATTTTACAATATTCCAAACTTTTCAGAGCCCTACCAACTTTTAAAACTTTATATTATATATTTAACAACACACATATTATAAATGTTGAATAGTTGATAATCAGTTTTGATAATTATTTTTAGAGTCACTAGATTTTAAAGTTTAGGACGGGAGTGGATTGTAGAATAATGCACGCAGAAAAAGTAATACTACATTCCATTCTTCCTTCTGTCCTAAATTTTAAACGGTAGCAACTTTAGAATTAATTTTCCATAACTGGTTATCGACCACTCAAAATGTTCTTAATTTTAAAAGTTATGTTACCGCCCAAGTTTCAAAAGTTAAATCTCTGATAGAGCTCTGTAAAATACTTAAGAAAGTAAATATTTTGTAATTTTATAACACAACATAAACAAAAAATGTTTTCAAAAAAAAAATTACAAAATTGCAGTAAGAGAAATTGAATGTTATTTTGACCTACCCATGCTTAAATCTTCCGTTTTTGTTTGCAAATAATGCATCATAGAATGTGTTAATAACATGCTGTGCGGGACAAGTACGATGGAGGAGCAACAAACATTACAAGCCAGAGTTCAAAAAGTTGAGAGCCCAAAAGGTTGGTTAATATAGGTCTTCTTATTAATATTTTTTTAAAATGGTATATTTTATTTTAATAGGTTATTAAAGTAGAACTACCAAATTTTAACCAAGATAGGTTAGAACGTGACAACTTTAGTCCAGAATACATACGATCAAAGTACAAGGAAAAGGGCATTCAGCCAATACCCCCATGGACAGAAAATTCAACATTCATTAACAATACTGGTGCTATTATTGAACCATATGTACCTCCAGAGGGAGATGGCAAAATATCGCCTATAAGCACTGCTGTAAATTTTTCTACCAGAATAATATTGTTCTTTTAATAGTATTGTAATGGAATAATTTTCTTAAGGGAGCCAAACAAAAATTAGAACTTTTAAAAAAGAAAAAGGATACTTGGCAAGCCATAAGGAAGATTCGGCAAAATGAAGAAGACTTTGAGCTGTATCCGGAATTTATAGCTCTTGCTCAAGACATTTATATCAAAGCTCATCAAGTAATGGCCGAGTAAGTTTAGTTTAACTGCATATTGATGCTTAAGTCCACACATGTGTTACATACACATTTATGAATTAATTAACGTCATAAAAGTATTTCATATACCTCATTTCTGCACAAAAAAATAATTTGTTTTTTTATTACATACGCATTACATTATTGATACATATGCTTTCTATTACTTAAGATATGTGTAGGCTTAGTTATTGATATTATTGTGTTTTAACTACATAGATGGAGTAGTTGGCATAACACTTCTAATTTTTTGATCGGATGTTATCATAAGACTTCATCATGTGTCGTTCATTTAAAAAACAGTTCTCCAACCGGGTGTTTTTCTCAGACAGTATCTCTTCATTATTGTATGAAAATAAATGTATTTAGTTTTCTTAATCTATTTGGTTGACCACTCCTATCAGTCCTCAGGGATAATGTTCTGACTTCCCACTAGATGTATGATTAATAACTATTTTAATTTTCAGTAAAGACAAGAAAAATTTACTTAAATACGTCACAGAAAAAGCATATGTGGTAAGTAAAATTTAGTTTATTTTCATTTTTAATTTTCACTCCAGTGTTGTGCTAAGGTCTCAGTTTTTTTACTTGCCCTTTCGGTAAGTCTGGATCCTAGATAATTGTTTTAACTACTAGACCAATTTTAAATTGTATCCTGATAAAAATTGGTTACTAAAGGCACTTTATCAAACAGGGTTTAACTTTAAATTATCATAAATTTTATGCTGTGTATTTATAATGTTAATTCAGATGCTAATCTGTATATCTATTTTAAGGAAATGGTTAACAATATCGATAGTAAAACTTTGAGGTGGTCATTTATAAAATCCATTGAACCCGCTCGAGTAGTCCATGCACGAGTAACAGATATTGTAACTCAGGATAATTTGTTCGCTCAATTAACAGTACGATTTCATACTCAACAGGTGAATTGAATTTCATTATGCACTACATTAAGCTCAATTCGTGGTCTTGGTCCGATCACGATTAAGGGTTATGACTTATGACGTATTATTCACATTTACGATCACAAACAATCAAATCTAGTCAGTCGGCTTGTTGCCACCAGGTGTTGTTGAATCCTGTCATGTTGGCATTTTCAAAGCGAACTATGATGAATATCCGCATTAATTCTTGATGAAGAGGACGAAATAAGAGGAAATGGAGTAGACCGTTTTGGGTTCACCCATTGGTCCAAACTAGCGCGTTGATTAATTCACGCTAGGCAGTCTCAAAAAAAAAGCTCATGATTGCCATGGTCTGGATCGCGCGTCGACCGATCGACATCTGACCAATTGTGTGAACTGTTTCATTAGAATACGCTCTACTGAATTTGACCGAACCGAGACCGCGAATGTGAATTGAGCTTTAGATCGATATTAACTAATTTTTTTGTGTTACAGACTTTATCTATTTTTGATCGTTTTGGAAGACTTATATTTGGAAGTGATGTAATTGCTAAAGACGTACTGGAATATGTAGTCTTTGAAAAGCACATAGTAAATCAGTATGGTGTATGGAGAATACACGGTAAAATTATTCCTGATTGGATGCCTCCTCGAGAACCAGTTAGTGTAACATATCCTGTTCTTGGCGAAGCATCAGTTATAGCTCCAACCGCACTAGAAGGAAAACCAGACGAAGCAAATTCTAAAATAGTACTTCCCGACGCATAATAAAAATAAACAACATTAAATGTATGTTATACAATAAATAAACAGTATAAAATATAAATAAAGATTTAGTTTTTTTTTATTAAGTTATCTTTTTATTTTCTGTACAATATCATTCGTCTGAATATAAAAAAGTTAAAAAAATATATAAAATATAAATCAAAAATACCCATTCCAAATTATAATACTGAATGTACAAAAATACATTATTAATAACCTTAAACTATATAATGTAGAAAAATATAATTTGTCTAAATCAAAACTTAACATTAAACAACCTAGCAAATTAAAAAATGATAAATAATTCAAACAAAACTACTAGTTGGATGGTCTAAATATATAGGTTTTTTTACTTTGCCATCGGTTTTCTTTTTTATTAATTGATTATTTATTAAATTTTTAGGTTTTGGGGGCAAAGGGGGTGGCAAATGACCAACAATTTTAGTACGAGTTTCAGTCATTGGTTTTGGTCTTTTAAAATCTCCATCATTTTGTGATGTATAAAAACAAGCAGTTTCTTTACAAGCTCCTTTTTTATCACTCAACCTGAGTGATTTACGTTGTTTCTTGTTAGTGTCTAAACTATCATTTTCCTTATCCTAATGGAAACATACAAACAAATGGTTATTTTTTTTCGGGAAATAATTACTAAAAATAATATTAATTAAGCTTACCTTTAGAAAATCTGGCATTTCAAAATTTATTTCTGTACCTCGTTGGTCCTCTAGTCTGCTTCGTTGAGCTCTTTTTAATCCTTCGTACAATGCTTTTAACAAATTTAATTCATTGCACGTTAGAAAATATGTTTTGCAATTAGAATATTTAGTTTTTACCATCACTTTCTGTTTGTCCCTCATTATGTATTTTAGTAGTCGATTTTAGTTTAGCGATAAGTGGCGGAAGCTTATTTAGAGTTTGCTTTTTTTCATTACTACTGTTTATTTGTTCTTGTATTACGCATTGCGATTTACATGTTTTCTTTATTTTCTAAAATAAAAAAAAATTAAGGATTTTCATATCATACATTTGCACATTTATTACAGAGTCTAATATAAATAATGTAATATACCCGTTGTTTTTCATGAAATATTGAATCTCTTCTCAAAAAACGACTTATTAGATTAGAAGATTGTTCTGATCCACATTCTTCAGACTAAAGTATAAAAACACATTAAATTATACAGTTTAATTTTTTTCATTTACCAAAAGGCATTTAGTTTTTTTCTAATCACGCTCAAGATTTTTATTTTTAATTTATAACCCTTTCCCAAAAAAAGACAAGGTTATGCTAGGGTTGGTGGTAACATCTATTTTTCAGTGCTGAGGAGTAGAACCTAACCAGGAGTAGGAGTGGCTGAAGAGTGGAGGCAGTGAGTTAGTGCTCACTGTTGCTGATTTGACACTCGGTCACAAGTGCTCAGTTATCTGAGCAAGTAATCGTTCGGTGAGAAGGAGCTGCCATTTCCCCACAGGTATTGGACTGACGACCTGTCCTGGACAGAAAATTCTTCTAATAACCATCTCATCATGGCAGCCTGTTAAGCTTGCATGATGATGAGGGGTAGAACCCAGCAACTCGGGCGGTTCTGCACCTTTTGTGATACTACACCACACACATTGGCTAATAATAAAACAAGTTATTTGGAGAGAAATATCCAAAATATAATACTGATATCTTGTAAAGAATGAGCTTAATATCCTTTGCAAAAAAATGCAAAACTGAAGTACAGGATAACTAAATTAATTTTTTTTTTTACTTAAAATAATTGAAATATTTAAAAAAAAACAATAGAATTTATCCAAATTTGTAAGGGATATTCTTTAGTAAAATACTACTAATAAAAGTGATAAACCAATAAAATACTAATGACCCATATTTTTTTATTTTTTAAGGTTTTAAGGTCTGAAAATTAAACTAAAAGATAAACCTAGTAGAGAGCACTATAACAATGTTTTGTCAAAAATCTGTAGTAGCACGTTTATTATTTAGGAAAACCCAAAAAATAAAATAACATAATTATATACAAATTTGACGGTTTTGTCCATATATAATGTGTTATTGACCACTTTTACAGGTTTTTTTTTTTGCAGAATATGTATATTTTGCGGAATACATTTAAATCTATTTTAAGAATCATATCACCCCTGAATTTTTTGATCGCACATATTTATCGTGAAATAAATGTGGAAACGTATCAAATCCATTAATAAAAATGTTATTTTTCATTGATACTGTAAAATGTACGGATTGGTTCTTAACACATTATTCAGACCAAACCTTCATTTATTGCCTATACAAATTTCTATTTCTGTAGTGGGATGATTGCGTAAGTTATATGACACTTTTACTAACTTTCAGAAAAATACAATTAAGGTTTTTAATTTATACTAAAATTCTAACACGGTTTTATTTCTATAAATATTTTAAATATATTTATTATAAACTAACCTTTATAGAACCTTGATCCGATGATAATTTTATTGACTCTGGACATTTATTTTGCAATAAATCTTCGAATACTTGATTGGTTAATTCGTCTAAATTAGATACATCGTCACCACTTTTTACTGCAGGAAGACTTTGGGAAAATGATGATGCCATATTACTTCGAGTCAATACTTGGATTCTACGGCCTTCGACCAAAGAAACATCCATATCCAAGTCTATAACTTTGTTTTCACTTATCTAAAAGAATTTACAACTCAGTAGATTATATTAAATTATAGCATGGATAAAATAACTAATTAAATAACTCACTGAGCATAAAGTGACTAATTCCATTTCGTAGCCATATGATGGTAATATAGAACTTATTTCTTGTCCAATAGTTGAATCTACTTTACAATCAACATTAATCATTTTTCTATCAGGAAGATCAAGACGAAACAATATTCTTGGTTCTACTTTTACATCTAACCCATCTAATATACATGAGCAGTTATTTAAGTCGATAATCTATAAATAAAATTGTACATGAAAAAAACATTAAAAAAAAATTTAAGTACTATACTATCTGGCATTGAATATATTTTTATGAAAGTGATAGTATAAAATTAAAATTTCTACTAGTAAAATGTTACGCTTACCTGTTCACTATTGTTGGCCTTTACATTAAAATACTTATACGGATAAGCTCGTTTATCAAATAATTTCTGAATAAGAATCTGAACGCTCAACTCTTGATTGACGTGCAATACAGTCGATGATTTATCGGGTAAGGTGACACGACAGAGACCAGAAGTCAGTGGAGGTTGAGTAGTCGATTGTCTTCTCCAAGACAGTATTGATTTTTTACGACTTCCAGTATTCACACAATATTCAGTGGTTCTGGTAGTTGTTTCATCAGTATCACAAGTCTAAAATTTATAAATGTAAATTTTAATCACAAATAAACATTCAGTAAAAATTAAAAAACAATCATTAAATGATTTATCACTTTTTTGCAAGGATGTTGCAATGATTTAACTAAAGAAGTGTCTTGATCAACAAATGGTATATTATTGTCCATATGTTCGACTAAGCACATTTTAAATAAGTCAGACTTAATAAATCGTGGATAGCTATCAAATTTCATAAGATTGAACACTTGTTTTTGGGCCTGAAACAAAAAATATATATTACAACTTTATTTTAAACTGTAATAAAATAATGGACCACCAAAAAAACGAACATGTAAAAAGAGACTTGGATCGGCTTGTTCAATCTGTTCAATAGTAAGATTTGATGCTTTCGAATCAACATTTACAGGTTCTAATGCATCACATGCTAAATGCTTAGCATATATGTCACGAGCAATAGCGCATCGTAATTCTTGGTCGCTAGTCGAATAATATCGTTCGCATGCGGTCCAAAAATATAAGTTTTCTGCACTAAACTCCTTTTTCAAAAATTCCTGCATAACAAATAAAACTAACTTATTAAGTTATACTGACTAATATTTGCCTACATGGTTGAAATTTTAATCTAACTTGATACTATCAAAATATTTCCTTGCACTTTATGCGGAGGTGAAAATATCATCAATTCTCTCTTATGTTTGTTTACGAATAGTGGCCAACAGGAGGTTTTATTTAAAAAATTATTTATTTTTAGTATTTTTAGTTATTATTTTGAAAGAAAGAAAACAAATTGTGTATAATCATTATTCCTGCACTATTCAACATAAAGTTGTTTCTTTACAAACAATGTTATGTTCACAAAAAAATGCTTGGCTGTTATAGGAACATCAATTGGCAAGTTTAAACTAAACAATTTTATTGTTAAATTTAACACATTTTAATGTACTAACTATAATTGCAATAAATTTGAAAAATCCAAGTCGAAAAAGACTATTCATATGCTGGTAATATAGATTCTGTGGTGATAGAAAAAGCAACTATGTCCCCCTGAAACTTGAAAGTACATAGGGGCGGGCATAAGGCATTACCAAACATTATAAGTATGATGTTTATGTACTAACAACATTGCTAGAGTTGGAATAACCTGTCTTTTTAGGCCATATTCATCCAATCAATTTAAAAGCTTCTTGTAAAAATGTGACAAAACAGAAGTAGGGGTTGACAAAAAAAAAAAAAAACATTACAAAAAATAGGTAAGCTAGCAGAAAAATAACATAACATATTTAATAAAACACAAGGCTACAAAAAGTGTGTAAAATAAGCAATAACACCATGATTGAAATATACATAATTATAGCACATATACTACTTCATCAAAATATTCAATGACTTTTTTTTAATTAGCCTTTCTTATTCTTCTTCTTCTTCTGGGCTTTTACAGGCTTTTAAGGCCCATCGCCGCAACAACATATTGTCTCCAACCCTCTCTATCATTTGCACATTCATCTGCGTTCCTTATGTTCAGAAGTTTCAAGTCTTCTTGTACTCTATCTGTCCACCTTTGTCTAGGGCGTCCTCTAGGTCTTTTAGTGTCAGGTTTCCATTTAGTTATTGATCCAATCATTCCCTCTGATCTCCATACGTGCCCCGCCCAACTTATCCTCGTGCTCTTCAGGGACCCAATAATGGTAGGTTCCTTATAGAGATTATCCAATTCTTCGTTGTTTCTCATTTCATACTCTCCATCGTTATTTCTCTTTGGACCGAAGATTTTCCTTAAAATCTTTCTTTCAAACACTCCTAACTTTCCTTCGTCCGATTTTGTCGTGGCCCATGTACCACATGCATATAGAGCAATTGGTTTAATTATGACTTTGTATAACGTTATTTTAGACTTTATTGATAGTAATCGTGATTTGAATAGTGGCATTAGACTATAGTAGCATCTATTTTAATTAGCCTTTATTATTTAGAAATATGATGGCTCAACAATAAAAACAAAATATATTCTATGATAAAAACGAATATGTCAGCATAACAGGCAGCCAATCAAAATCAAGTATACAAGTACATGATAATATATATATATATATATATATCGCTGCCCTGGTAGAACAATGACACAACTGCAAAATTTGGTAAAATGGACTAAATGCTTCAATGTGTTTAGATATGGCAAACGCATAAGGTAGAAAAACGACGCAACTGTAGTTGTAATAATTAATTGAGCATTCATGAATTATTAACATTTTAGTAAAAAATAATTTGGTTTTTTGGTTCTCCTGTAAAATGTCAGTTATAGCAGTTGTGTCATTGTTCTACTGGCGCGGCGAAATATAGTTATACTTAAGTACATAGTAAAATTGATATCCCGTTATGTTGTCATTTTATTTCTGAAGATAAGAGTTCGAGACAATGTGCAATAACCTGTATATTTCAATCATGAATAACACCGTCTGAATGCTTAACAAAATATGTATCATATTGTATAAGGACGAGTAATTTACTGTAAGAAAATTTGAATTGTATTAAGTTAAGTTTATAATTTAAGAAATTGTGTTGTTAAATTTTTTTATACTAATAATGCTTGAATTATTAATTGGACTAAAATTTATAAATTGCTATTTATATAATATTTATATAATATATGAAATTCAGACTTTTTGTCCTACTTTCAATACACCATCTAGACTTTTTTGGTTCAGTATTTACTTTTTTTTATCCTCCTCACATGTGTTACGTTCAAGAAGTCAAATCTAATTGTGAGTATTTACATAATCTACACTCACTGCAAAAGTTTGTGATGCAACTGGATCTTGGAGAACTCTTTCAAAAGACAATGTCCAATCCTGTCCTTGATTAATTTTCGACTCATTCTAAAAATAAAAATTTAAGTTCATCAACAAAAAATTTGAAACAACAAAATTTTACATGGAAAAATTAGAATTTACTACCAACGAGGTTGAAGTGTTTATTAAGTTGAACGTTTAGTTCTAATATGTATTAAATAATTTTTCCAATAAAAAATTGTTTTTATAATCATTTTTGTATAAAATATACTCCATATTATTTATTTGCTTTAAAATAATAGTATAGACGTTTTATAATATTCATATCTGAATATGTAGATAACTCCCTACCAGAAACAACATAATAATAAAAAAATAAAAAATATATATATATACTGGAAACTCGTTTAAAACGAGTCATTATAAATGATAAAATTCTTAAAAGAAGCTGATTGTTCCAATTGACGTGACCCCTAAAATAATTATATCTTTTAATCGTTTAACTACTAGAAGTTAGTTTTAACAAAATTGAACACTAACAAATTAAAAACCATTATAATAAAACTATTATTTACCGTCGTTTTGCATTCAAAGGAATTTGTACGTCTTAACACACGTACAAAAGATCTGTTAGAAAAGGTAACACAACTAATTTTACGAAAAGGTAGCATATCCTTTGTAATACAAAACTTGCAGGACACTTTTTAATTAACTTAAATATGGCACAACAAACATGGACGACTCCACATATAATACATGTATGAATCTAAATTATGTATGGATGGCACATAGCAATGATATTGATGTGACGCCATTACATACTACAAGCTACCTATCGTCACATTTTAAATTTAAACTAAAACTACATGTACAGAATATCAATTATTTAAAAACACGTATTAATAAAAGTAAAATAAAAGTTAATTTTATCTTTTGTTAAAAAGTAATAACAAAAAATCAAGAAATAGCTAATTCTTTTTTTTTAAACTTCTCGTTATTCCTAATATTTAGTACTATAACTAGTATTCATGATTATTATGCTACAATTACTTTTTTTTAGGTATGTTTACAATGACATCAACACATTTTTATTTGTAAAGCCGTATTTGTTTTGAATAGTTTTTTTTGTTGGAATTTCCGTATAATGCAGTTATTGTTACAATAAATTATGATCTTAAAATGAACTAAACAGCTGCCCTAAATGACCTATTTATTATATTAATGAAATATATGTTACAAACCAAGGAATCCATAACAAAATTATGAGCTTTAAAATAAAAATAGTTGTAGTAAATATATTGAATTGTTAAATATTTATTATAAAACAATTATCACTAGTTTTTATCTAATATTACACAATGATTATGTTATGTTTGATAACATTTACCCTTTTTTTTTGTATTAATTTGTACTTAAAATACATTTATAATGTGTTAAAACAAAATTGTTATAATCCTAAATTAAATGTAAGTAAATTAGTAAATTCAGAAGCTTAAAATATAAGTATATAGCCAATTTAAAACTGAATTAAAATATAAAAAGTGAATTTGTCTAACGTTCCAAGAGACACAAAGTATAAAAATTGAATTTTATAATTTGATTTGAATTTTATTCATTAGCGGAAACACTTAAACATATTTTTAAGTGTTAAATATGATTGGTTTTTTTTATAAATAACTATTCCTGACATGAAAAATTTACAAAATTGTTTCTGGTAATGAATAAAATAAAATACAAATCAAATTATAAAGTTAAATTTTTATATTTTGTCACTTAGAACGTTTGACAAATTCACTCTTCAGTTATAATGTAAATAATACATTAAGATTTTATTAAAACAACAATTTTTCTCTATTGACATGTTAATTTTTGTTAGCTTTTTAAATATAATGGTATAATTTTTTTTAAAACTTTTGAATTCAAAACAATTTTTACATAGTTTAAGTAACTTTAAAGACAATAAAAAAAATACATCAAAATCCGATTATTTTGCAAGCAGATGTGAAAAAAATATTAATTAATACTTGCCTCAATCTATTATATTTATAAATTATCATCATTAACATAAGAATTAAATTTTTAGAAGCATTATGATTTATGAATATATCAGAATTTTGTATCTTGTATTCATGCTTAACCTGCTTATGATGCATTATCTCATAAGGTATGATTAAAAAAAACAGACTGAGTATAATCTTCTTAATTAGGAGACTAATCTTACATCTTTCTTAAGACTCTCCAAACCTAGCCACTTTTTATTTAATAAAACAAATAACTATTTATAATAATAAAGAGTTTTTAGAAATATATTTTTATTAATTGTTTTAAACAATAAATTATTCAAAATAATTGATTATTAATGATATTTCAAACAATATTTTATTTAAATACATTTTTTTTTAATATTTCAAAGAACCTGTAATTTTAAATGAAAATGTATTTACTTCAAATGAACATTTTTTAAATAATTTGTTTTCTTAAATTAGTTTAAATAAAAATTATTTGAAATTATTTTTTGCATAAGACAAATTTTTGTTTAAAAAAAAAATGTTATTTATAAATCAATTTTTTATTTAAATATATTTTTATTATTTAAAATTATTTGAATTTTTATAATTAAACATAAAAATATTTATATATTGCCCAGATTTGCATCGACTAATGTCAACCACTTATCTGCTACATAGATTTTTCAAAAACCCTTATATTGTATAACCTAATAAAATAATAAGTAAAAATGCAAACTTACACAAAAACTATCTTGCACTGAAGCTAATGTCTCTTCTTCTTTAATATTTTGTAAACTTCCCCAAACATTAGGTACATAGTCTTCGTAGTTTAATTTGAAATTTTCTAGACTTTGAGTAACTAGTGGATATCTTGGACAGTCAAAGGTTGTGTTTGATTTTACTTTGATATCAGATGACAACATTTCTTGGCTACGAGCACTACTACCCAGGCTCATACCTTCACAAGAATTATTATCGTGTTGCATGCTACTTTCACTCTTTGATCTACGAGGAGGTCCCAAAGATCTATCTAAAGCAGGATAATTAGTACCCAACTGACTAAATACAAGGTCCACCGAACTGGTGCTTAAAGGAGAGCGACTTCTTGCACCACGTTCAACTACATTATCTTTTGGCGTAACAGAGTCTGAACATTCTACACAATGTGTTGCCATATCACCTACCTGTAAATTATATAAAAAACAGTTATAAAATAAAACATTTTTGATAGTTATTATCGAAGGTCCGGATATTGTTCTTAAAAAGTTTCTATCCGGTATTTCTTCCGGAACAAATAAACTTATTTATTCCTATCCAACATCTGTTCTGGAACAAATGAACCTATTTATTCCTATCTGATATTTGTTCCGGAACAAATGAACCAATATGTTCCTATATATATATATATATATATATATATATTCGTTACGATTAATGTACTTTGATTATATTAAATTAAATCTATAATTTATTTATACTTTTTATTTTAAACAAAGTTTAAAAAAGACCTATCTCTTCTTTTATCAGTTTTATTAGTTATGAAACAAAAGTAAAAAAAAAAAGGTTTTTTACTCCGGAACAATATACAGCGGAACAAATGGTTAAGTTCCGGAACAATTTCTGAATCTTTATCCAGACCCTTGGTTATTATACTAATGACAGGACTGTGTTAACCATTAAAATTCCCTAGAGCAACCACAATTTACTCTCTGTAACTTTCAAAAATTAAGCCAAACTTATTTATCTACAGAGAACTTCATTTAATTCCCTCGACTCCCATCATCATTAGAAAATTGATCCCCTCAATTTATGCTATCCTAGTGCACTTACAACCCCCTTTACCCCCAGATTAATGTGTAGCAATTTACTTGTTGGATATGTAGACACTGGTTTTGAACATCAACCATAAGTATTCTATCAGTTTGCATTCCACAGTAATCCTTGTATCCAATACCGGAATCACTATTACTCGTTGTTGTACTGTCATGACTCGGATGTGGAGAATTTCCAACCACGTTATGGACTACATCGTTCTTATAATACTTTTCAATAGACACTACTACTTGATCACAATTTGGTGGAAATTGAATACAGCTTCCATTGGGATCTCTGACACACGCAATTTTAAAATTATTAGCTTGCGCCAAGTGTTCTTCGTGAGGTGCTGGATCTACTGCAAATACATGGCAAGAATTGGATGGTTCATCATCCAATGCTGACGTAGTGACGACTCCAAAATATTTGCTGTTTATATCAGAACTAGCGGCACAAAACATAACCCTATCGCCTGGGTAATTGGCTAAAGTAGCACCTGTATTATTCTGCAAACATAAACTAGATGCATATCCCGTCATAAGTGCTGCAGAATGAGAACGTTTTTCAGCTTTCAGTCGTTTGATACAGCTCTTGGCAACCTAATAAACAAGTTATAGATGTTATTAGATATATATTTATTATATAGCTTTTGAAACTAAGAGTTCATACAATTATAACCTTTTTTAATACTGCTGTGTACAGACATGGAGAATAGAAAAATGTAAATCACAATGAATACAAACAAATAGAATATTAACAATAATAGATATACTAACCTGAAGTCTAGATCCCGTTGGAATACATGGCATTTCTATTGAACCCAAGTACCGTACGAATATTTGAAAATTGAAATTAGTTACATCTTGTTTCTTGTAAGTCACACTACTATTACGTACACATGGTTTTGGTATTTCCACTACATAATTAACATCATCACTCCTCATTTTATTAACATTAATAGGTGTTAACGCCGATCTAGATTTGTGTGGATATTTCGGCCGTTGTCTTCCAAACTCATTTTTGTACTCTTCATCTGAACTATCAGAATAGTAGTTTTCGGCAATTTGTAATCGCAAAGCAGACTGACAACCACCGATTAATTGAACAACATCATCGTGAAGCAGCTTACTAACATTATGATTACTGACAGCTACTAAATAGTCACCTGCCCTAAGGCCTGCTTGGTCAGCAGGACTACCAGGCACAATACAGCTTAGTATACAAGGTTGTTGTCCAGAAATAGTGAAACCAAAACCGTTCTTCCCTCGACTGACTTCAACCATACGAACCCCATAGTTTGGTCGTTTCTTTCGTCTTCGAACAGGATGCATTGCACACAATAGTTTTACATCATTAACAACTGAAATGTCCTTATTTAGCAGTTTTGATCATGAATAACCAATAGTAGATAGCTTAAAATGTCATGTTGTCAGTCGTTTATATATTAACAATAATTAACGAAATAATAAGAATATATTAGTTATTATAGTGGAAAAATAAGAATTTTGATTTATAAACATACATATAATTGGCTGTTTTTATTAAAAGAATATACCACCTACTAACTTTTATATACTAAAAAATATTACATTTAACAATGGAATTCGTAAAATTTGGTTCAATAAATTACTTTCCTGATATAAAATGCCAACTTTCGCCCAAATAAACCACGATAGCGGTATAAAACCGTTACACCTAACCAGGCTGGTAACAATAAACTATTATCATTAGACTTATCAAAATAATATTAATATCAATTAGCAGTTAATATTTTTATAGTATTGAATGTTGTATACTTGTCTATAAATACTATATAAGTATATATTTCAAATTGTACTCCAAAAAAATATCCAGCTAATACAGAAAATACACTTTTATTTAAATTAGGTAAATAGTAATTACTATTTTATATTGTTGTTAGGAAAGTAAGGTAAAAGGTAAAATTGTGATATCAGTGATTAGTATTATCAAAGTCTTTTCATTGGTGCAGCTCTCATTATGAAAATGTTATTTAAGGTATCACTGATCACAAAATACAGATTATTAAGATACAGCTGGTATACTAGAGTGTAGAATGTTAAATGCTTGAAATTGCGTGTTGGCTTTAAAATATTACGTCCATTCTTATTAATTAATTAATTAACTATAAATTTTAGAATTTAAGTCTTAGTTTTAAACCTAGTGTCTAATGTAAAATTTTATTTTTGAAAGCAAAATTCCTAAAATTATTTACAATTTTCTCAATTTAAGAAATATTTTTATACATAGGTACTCTCAAAATAATATTATATCAAATTATAAAAAAATATTGTTATAAAATGTGTAATATTAGTATTAAATGTCAAAAGTGCCGTAGTGAATTGGCATCAAACGATAGCTCTACAATAGTCGACTGTCATAATAAACCAATACAAGATACTTTAAGAATAACTTACAGTTGCAATGAAAATGTTATGGAAAATAACTGGTATTTAGCATCAACAGCTTTACCTGATTGGATTAATACATCAATTGATGAAGTTAGTAGTACTTTGGTTACTGATAATTATAAGTAAATTACCATGAAGCATAGGCGCAACTAGACCTACATTTTAGGGGTTGCTAAAACTACGTATACCTGACTAATCATAATTCTTATCATCAATTTTCAAACTATTGGATATAATATAAAATATTTGAAAACAAAAATATTCTAAAATAACAAATTTCAACAGAGTATAAATGTTATTAAAATTTATGCGTACAAATCAAGGATTGGGGCTTGAATTTTTGGGAGTGCTAATTTTTAGTCTGGGGGTGCTAAGTCCCCTTAGCACCCCCCTAGTTGCGCCTATGCCATGAAGGGCATATTTGTAATACATAACCAATTACAAGTAGTTAAATACTTAAATTTGTACTTTTATACTTTGCTTTAGGGTAATTGGCAAAAAGGAAAATTAATTTGTCCAAATTGTACATTAAGAGTTGGATCTTTTGACTTTATAAGTGGTATTAAGTGTCAATGTAAACAATTTGTATTGCCTCAAATTCATTTGGTCAAAAGTAAAGTGGATATTTATTTTCGATGAATTGTATTGTTTATTTTATTTAATATGTTTAATTTTGTTTTTGTACAAATATAATAATGTTTCAATAAAATAACTAATTCCGTTAATAACTTCTATAGTCTGTTATTTGGTTTTATATACTATTATTTAGGGTTCAAGTAGCATAGTGTTTTTACTATCTTATAAATATTATGTTTAATTAGTAATATAAAAAGGGTACATATAATTAATATTAGTCTAAAGTCTATATATACATGAAAGTGTACATCAATTTATACAGTTAAGTGGCTTAAATTTGCCACTTCTATCCATTTATAAGAACTTTTTTAAACAATTATTTAAACGTACTATGTGTGTAAATTATTATAAAAATGTACCCTAATAAGTAATAACATCAGAAATCCATCGGACAGGATCTCTCACTGAAGTTCATTTCGACGTGTCCAACGAAGGACGTAGTAAGTAGTAATTCGAATTTTAAAAACTTTTGTTTTTTAACTGAAGTCCGAGTGATGGGCACAATCGACTACAAGCTATCGAACTAGTCGATAGTTTGAAACTATCTAGTTAGTCGATTATTTTCGAAAACTATCGAATGCTTTTAAACAAGATGATGGGCGCAACCGACTACAAAACTATCGAATAGTTATTCGATTTCTTCGATTATTAAATGTATTCATTTATGCTATTGCCATTCGAAAAACTATCCAGTGCTTTTAAACAAAAGACGCAACCGAATACAAACTATCGAATAGTTTAAAATATGTACTCAGTCATGCAGTTTTCATCCGAATGATTATTCGATAGTTCGCATAAACTATCGAATAACATTCGATAGCCAAAAGTATCCAGTTGCGCCCATCACTGGACTCAAGTCCCGGAACAACGAAAACGAGTCACTCGTTTACTGTATTACCGGCGAAAAAGGTAGAAACTGGAATCGACCAAAGAAGTTCGGAATAACAAAATTCAGTTACTACCTGTTTCGCCGGTAATACAGAAAGCGATTTTGTCTTTATTAATGGGTCTTTGGAACAGACCGGCAGTCCGCAGCAATGTGTGAAAATTGATAACGCATACATCTTAACATTTAACACGGATTTATCAAATATTTAAATAATTTATTGTTAACGTGTATGATACTTACGAAGTAATCTGTAAATTTACGACACTCTTAATTTACTAAGAAATATAAAATAATTGTTTCCTTGAAGATCTAAAAATTAATTTGGACAAGTTAATTTGTAAAGCGTTAAATAATAATGTTATCGGTTTTGAACACCAGCGAAAGTACTCATAAACGACAAATCTTGTCATCCGACGTTGATTATTATGGTCGATACGTCTGCACCAGTTCAGCCGACGGTACTATTCAAATTTCCGATACAGTAGAAGTTGATCAGAGTCCTATTGTGGAACTAAAAGACCATATTGGGCCTGTATGGCAAGTATCATTTTCTCATCCCAAGTATGGGTTTTTAGCTTCGTGTGGATCTGATTGCAAATTAATTGTTCGCAAAACAAACAAGTTAAATGAATGGGACACTGTCTACACATACGATGGACACAAGTTATCAATTACTTCAATTGATTGGGCTCAATATAGAACCGGAGCTATAATTGCATGTGCAAGTGCTGATGGCACGATTTCCATTCACACTATGAATAATACTGAGTGGTCTGTTTTAAAAATACCAAATGCTCATTTAAACGGCGTCAATAGTATAAGTTGGGCACCTTACTTAATTAATAATCATAAAGTATTAATTAGTGGTGGTAATGATTTCAAAATTAAAATATGGCAAGATAAAAAATGTGCATGGAATTTAATATACGAATCAGAAAGTCAACTGGCAACCATCAGAGATATAAGTTGGTGTCCAAACCCAGGATTACAAAAGCATATGATTGCAAGTTGTACATCCGATGGCCGAGTAGTCATCTGGGGAAGTGATGACTGTTGTGAATGGACTCAAAATGAAATTGACGATTCAGAAAACGAAAAGTGGAAAGTTAGTTGGTCAAATATTGGTAACATATTATCAATATCAATGAACAATTATCTAGTGAAACTTTGGAAACAAGTTGATAAAGACAGATGGATGTGTTTAGATAGAAAAATAAAAGAGAGACAACTTGAATCTGAGCGACCAAACAAGAACTTAGAAAATCAAGATATTTTTGCTACATTAATTTAAGAGACAAATACATGTAAGTGTAGATTTTTAAATGAAAACAATTCACTTATATTTATTTTAAAAAGGAAAACATTTTACTAGCATTGTAATTTAACACTTGAAACATAATAATTAAATTAAACAGTAAAATTTTTCAAATGTGTATATTATTTTGTATAAATAAGTATATATATGTATTAATAATAATAATTTATATTATAAAACTTTTTATTTTATCTTTATACATTTTGTTTTAAATTTAAAATAAAGGTTAGAATTTTTTAAAGTATTTTTTTTTTGGTACATTAAATATTACATAATATAAAGTGTTAACAGTTAACTGTATCATTATTGATGCACAAACAAACCTCATTTTCAATATATAACTAAAAAATTAGGTTTAACTTATAATGTTTCTTTCAACTTTAAAAAATTAAAAGGTTAATTTAATTTAAGTATCTATAAAAAGACATTTTCTTCAATATATTCTTGTTATGATAATATTTATGTATTTATGTATAAAAACTATGTAAGACTTGTTATTTAAAATTAAACTTGCCCATACAAACAATAATTGTTAAAACGTTTCTCTAAAGATACCAAAATTAAACTCTTATTATAATTATAATTATTTTGAAACCCTTTTTTGTTCAATAAATATGAATTTTAAAATGCCAGTTACTAAATAATTTGTCGAGATTCAACCGTTATCCTGATTCTCAATGAAACGTGTTTATATTAAAATAAATAAAATTACTTTTAAATTCACAAGTTACCTTATTAGTTAAGTCTACCAATTTTACTTATAGTTTCAAAATTTTAATTTATGTTATTTTTTATGATGTTCTAGGCAATTTCCAAATATTTATCATTTATTGAAACATACAGAACTATCAATTTTCATAACTTAAATGTGAATGTAAATATTTTAAATAGGTAGGTAAATTTGTATAAACAAATATACCTACTGAAAATGTTGTACTGGTAAAAAACTTAATTTAAACAATTGTATTTTAGTTTAGAACTTTTATAAGTTGTTTAGCAGTAAAAATGTTTTTAAGGTAAAGTTTTATTGGGTTAAGTAATGCTCACGGATAAAACTGATACTAAACTGGCCCCTCTTGTGTAGCTTAATTTTCTTTAACTTAATTTAGTTTTTATTTCTAAAAAAAATTATTTATAACAACAGTTAGCCGTGGTTATCGAACAGACAACATTTTCAATAAATTATTCTCAATTTTAATAGTATCCAAAATTATTAAAATAGGTTTTTTTTCTATGAAAAAAAATAATTTTTAGAAATTTTGGATTCGATTACTCAACTTCTTCACGTGCTGCATCAAGGTTGAAGTTTATCCAAAAAGGGTAGTTTTTTCATTTATTTTAAAAATCTATAATAAATAGCATAAAAGTATTCAAATACGATTTTTAGAACTAACCATGATATCCTACAATTTTAGTAAATATTAAAATATACACATATCCAGTAACCATAAAATTATGTATACGCTGAGAGTTTATTATTTTATGGTTAATGGTGTTTTAAATGTTATGTTATTATACAAGTGTGTATAAGTGAATATAACCATAGGTTGCTCACGTTTTTTTTCAAAATCATGAACTTCTTAATTATAACTATTAATTAAAAAGATTACTCAATTTAAGTAATTGAAAGTTTTAAAATCGTAAAACAATTTAGTTCTAAGCCAGATTTCGTTTCAGCAATAACAACCTATTAACTTATATTTAACAATTAACAGCCAAATGGTATAAATAAAAATACTGAAATGAAATATTATGAAAAATTCAAATATGTTTTCAAAACTTAAATTGGAGTATTCTTAGGAAGAATACGTTTGAAGAAAAAAAATGTTATGTCAAAATAGATCTTTGTTTTCTTATGGTAAATGGTAATATATATTATATATAATATGTTTAACAATTTTAGCCCAATGCTTAAAATTTAGTGAAAAATTGCCTATACAATGCGCCTTAATAAACGCTAGTGTAGAGGTCTATCAAGTTTAATTTTAACAAGCTGGCAAGTGGCTACACTGATTTTTGAAATGGCATCAAGCAGTCAAGACAATAGTGCTATTTTTACGGTTTAATAGGCCCTTAGCAAATATTAATGCTATTGGTCCTTAGCTGTTACCATGAACTAAGCTATTGTATGGCTGTTACCTAACCCTTGGAAATTGGAATTGTACATGGGTTATGTGATAGTTGATGCAAACTTGGTTTGTTGTTGGTATCCCGCTGGTTTTCTTTGTTTTTCAATTCTCGGTAGTCACTATAGTCCGGCTTACGAAAAATGTCCATACTCCATAATGTGAAATGTCGCGAAATCCCCATTGTGTCCGGTGTCGGTTGATGTTTGTTGTTGTTGCTATATTTTAGTATTTTATATTTTTCAAAATGTTTCCATAATAGCAGATCTGTGAGATGCTAAATTTCTATTCTTTTTTTAACATTTAAATGTTAATTTAAAATAGTTTACGAGAAATATTATAACTAATATCTAAGGAAATTTAATATTTTGTTGATAATTCATAATTACATATACAAATATTCTACGAAAACCTATTGTTAGTGTTTTAGTAAGACGTGTTCATACTAAATCATTGTAAGTAAAAAGTTAAATCTGTATTAGTATTGTTTTTAACGATCAATTTTTTGTTTAAATGAAAAAAATAGATAATAGGTACTAATTATTATTATTGAATTTATAACGAATACATTTTTTCTCTCTTAAAACCAAGAATAATGAATGAACTAATTTATTTAAATACAATTTTATTTTAGTAAAATGTCCAGCGTTGTTTTTTGTTATACAATACTGAACATCTATAAATGTCATGTACATAAATGTGTTAACTAACATTTTTTTTTTATATTTGTAATGGTAATTGATGAACTATTATACTACTAAGAGATTTAACAAATTTAGAAGACTTAATTTTTAGTATATAAGAATTATTGAAATTAGTAAATTTTGATAGTGGCCCACTTAAAATTGTTTTTTCTTTATTATTTAGCTCTGCCCCCCCTCCCCCCGATTGAAGCCTAACAAAATTTATAAATGAGTATAGATTGTGTATCTTTGGCACCAATTAAACACTACTGCTTAGTTTGCCTAATTGGTTTCATCGTTCCTTTTGGAATTCTGAAAATATACATTCTTATATATTAAGTCTCCTTTGCTCTCATTCAACTACTTGGGTGGCCACTCTTGTCCTTAATCTTCACTCGACAATCTCCCATATCATCTTCACATATACCAGCATTCTTTGTAATTTTCCTTCAGACTCTTACTATATTTAATCTGTTCTATTTCTACTTATGGTTAGTCCCTTTCCTTCAAGTTTGTCCTATTCTCCACTCCTTAAGTTTACTTTATCTTCTTCCAGACTTTCTCATGTCAAAGCTATATTATCTGCATTATCATGCACCATAGTACCTCATTTCTTCGTAACTTTATCCATTACAAAAAATAACAAGTAAGGGTTCAAAGCAAAATCCTTGGGCGTACCTACTCTAACTCTAAATTATTCTGTTACTCCACAAATATTTTTGACACTCGTATTAAAACCTTCATACATTTGATAAATAGCATATATTACATGATTTAAACAAATAATAATTTTAATTATAAGCTATATTTAACTAATTATTTGGTATTTATTTTTATAGATAATGTATGCAAATTACCAAAGGCCATACTTCGACCGTGAGAATAAGCAATTAAAATTCAGGGACAAATTGCCTGTTTATGCGCAGTCTCGGTAATTATTATTTATTTAAAGTAAAAAATTACATTCAAAATGTATACATACATTGGCACATTGATATGTCTTGTACACAACACAAATGTGTAAAATAAATTATTTCCCTAACAATGATATAGTTATCATAGTAAAATCATAGTCAATTTTGTGGTATCCTGCGTGCAGAGAAAACGTATGGACAAATTTTTAAGATTTCCCCCAGCAATAAGACATCCATGTCAAAAAATACATTTCAAAAATAAAAAATAAAAATTATGGTTCTAATTATAATAATATACTACATTTCGAAGTATATACGGGTTTGGCTATTGCATTGCAAGAATACATTAATAAAGCACTTATGTGTTGAGCCTATTGAGCCTATTACTAGCTCTATGTTACTTTTAACTTAATTGGAATTGTATTGGCCATTGATTGGACTGACTATGTTATCTATAACAAGGTATTTTACCATAGTAATGGTTCTCGACTTCCTTCTCATTCTAACATCAATTAATCCTGGACAATGGACATTAAGCCTGGCACTTAAAATTAAATGAGAAAACTAGAACATTATTACATTTGATGTTTTATTTTCTAGGGGAGTAGAATTGCTTGAAAGAAATCTATACTTGAATTATCATGCCGGCACATATGACAACAGAATAAGATCTGTTAATACAAATCGTCCATTTAGTAAGATAAACATTTTTCAAAAAAAATTGTATTGTTAAATTTGCGATAATATTTTAAATTGCATACATAGTTCCAGAATTTGAGTTACCAAATGAAGAACAGATATATCACTACGAACAAATGATGATGATGAGTAATGAAAAAATAGTTCTTACAAATTTCCTAAAAAATGAATCAAACTCCTCTTCTAAGGTAAATTAAAAAAAAAAAATGAAATTGCATTATCAAATAATACTTATAATTTTGATGAAATGATGAATGATTGTGTAAAGTTACATACTACCCAACTGAAAAATGTTCACTGTACTTATCCAGTTTCATGTTGTATAAGATAATTTATAAATAATAACTGACATTTCAGATATGTGCTGGCACCTCCATAAGCAAGGAACAAGACAATTTCGAAGAGCAATATGTTAAAAATTCAATTTTGAAAAAATATATGCCACCAGAAATTATACCATTTTACAAAATATGCTTTGAGTAAGAAGAAAATAAAATTATCAAAGTATGTTTATTTTTTCATCTATTTCGAAATATTGTTTTCATTATAGTGTGGCACGAGATTCTGCGATAAACACTAAGTGGAAGTTGTGGTTGATCAATATGTTTTCATCTGAACTCCGATCTCAAATTTGCCAAATTTATATGTATCTAAGATTTCATTACAACGATTTCATGCAAAAAGCTGATGTTGGTGTTTTAAAATCATGTAATAAAATGATGGCCAACGGAAAACCTATTTCAGAGACTGAACTATTTTACTATACTATCAGGGATGATTATTTAATGGTAAAATGTTTAAAACAAATTATTATAACTACTAATTAATAATTTAATGGAGTTAGGCTTGTCAAATTATTTTATCGATTGAATTGCTTACTTTAAATGAGTTAACATATAATAACACAAAAAAAATTTTCTTATAAACAATTTTATTTACAATTGGAAAGTATAATATCGCTCATTTAAAAATTACGGTAGTTAAATAGTAAAACTTCAATAATATTGCTCTCGAGTCTAGAGTATTTAAAAATGTATTGTATTATTATGTTATCCACACAGCAAACAAATTTTAAAATCATATTTTGGCAAAAAATTAAATTATTATAATTCAGATATTTTACAAATATCTTCTGGACATTCTTCTTAATATTTAAGAACTGAGAAGTTTCATTAAAAGTGATAAAACTTTATCCGCTTAATTTAAAAAAAAATGTTGACTGGTCAATAACCACTTTTGAGTAGTATTTTAGTTAGGACGAGAGGGTAAGTGCGGTCCAGTAATGCAGGCTGATAAAAAAAAATACTACACCGATATTTCTTTAAGAAAAAATGCATGCTTTTTATGTAATTAGCATTGATTTTTGTTTTGTTGTTTATAGAAAAAAAATATTTTTATGCAACTTCTCTATTATTAAAATTTTTATATTTTAAATATTTGATTATCTCTCAAAATATGATTTTTAAATATTGTAACAATTATAATTTACTAAAATAAATATAATATATAAAATGTACTATTGTTGTTTAAGTATTTATGCTTAACAACTATGATTCTATAAGACAAAGTTTATAATTTAATATAACACAAATTTTGGAGATCGATATTATAAAATTAAAAATACAATTTTTGTTTATTTCAAAAAAAAAACTTGCAACTCGATTTACAGGCAATGCAGATTTTGCAAATTCTGGTCTCGATCAATAGTGTGTTGCCTCAGAACCGCTCCTTTTCAAAGATAATCAATGCATTTAAGTTGTGGGAAAATCAACTGCAAAAAATGAGGACCAATATTAATGTTTATGAATTATCACCATATAGTAAGTTTATTTATACTATTTTAAAAACAAAATGATTATTTATTCTTTGCGAGCAATACTCTCAATTTAGTTGCTACGATGCACTGTTTTACCCATTTTCCACTTTTCTATCATGTATGCGCGTGTACTCATAGCAAAAACTGTTCTGTGAATAGATAGTTAACAATTTTCATTATGAGTATATCACAAGTGTATATAAAAACCATTGATTCATTGCTAAGATTAGTTGGTGGCAAATTCTATAACAAGTAATAACTTACTTTAGTTGTGCCAATATTCTGAAATGTGACAAGACACATCTCTTGAAAAACAACTAACGTTCAAAAATGATAAACCATGTCCACATTTGTCTCTTCTATCGTCATCACCACGTTTGACAATAGACCACCGCCCTTAGTATCTTGTCTATTGGGAATACGTTTTGGCGCGTGACCTAATTTAAATAACACATAGTAATTAATTAGCTCTATATAGAGTTATATGGCAATGAAATTGTGTTACATACATTTTGTGTTATTTTTTTATACTGGTTACGTTTATTTTCATAACATTTTTGTGATATAACATAAACTATTACAATTTTTTTTATAGATAAATCAGCAGAGATGGAAGAACTTATTAAAATATTGTCTAAAGTATATTTTGATATGTTACGCTATTTAACCACTCTTTTCGATTTGTTGTTGGAGAAAGAATCGAGTGAGCAACATATTAAAGACGACTTGTTATGCAGTCAATGGTATTTAATGTTCAGAAATAACACTGTTAAAGTTTAATCTTGTTTCTATGAAAACTAATTTTTTTTTTTAAATATACTAATAGTATCATTTTGTTCTAAGCCATATTATGCATATATTTAATAATTCAAATTTGATACCTTAAAACTATAAAGGACCCTTTTTTCATTTAAATACTTCATAATTTAAGGCATTTGTAATTTTATAATATTTTGTTTGTGAATGTATAAGAAATATGCATTGAAAAGAGATTTCCCATGTTTTCTTTATTGTAAAATAATTATATTATTTCCTTCGGGGAATTAATGTTAAAAGACAATATTAAACAGCTTTTAATACATTATGTTTTTATTTTAAATTTTTTATCTTACATTGGTTAAAAAAAAAAACAGCTAACAACATTTAAAAGCAAAAAAGTGGTAACATTACCGTACCATTCTTACGACATTTCAATTTTTCAGAAAAAATAAATAAATTAATGCATCTTGAAAATTTGGTAAGTGTTATGTATTTAAATGGTGTGTGTATTTTATAAGAATATTTTTGAGTAGTTAATGAATTTAGATATGAAAAACGATAGTATTTAAGTTGTGTAGGTTAAATTATTTGTAATACTCGAGATCATTACAGAAATATATTACAACCAAATAAAAATAAAAAACTGTAACCTACGGCTAATTAAAATAGGTAAAAGTTTTAACAACACACAACTAAATGAAGAAAGGGTAAAGCCTAATAATATTAACACAAAATTAATAAGAAATTCCTAAAAAAAATGTTTTTATATATTTATGCTTCATATATTTACAAGGAAAATATAGCGTTACAATCAATTTGGTTGATCATTGGTTTTTTGGTCATCACAGTTGGTTCGTTCATCACTCCTTACTACTAAGAAGCTCATTTCAATTTCTTGTCCATCAGACGAACTGGACGAGCTATCACTAGAATCCGACGAAGTCTCACTATCCACAGAACTATCATTCGTCCTCGATTGGACTTGTTTTTTAAGGGTTTCAATTTCAGTCTGTAATACTTTATTTTGCGATGTTAAATCTCTGACTTGTATTTTCATTAACCTGTATTCGTCTGGGTCAATGGAGTCCTCGTCTTCGTTAGGTGTACCATTTATATATTTCATAATATTTTTTCTATACCTGTAAAAACAAAATATTTATTTTATTTCAACCTAATTAAGTATAAAATATATTGATATATAGTGATTAATGCATAATAATAAATATAAACACAAAGTAAAATAAATACAGAGGTAATTAACAAGCTTTAGAAATTAGAATAGACTATAATATTTAATGATACATTTTTAACAAATCAAGCAATGCATACCTTTTGGATTCTATTGTTTGTATTTTCTCTTCGAGATCGAGCACACGTTGTATGAGATCTTGTTTGGACATGCTGCCTAATTGTTCTTCCTGAACTAATCTGTAAGTATCACAAAATTCTTTTTGCATAGACGCTGCATCTTCATCTGATGACGAATAGAGCATATGATCTATGCCATCCGATTCTACGCTTGTGTAACTGGAGTTTCTAGTTCGGCCGTTATTCATTCTATTGTAATGTGCGTTTTCTTCTTCTAATAATTTCCGGTCTAGCTCCGTTCCATTATTATGATCTTCCATTAGAAATTGATTGGTATTGTTTGGGGCCACAGCTTTTCGACGATACATTCTGTCAAGAATGTAGGGCATTTTTTTACTTTTGCGTTTACCACGGCGTGGACGTCTTGTTCTATGATCAGGATTTCCCGGTCCCTAAATAAAAAATATAAAAATTACATAAATGTTTTTTGATTATAAAATACAAAGTCAATAGCCAATTGCAAGTTCTATTTTTTGTAAATAAAACTGAATGATTAACGACTTGGGTGATTGTTAATTTGTATAATAATTCAGGAAAAATGTTACATCATAACTCATAAGGCATAAGCACATACTAAATTTTATATATATAAATAATTGAAAATACATTTTTTTTAAATATTGAATCGAATAAACATATACTTATATATATATATATTAACTTTAAAACAATAAATATACACAAATGCAAATAATAACCCTATTTCTCGTTGATTTGATTTAACATTTAAAAAATAACTGGATTTTTTAAAAAAAAGTATAGAACATAAAATTGCAGCATGTTTAGAAAAATATGAGATTTAATGTATATAATCACATGCACAATTTAAGGGGCTTGGGTGTGCATCCTAAGTTATTTAATTAATACTTCCTTATTTATTTATTATACATATACATTAAATGTAATAGTTAATAGTACTTAAAAATGACGAGAGAGAAGACATTTAACCATCCCCACTTTTTTTGGCGAAATTACGCGCTTCCGCTTCTAATAATTGATTAAGTACCTTTCTATACAACTGTGGTAGAGGAAGGTAATGTGGTTGAATTGTAAACAAATGTATAAATAAAAATGTACAAGTTAGTTTTCATTTTCATAATCCAGATAATCAGAAAAGATAAAGCGGCGAATCAGTGGCACGTACCTTGAATTGTCCTTTGACCATCGAGCTGCAGCTGTTATTGTTATTGTTATGGTTCAGCTGTACACCACCAGGTGGCGCGGCGGACACGGCAGCGGGTTCTGCCTGGTTTGCGATCATACCGCCATTGTCGTGAGGCGCTAGTGCGGTGGCGACCACAGCGCCATTTTGGACGTCCTCCATTGTTGTCGTTGGGCCGTAGCGGATCCGGAGAATATTGGCGACGGTTTTCGACTCCTAAAAATGCTAAATCGATTCGGGAAACGGCGAAAACGCGTACGGAAAATGAAAATAAAACTGTACCGACGTTAAAAACGAAGCGAAGGCACAATAATCGGATTTAGAGGATCAGACGGGGAGCTCGCGACGAACGTCCACAAGCCAAAGCAGTCAAACTTCGACTGACTGGCGGCCGCCCGTATTACGAGCAGCGCGCGGCGGCCGGACGGTTCGGCGGCGGGTTGTAATAATAATAATTGTATTTACCAAGCCCCTCCGCCGCGGTTCGTCCGAATGATTGGCGGGACGAAGTGATTTGGGGGGGGGGCGCGCATTAGGGGGAGCATGCGTGTTCCCGTACGCCGTCACGTACGCAGATTCGGTCTGTGACGAGACCCGTGCGCGCAAACGACGAATATACACTGCACGCCAGCTGGGTAAATTATAATTATTTCACCGCCTTTTTTTTTACTGTCTAGGCGGCGGTCATAATGGACGATAATATTATTATTTTGTTTACGACGATAAGAAAACCCGAATACGAATATATTGCAGCCGTTTGGCGGCGGTACCAGTTACTACGGTTACTGGTTGGGTCCAGACAGTAGTTAGTACGATGTGTTGTTAGCCGTTGTCGGTTCGTTTGAATTTTGTTAACGCACGCGCGCGATGATGATTTTTTCGATCATAATGGATATATTTTTGTTGGCGGCTCTTCTCGGCCGCACCGTCCACACGTCCACCGATCACGGGCGAGTCCGTCTTTTGGACTCGCTCGACTGGCGACTGACAAACAGCAACGGCAGTAAGTTTGCCGGCAGTCCGCTCAGGCGTGGGACGGAGCCGAGGCTATGATGTAAAATGTTTAAAACATTAAAAAAAAAAAAATGATATGGAGTAAACCTTTTTATAAAAAAAACAAAATGTATCGTCTTGACGTCGTTATTTTAGGTGTAACTGATGTAATAGCAAAAGTACCCGGCGGCGTTTTCGCCGACCTGCTGGCCAACGGCGTGTTGTCCCAAGATCCGCTGTACCGGTACAACGACGTCGCGTACCGCTGGGTGTCCGCCGACCAATGGACTTACTCGACCACGTTTAACGGTGATTGACATTCATAATGCTAATAATACCAATTTCTAAAAAAACACTACATACTGTAGGTACAACACGTTTTGGACAAAAAAAAAAACCTAAATAAATCTATTTCATTGTAATTTTTTCGTTGAACCAGAATTTCTCTATCGCGTCTAGTTATTTTTTAAATCGCCTTCAGTTTGAAAAATCACCGTTTTATGGCATTAATGGTAACGTTTTAATACGTTTTTTCAATAAAAATGTTTTATTTTTGTTTCGTGAGTAGTTTACAACTTAAGAAGGTGAGTTAGTAAACAAATAAAGCGATAGAGAAATGTTGTGGTTATACATATTTCGGATTCAGCCAACATAATGGGTATATACTATACAATATATTTTAGGTTTTGTTTCAGAATACAGGTCAAATATTGATATTAACGTGTTTCAATAAATAGACTTTAATCTTTAGTCCATTAAATACATAGTACTACTTTTTTATTTAAAAAGTTACTAGTCATGATAAAAAATTCTGAGGCAAAAAAAAAATCTATTAAGTAATTGTATTTTGGTTATTGTTTGAAAATCTTATTGTAAAGTACAATTAGAGGTAGGCATCCGGCAAAGTATAAAGTCAATGCGAAATATTTAACTTTTTTTACTTGAGTCCTGAACGATGAAATACAAAATTATACAATAAGTGATAACTCATATCTCATACGAGTAATCAGCTGAGTAGCTATGGGAGCGTAAACCTCCTCCTTTGATGTTGTCTCCGTCAACCAGTTAAAACTTAAGACCGATTTCTGACTCTGATTTCCTCTGAAGAGGAAGTCTCAATGTATAGACATTTTTTTATTAACTTTCCTTGACAGTTCCCAGCTACGCATAAGCTATGCTTGAAATTAAAAATACATACTGACCAAATATTTAAATAAAAATAAAAGACTACGTATTTTACGTTGCGTACATGTTTTAGTCGATTAATGTCCAACAGTTTATTTTTATTAATTCACCATCTCAATTGAGCTAATCGCATTTTGTTGTTATTCTTTTTTTTTCTGTACACAATAATTGGCCGCACGTTATCGGCTATACAGTTTCCATTCGTGATTACATTATTAGAATTTTGATACGATATGTTATTGCCATTGGCACTATAGTTCTGCAGAGAACCTGAAAAAACTATATACTTTACACCGCAAAGACTATATAGTCGCGGGCTTGAATTTTTTTTTTCAATTCCAGTGGTTGTTAAAATATGAAAACGCTTTAAAACCGAAAGTAACACCGTAGCGCGACGATAATACACACGTTGTGTTTAACTCGTGCAGCAGTTATTATAGTATATTTTGTGTGTTACAAGGTTAGGGCTTGGCCTCTTTATAATAATTGTGACGATATAATTTAATATAATATATTTGTGTGCATACAGAGCAATTCCCACAAGACATAGCTACCCCAATATTTGGCCGTTTGGTTTATTTTTTAGTTTAAAAATAAATTTTAAAGCAAACAAATATATATATGTATTAGATATATAAAAGGCGTTGTTTTATGAGAAATATTGAACATTTAATTTTTTCTTCTCCGCCTTCATCTCAACTATTTGGGGTCAATCACCCTTGTCCTAAACCTGAAAACCTCATTCAACACAATCTTTATTCTTTCACAGTTATTCACAAACGCATCCAACATCTTTTTTTGGTCTTCATTTTCCCCTATTTTCGCTAACGTTTATTTTCATTACCATTCCTACTGCTTCCGATTTCTCTCTTTAACATGCCAAAACTAACTCAAGTCTATTTTTCTCGTTTTATCCACTAACGAAGCAACGTCTATGAATCATTACACCAGAAAACAGGTAAGGACCCAAATCAGAACCTTGATGGCCTAAAAGCTTGTGTTTCCCTATACATACTTTCGACACTTAATTTTTTATTATTAAGCGCTATCGATAATGATCTACCAGAAATGTTAAGGAAAATGTTATGTGTCATACTTGGAAAATGTGACTACTTATTATTTTATGATAATATCGAGTAGTCAATAACCAAGTTTTAAACATATGTTTAAATAATATTTTAGGTAGGTATTAGCGGAATAGGAGTGGGTTCAACTACATTCACTTATTTTTCCTTGTAAAACTCATGCATCAATTTATGTTTAATCGTGCAGTCGATTTTTGTAATCTTATTCATACTAATTATTAGCTAGAATCTAGAAAACATTTTCGTTTGAAATTTTTAATTATTGACGATTTAATTATAGGTATAACTTAAAATTATTCTTAGTCTTTTGGTTTATTATAAAATAATAAAAGTTAACGAATTAATATTAGTAATTTTCTTTTAAAGTCAATTTTTTAAATATTTTCTACTATTTCCATTGCCTTGCAACATTGTAGAGAGGAGAGACGTTCTCCCTTTCTTTAGGTTTTCTAGAATTGTTTCTCTCTGCCGTGCTCTTCCTTACATACGTCGTATAGTTACTGGGTTGGGAATGGTAATACAGCGACTTCCCTGCCTTCTGCATAGCATGTTACTTACTGAAATAGGTTTGTCAAGCTTAATCATTTCCCCACCTATAGGACCAGAGCTCGAGCTTCCGAATACGTCGGATCTGTTACACTTTCAAAAGTCACCTGAGGAAATATAAAGCAAATTTTTTTATGTGGTTTTTGCTCGGGTGACAAAATTTACGTTTTTTTACATGTGTTAAATGCGTTTCAAATGATTAAACTTCTGCGAATTCTGATTTTTATAGATAATTACAAATTAATATTACTATGAATAATATAAGCTTTTTTTTTACATTGAAAAGGAAATGTATAAAATAATAATTTATAATAATGTTGAAGGTTGATATAATTAATTATTACGTGCGAAAATACAATTTTTTTAAATCGTTTTACTAAACAATTTTTGTTTCATCTTAAAATTTAAATATATCTATCACAAGTCCGTCATTTTTTTCAATTATTTAACAGTTATACATTACAACTTAAACACGATTAAAATATTAAATTTAATAAAATTAACTTAGCGTGAGAATTAAAAAATGAACTAAAGAAAAAATTGAACGATACAAATTATGGAAAAACGATCCTCGAATATTCATTACTTATTACTTAATCTTCTCATAAATAACATCAGCTATTGCCAGCTACTAAATTTGAAATGTCATTATAACACAAGTTCAGTTATCGAAAAGTTTATGTTATAAATTATAATACTGCATACTACAATTTATTAGATATTATATACTGCTATATGAAATTTGAGTAACCCTTTTTTTAAAATAAATAATAACCAAATGTTTGTTTATGATATGACGATAGATGTATTTGCTTCTATTTTAGGCTATTTTTGAACTAAAATTAAAGCGTACTGTGTAGATTAAGGTCAAGTGGAATGATTGTTAATTGTAAACAAATTAGGCAAATTTTAATGCAAACTTTATTTTACATAAAAAGAAACGAATGTTCATATTTACCATCTTATAATTAAAAATATTCATTTAAAATATAAATTGTCAACTATAATTTACATTTCTCCCATTTTGTTTACAATAATTACCCCAAATTGACACTAACACATTAAATTTAACTCTCGTTCTCCCTTTAGGTAAATGTTAGTTTAACCGACTTTTATAAATTTTCCGCTATTACAATATATTATACAGCGTATGATAGGAATTACACGTGGTTTCAAAAAAAACAACTAAACATGAAACACGTCGACGAAATTTGTCAAGTTTATATCGCAACAATACAATAATATAGTAAACACAAGAAAAAATATATATAGGCAACAAATGGTACATACATATATCATTATGTAGCAGCTATAGATTATATTTTTATGTACATATATAGGTAGGTGCACCGCGGTACAACCACATACAGTCCGCGACGTTGCCAAATTGATACTGCACATTTTGTTTTGCCCGTGTATTTATTTTCTCATACTATAGATTCAGCCGAATTTACTTTCGCTATCCGACGAACAGTAATTAGGGGCAATGTTATCTCAACCGACGTGTAACTGAACTACCAATTAAAAATATGTATTTGTTACACACATTAATCGCTATTTTCTAAGCCATAAAGCAGATCATTATTAAAACCGTTTTCCGCGGTTAATTGAGTTATAGGTATGTGATATAATTTTTGATTTTTTTTTTTAATGACCCAACATACCTAATTATTTTTAGGGAGAATTCATGTATACGCATATTATGTATGTTTTTGTAATCGTAAATAATAGAATAATAAACAAGGTTTTTCAAGGTTAAATCCATTCATAATGTAATATATTTTATTATTTACTGTCGTTTTTATTTTTGGTTAAACGGATAATCAACAGTGTATGCATATGTTATGAATACTAACCAGGATTGAGGATTAGGTTTTGAAATGATTACATATTTTTTTTATTATTATTAATTACCATCGATGTCCAATGACGATGCGTGTGTCAAACAACAAACCAAGTAATTTTTTATGGAACGTGGCAACGTTGCAGTATGAATACCTCACTAATAAAATAGTATTTAAATTGAGTAGGCCGGTAGGCAAGTATACTGATTACAGAATAATATTATTCTGATAATAATATTGTTTGTGATAGTTTTATAACAAAAAATGTAAACGTAATTTATTTAACCTAAGTAGTCTTTACATCCCAATACTATCCTAATACTGCTAATAACTGAATGGGTCCCTCTAAAAACTTTGTAATTAACAATTCTCACGAAACGAAAAAACCCCTAGTGAATTTTTTCAGATTTACCTTTACATACAACTCATATTTGCGTTGTGTTCATTATACATATTTTCTTAAAATTTCAATACATAAACATTTCTTTTATGTTTGTTTTTACGTTGGAAAACACCCTTCGTTTAAATTGTTAGTTGTAACCTTTTTTAGAGAGACCCATTCAATTATTTAGAAATAATATTAAAATTTAAATCATTGTGCTGAATTCATAAATGCATTAATGCAACATCTTCATCAATAGCTTATACATTTGACAAGTGTGTTAAGTGTATATTCATTATACAGGGTGAATGGCCGTTAACGCGAATTAATGGAAAGATCAGTGTTTATATTTTAAAATTTAGAAGTGAAAGTTATTCCAACCTAATATGTCATCATTTGTCGAAAATGTGCATTTAGTTTTTTATAATATGCAACCATATAACGGGTGTAACAGTGCAAAAGCTATTGTTTGTGTATTTCGACAGATAAAAGCGTAGGTCGTTTATTCAGATTTTAAAGGTGGTTTTCAATTTATATAAGGCACCCACGCTTACCTATTGATTGTATACTGTACCTAACAATGTAAAGAAGTTCATTTTCTTTTAAACTTAATGATGTTTTGTTATTAAATCCTTCTTTATAGACAAATTTTGCTTACTAGTAATACATCAAATACTTCTAATATACATTTTGTATTAAGTTTAACTAAAAAAGTGATTTATTATTATTATACACATTCATTCTCAAACTAAACTGTTCTTCATAAATCTAAAAGAACTAAATAATGTTATGTATACATATTTAATTATCCTCTTGTAGAAAATTTAATTAATTATTTTATCAATATTAACGTTTAATAATAAAAATGCATAAAAATAAAATCGTCAATAAAATTATACAACATTTTTTTACCTACTTACCTCTGAATTCTGAAATATTATAAAATATTTGTATTATAGATATTTTTAGTTTTATGGGATTTTTTTCTACATCCACTTAAAATGCAACTTAAATTAACATTTGCGCTTTTAGCAAACAATAAATTATATTTCTCCTTCTACTCTTAATAACTATGTTGCCTTAGGATTTATCATCAAATAAAAATGTAAAACCGGCACTGATGGATTGTACGTGTTCTATCTTACAACAATTTATTTACTGGACGAGTTATTGATTTTTTAATATTAAATAAAAATACCATTAATAACAAATTTATAATATTATTTACCTTGGGAGGGTTGTTTGCACTTAATTTAACACCAAAGCAGAAAACAGTCGTATCATTTTACTTACCATACTTGTTCTTTAAGCAATGGCTGTAAAGTAGTCGGTAAAATTGTATCACCGATTAAACAAAATATAGTCTTGCACAATACCGAACATCGTAACATAAGAAACCGTTTCTTTTGTATTTTATATTGTTGTTAGGTTTTATACTATACAAGTGTCATTGTAAAATATTTTAACACAAGGTTAGAAATCGAGTATTACGCCTAAATATAATTTCCGTTTCATCAAAAAAGCTATACTAGTAGAATTTAAAACTAAAAAGCTCTACCAAAGCTCTAAAGAATATACTTATTATTTATTATTTTGTGTGTTATATACAATAGAGTACAAATTACAATTGTATAATTATATTATACAATAAGAATTTATGAACCTAATACGGACCATTTTACGAAAACGGTTCTTGCCATTCGTCCTACGAAAACAAGAAATATTAATACCAACTTTGTGAATTTCGGTAATATCATAGGACATAATATAATAATTAATTATATAGATAATATAGATTAAATTGTTTATTATTCAGATCAATACGTACCTTGATCAAATGTTTTATAGATCTATTATTTATTAATACATAAACAAAAATAGAAGAATTTTTATTAAACTTCTGGTATAAGTATTTATATCAAAAGGTAAAAAAAAAATCGAATCAACTATCATTTAGATAATATGATTAAGGCCATAAACATTAAAAAGTCAATTTGTAAGTAAATTAAATTTGTTGACTGTATAAAATTATAGCCCAAAACTAAAACGCAACAGTATTTTGCAATTGTAATTTTTGTTGCTTATTTTGTATACCTACATATTCAATATTTGTTCATCGATGACGTTTGTTTATTTTTAATTGATTATTTCATGCATATACATATAGAACATATTACATAGTATGTATTATGTAGTATGTACCGCATATGTAATATTAACAACTGTATAAATGTTCCATGCATTTTTCTAATCCTGCTATCGATTATATTATAGTTACGAAAAAATATTTTGAAAAATCATAATTGCAGCTTTTTTATCAGTACAATAATTATTATAGTCAATATAATATTTATAATAGTTTAATGTTTAGTTTTAGTTTCATTAGATGCCCAATAAAAAGTTACGCGAAAACTTTTATGCATTTTAAAAGTATGCAAATTGCAAATTAACATTACACTGTGTAGTGTACAAAAAACAATTTTATACATGCAATGGCCATGCCTTGATGTTGAATTAAGTTATATATATATATATATTGTACCCTATTAATTTAAATTAAGATTAGCCTACACATTTTGGAAATACAATAGTTTTATTTCTTTCGTGCATAAGTTTTTAACAGTTTTAAATTTAATCTACATATACTATGTAATTTAATGATTCATAAATAAAACAATAATTTTTGTGATTTACTCGTAAATACTCACACCACAGAGGTCATATTGTCAATTGTAGCTTGACTTTATATTTTACAATTTCAATTTGTGTGCGTGATTGGTCCGCAAACGTTTTAAATTATAAAATTTATATAATTTTCAATAATTTACCTATTCATATTTCTATTGTTTTTTTATCTATAGTAATAATTTCTCATAATTATAAATAGCCCACACATTTTTGACATATTCATTTGAATGAGTGCCAAATTATACTAGGAAATGTATACTGAAAGCCACGTTCAAAACTGTATTTATACTTCTTCCAGTATTCATGTATGTTCTAATTACACGTTATTTAACAGTAACGACTAAACATGTTTGATAACGCTTTTTATGATTATTTTTTAAATACATATTAAAATGTTGTTAAAAATTATCATGTCGTGGCATCTGTTATAGCAGAAAATATCATTTTATTATTTAAAAATATGTGTACCCAAATTTGTTGGTAACTATATTAACATCCTAGTTCAAAATTGTTATAATTTTTTATAAATTGCAAGATATGTATTAACTATGTAAACCATTTTTGACGGTTTACAATTCTTTATTTTCGAGCTAAAAGGAATATATTATATTATATTTGTATAACGGTTTATTTGCCTACCAAAATCTGTGCATAAATAATTACTGCCATTGCGTTTAAAAATAAAAATAAATAAGAACTGTAACAACTAAAAATACAATTTATTTAAATTTCAAATGAAAGTAAATTAAAAACTTAACTTGTAAGGGAAATCGTTTTAAATTCATAATTTTCCTTTTAATTTTGAGTTATTTTAGCCTATCTAAGGCTTAAATATTATATTATTCCTATCTTAAAAGTGGATGCCTTTGAATCCATAAACTGTTGAGTAATTTTTTTTTGCTACAATTTACAATGTGGTCTATTGATTTAAACATGCAAGACTATACAAAATAGGTTTTTTGTATAAATACATTTGTTTTAAAAAAACTAGTTTAGCTAGTTATTTTTTAGGGAACGTTTGAACCACACATAAAATAGATAGGTTAGGCTGCTGGAGCGAAGCTAAACTTAGAACGAGTACTTTATAGTTTTCTCTCGAATTTATTTATTATTTATGTATTTACTATTTTATTTTCAAAAACGTATACGATTATTAATAAAAGTATTTGAATTACATTTTAGTCGAATCGAACTCGCAGACCGGTTTCAGTAAATTTCATTTAGTTTTTGACGGAATAGATACCTATGGAAAGATTTACCTGAACAAAAAATTAATTGGATCGTCCGACAACATGTTCGTGAAGTATATTTATCCAATCGAAAAATATATAAAGGTGAGACAAATTTGAACAGTGGCACAGCTAGAGGTAGATGGTTGGCTTTATGTATATGATATAACCTAATTCAATATGAATAAGTACAAAATTTAAAATATATTTGAAAGTTAACGCTAGGTAAAGGCTTTATAATGCTCTTCGAAGTATACTCAAATAAATACTTAAATCCCAATTTCAAGTATATTTTACCTCGGAATGGATTTCAAATAGGGCGTTCATGCTGAACTATTTACCCGCTCATTTTATATTTTTTGTTATATATATATATATATATATTATATAAAATGTCTTTGTTTAATTCCTTGTTCCAATAATTATCGTTAGATAGGTCAAAATGTATTGAACGTCACTTTGAATTCGTCTATAAAGATGGCAAATAAATATTTCAATCAGTCGGATTATCCAATTCCTCCGTTATGCGTTCCATCGGATTACCACGGAGAGTGTCATGTCAATTATCTGAGGAAAATGCAATCATCGTTCGGTTGGGATTGGGGTCCAGCTTTTCCGTCTGCAGGGATATGGTGAGTTTCGTGTCAATGTAGAATCATATTCTGATAATATTTTCTATACGGCTTGTAATTATCTGCTGACGGTCATATAGGTATAATTCAAAGGTATTATGTTTATATCTACATCTATACACTAGGGGTGTGACATTCGTCCTAAATCCGGATTATCACAAAAAAAAAAAAAGGTTTTCTAGCTAAATAAAAAGGCTATATAAGAAAAGTCTATACTTATTATAAATACAATTTGTTAAATGTATCTAAATTCAAAAAATATGTGCTGAAAAAGTTTTTAAAAAAATCAATACTGAATATGATAATATTTTATTCTAGTAATAACAAGTTAGTTCATTTTGTTTAAAATAACTTTCGAGTTTAATAATATAATCTACTAAAAATTATATTTTAAGCAGCTATGAAAAATGTTTTGTTAAGTTTTTAACATTTAGATAATTAGGCTTAAAGTGGAACTGCGGTTGAGTTTCATGTGGTAAAAACAAAACTAGCTACGTTGCACATCTTCCCTTGCCTGTAAAAACTAATAACTCCAAATGGATAATTATCTCTTAATAGTTATTGCCTAAAGTTGTAATAAACATTCTTGTTTTAAAAAATTAAAAAATATATGTAATTTAACACTGAACATAAATTTTCAAATGTCGAGGGTTCTGGGTAAAAAATGTATAAAGAATATAGATAAAAATGATATAGTAAAATAATATAATTTTATAGTGTTTTCAATAAGAAAAACAAAATGTGTGACAATGGAAGATAAATGTTTTTTATTATTGTTCTCAGGAAAAGCGTAAAATTAATCGAATTACACGAAACCTTGTTGGAAGACATTAAAACGCGAACGACAATAGCGAATTCTTCGCACTGGTTATTAAAAACGGATGTATATATGAAGTGTTTTCAAAAAGTTTTAGACGGTAACGTTCGAGTATCTTTAAGCGCGGATAACAATATTGTTTTTGGAAAAGAGCGACATTGCTGTAATGAAATATGCATCAATGACGAAATCCACGTTGTCGTCGAATTACTCGTGGCCAAGGTAAAATATTTTAATTAACTATATCATAAGGCAATACCCACACGGTCTAAAATTTCTCAATAAGTAGGAGTATAAACGTGCTTGAATATGTAATCTAACATTAACGTTATAAAGCTAACGGGTTAATAATTTTTCCAAATTTTCAACAATAATAATAATTGTCGTTTGTTAATCGCTAAAATACATTAAAAAAATGTTAAAGCTTCCACAGATTGTTGATGTTGTGTATATTTTTCTTAGAGTTTTCGGTTATTTGTTTGTTTTCAACTGTGTTTTAGTAACATTGGTATCTTACTAGAAACTTTGAACAAACGAACTATCTTACATTCTTACCTAAGCTATGCGTATATCATCGCCCACTACTTTTGCAAAGGCCACTGCACAGTTTGCACGCAAATAAAATCCAAAATAATAACAATACGACTGATAATAATTATCAATTATTGGCATTAACGAGTTTAAGAACATTTTATATTGTGGAATAAAACGATACGACCAAGATAAAAATATAAAAAATTAAATATTTAAAATAAATTTTGAAAATTGTTCGAATAGTAAAATTATAAAGTATATTTAGACCCAAGGTATAATTGTACAAATATAAATACTTAAATTATAGTGTTTTCTATGCATAAATATGTATAATTAAGAACCAAAAGTGTAAACCAAATATTTTGTCGAAACTCTCGTTTTTGATAATTTCTGATAGAAAAAGTCTTATCGACAATTTTTCTTTCAGCTTTAGTTTTATCATTTTTGAGAGAGGTATTGATGAAAACTAAAAATATTACACATTGCAAATATTATTTTATTTTGCTTTACTGTACAATTTTTTAAAAGTTTATTATACCCTCTTGATTTTTATCACTTCATATGAGCATGAATCATAATATTACGTTAAAACTTCAGACAAGTGTTAAAACTTGGTGGCCAAACGGATACGGAGATCAGCCCTTGTACGATTTGACAGCAGAGTTTTACAGTAAAACGGAATCTCAATCGAAAACAGTTTCAATAGGGTTCAGGACGGCCGAACTCGTTCAGGAAGCGATCGATAAAAACAATTCTGAAAAAGGTTAGTAACAACGCAATATCGATTCACATGCCTATATAACATACCTAGTGAATACCTTTATAGGGTTCTACGAATTTTCTGTTACACTTGATATTTTGATGATATACTGCAATTTTGAAAAAATTACCTAAATAAAACATTTTAAATTGTAATCAAACAATGACAATTTAAAGTTTTATTTGCAGTCGGAAGCCAGCAAGTAACTTTTGAAAATTAAACAGTAACGATAGCATTTAATTCGTTTTTTTACAAAAGAATAATTTGCTGAAAACGTTAACTGGCCGATAACCACTTGAAGTCATTACTTTTAAAGTTGTTATAGTTTAAAATTGTTGACTGGAGAAAGAGTGGAGTGTAATATTATTTTTATCTGCGCGCATTACTCTACCGCACAGCGCACTCGTCCTGAATTTTAAACATTTTCAGAAAATTATTTTCAATTCAAAAACTAATTAAATGTAAACGCTATCATTGAAGTTTCAAAAGTTAACCTCTTTAATTTTTCCTTCTGACTGAAAAAGAAACCCTAATTTGTATTGTTAGATAAAAATTTTAAATGTTATACATACCTAGGTCATTTTAAAATTTTAATATATCATCAAAATATATCAGGTGTAACATGAAATTGTGATAACCCTGTATATAATGTACAAAGAACCGGTAAAATAATATAGCGACAATTATTTTTGTTCGTTTTGTTTTTGTAATTAAAATTCTGTATGTACAATATCGACGCGTATTTACGTAACAATATATACAACAATAATAATTATACAGTATCTATGCAAAATCTAAACGAATCGCTAATTCAAGAAAGAGAATAGTCCAAACAATTCATAATGTTAGAAAAACACAAAAAGCTATTTTCTGTTAAACGTAAATGAAATAATAAAATATTTAAAAAAAACTTTAACCACAAAAAAACATCACATTACCATATAGGTGTGCAAATTTTAGCAATGTTACTTTCATCAGCGCTAACAACAAACTTGAATGTGTTATTTCATTATTTTATTTCTTTACTTTACATAACTGTTGCTAGTTTTTTCTAGATAAACGTAAATGTTTTAGAAAATCTAAATAAATACAAAACTTTATTTTTATATTGAAACATTAAATTTTTTTAGACATTAGGTACCTATTTTGCGCCTTTTTCGAGGCTCTCACATCTGTCGGACTTATTCCCTTTTCTAAATAAAATATAAAAAAATATAGTAACAGAAATTAAAAACGTTTCAACAAATCAAAAGTTGTTCATTTGCCAAATAATACATCCCTGAACAAAAAAAAAAAAAAGCCAAATATCGTTTAAATATTAAAATAATATTGAAAATATTCAACAAAAATGTGTAAGACATTACAATAATGGTCAAAATAAGATTAAAAAATAATTTTTAAGTATTAAAAGTAATATTTAAAAATGTTTGCCAGCTGGGATATTAAAATGAGTCCATGCGCCAGGGCTTACTGTGTAATAGAACTTCTGAACATCATTGGCCATTCCGACCGACGCTGTATAACGTATCATCTAGTTTGCAACTCCCTGTTTAAATTGGAGTAAGTAATTATGCGGGATATTGTATTGAAATTATTATAAAGAGTTGCAATTGGTCCATCAATCCAAAAAGATTTTTAGGGCAACATTTTGTAATAACAGTATCACACATGTCAAGCGGGCGTGCTGTGAGGGTAAATATATTATTATGAATAGTAAATGATAATAATAATTATAAGTGTATCTCCCGTTATGCCACATGGAGCGAACTTATTTCATATGCGCACACGCACATTACATCAACGTTGTTATAATTTTATATTATTTTGACCGTAGTTTCCATTTCGATGTGTCCAAGGTTTATAGATAATACTATCTATAAACCTTGCTGGCGGTCGGTCACCGACCGATCATTACTAGTAATGCTGCTATACAAGGATATTAAAACAGATTTTTAGTATATATAAATATATATATATATATATTGTCAAAAAAGGATGGTTTCTCATGAACATATTATTAAACATATTTTTATCGTAAAAAATATTTGGCCAAAATTGTTAAGTAACAATACCTAATTTTTTGGAATCCAAATAATATACAAAAATAGGACCGTTTGCAAATACCTCTTATTTTTAAAATTGTTTTATATAATAAAATATAAGTAGGTAGGCATGCGTTGTTTTTATTATTCTGTTGTAAAATGTATATCTACTGTCCATTAGGTAAATAACTAGTACCTCTTCTCCACCCCCATAAAAATCTGGCTATAGTATTGACGAATTCTATAAATTATAAAACTTAAACAAATATTAAATTTAAATGTTCAAACGTGAAAATGTAGAAAATATGCATTTAAATAAAATTAAAATTAAAGTATGTATACTTGAAAGTTATAAATTGCTGAATATACAAAATAAACTAGATACTCGATTCTGTAAACATATAAGTGGATTAATAGAAAAAAAAGAAATTCTTATACACCCGAGTCCTAGTTATGATAATAAACTCGTCACTTAAAATTTTAAATTTTTACTTAGAATTATTAACTTGGATTTTTACTATATTTTCTATATCGCCATATCGGATATTGTTATTGGCTTAATGCGTTGTTAGAAAATCTATTTTTTTTTAGATAATTGTGTTTTATTAGTATTTTCTTTTCTTAGGGTTGTCGTTTTACCTTAAGATAAACGGCGTACCAATATTTGCAAAGGGCACCAATTACATACCGTCTAACGTTTTTCCCGAGAAAATGAACACGAAATTAACGATAGAAAAACTTTTAACTTCCGCAAAGTACACTCATATGAATACCATTCGGGTGTGGGGCGGCGGTGTGTATGAATCTGACGAATTCTATCATGTAAGTATGTAATGTATGCTATTATTTATATATTAGCATCTAGACTCTAGTATATTTTGTATGTACTTAATGGATCTAATTTCTACGCACCAAATAACAATTTAGTTTTATAATTTGATTTGTATTTCATACATACTGGAAACAACTGTATGATTTTTCAACTGAGATTATTCATAAATAAACAACCACATTTATTACTTGGAAACGTGCTATATAGTTTTTTTTCCGTTGGCGCATTAAACATTCAGTTTATAAAACTACATTTTTATCTTTAGATACTTAAAACTTGCTTGATGAATTCACTCCTTAAATAACTACAATTTGAACTAGATCTACTAAGTACTTCCACTGCGAATCATACTTTTAAATTTAAGAATCATGTTTAAGCTTCGTTGCTTAAAACAACAAATTTTATCCAGTTCCTTTCATAATGAAAAAACGGCCGTAACTAATTTATTTACACATACTTTATCTTAAAATTACAAAACGCTGTAACTTTTTAAAATATATATTGGAATTAATTCCAAACTTACGTGGGGTATTTTTTAAATATAGCATTACCAACAGTGAAAATACAATAAATACGACTAGAGATAGATTTTGCCTGGCCCTATAAGTTATAATGTATTTTTTTTTTTTTTATCTGTAACCAAACTTCTTGTTTACTAAGGAAAATCAAAAGAAAACACGATTCTAAACACAGTATATGTTTATATATGTAATTAAATATAGTTTCTGTTGAAATTTGTTTTTTTTTTATGTAAGTAGTGTTGTACGTATTATGTATTGTTAAATGGTTTACGCGTAGGTATATAAAATATCATTGACTATTGTTGTGCATTATAAACTGTTTTAATAGGCGTGTGACAAATTGGGAATAATGGTTTGGCAGGACATGATGTTCGCTTGTGCCATGTACCCGTCTGACGATCGGTTTTTGGACGTTGTCAGCACAGAAGTGCGACAACAGATCAGGCGGTTGCAACACCATCCGAGCATCGTGTTGTGGGCTGGTAACAACGAGAACGAAGCGGCGCTCAGGGGCAATTGGTACGGCACCCAACGAAACTACACGACGTTCGCTTCGGACTACGTGAAATTGTACGCCGACACAATAAGGGTTTTGGTGTCTCACGAGGACGGGACGAGGAGTTATGTGTTATCGAGTCCCTCTAATGGATTACAATCTGAAAGGGAGAACTACGTAGCCGACAATCCGTACAGCGCTCTATACGGAGACGGTAATACTATAAAACACGATAATAATATCAAGCTCTTTGTTTCGATTTACAGTTGAACGCTCTGACGCCAGATAGTGTTTGATGTAAAAAAAAAAAAAAAAATAAACTTATGCGTCATACTCTAGGGCCTGGAAAATATCAGACATAGACCTCGGTTACTTACTTGATAGCAGAATAATTGAAGAAAAATATATTTAGACCTACCACCTTAAGGCTTAACGCCCTTAATTAGAACACGCCTATACATATTATAGTCTTTCCAAATATTTTATTTTCGTAGCGTCGTTTCTGTTACCAATACATCCATCGTCAGTTTTATTATGTACTGTCAGTTGTCATCCACGAGAGACTGACTACGGTTAATCTGTGAGAACCTATGTTCATTTTGTTTCAATTTTTGAGGGACAGACACACTTCTCGTTGTGTTACCTAAAAAAGCAAAGGCATTTACGATTACGGCATAATGTAATTTACCTGTACTGATCATCATAGTGAAATATAAAAAGTTTTTCAGTCGAGTCTGCAACCACGAAAGAGCATTTTCATTTCTCGTTGAAGTACCGAATAAATTTAGAGTAATGGTGGAATTATAGATAATGATATAGTATATTAAGAAGCAGTAACAAGCTAGTATATTAAAACATCAAGTTTCTGGCTAATATTGTAGCGTTTAATATCTGGCTTAAAACAATTCATAGAGAATTTGGACCCTTAAACTATTTTGAATTTATCATTTAGTTCTAACTTGAACGTTGAACGTACAACATATCTCTTATCTCCTATATCTTACAAGTTACCCCTATCTCCTACCCCCTGTAACGCTTTTGTAAAGAACGCTTTTTTCGGTTATGTGCCAGAGCAAAGAAATGAAAATGTCAAAATGTCAGCTCGGTGGGACACTGGTCTTCAGGAATTATTATAAGTGACAAAAATCGATCAATGAAAAAAAACGCTACGACCCAAAAATCTGCGGGAAAATCCAAGGGTCCGGATAAAGTTCTGAGCAATATTCACATTTTGCGTTAGACAAATACTTTCTGTACTATATAATATTCTTTAATAAAAAATAAATTTTTTTCGTAAACTCCAAAGAGAATAAATTAATCAAAATATTTTTGTTTTAACTTTTTTTTAGTGTAAAATTATTGGTTGATTCAGTAAAACATATTTTAATTAAATTTTCAAACAAGTTTTGCTTAAGTTTTTTTCTATTACTAAATGTCTAAATGTTTATCTTTTTTAATACTTATAGATCCTTACACCAATATTCAAAACTTAAACAAGCAACGTATATTTCAGTAAATCGTCTATTTGACAAGCACTTATGCAGCAAACTACCAACTGGCAATTTTTACAAATCGATTTTAAAATTTCGCAATATTATAAAATATTCAACAAAAATATTAAACATCAACAAGCGGTAATGATAATTCCTTGGTTTTTAGCCGGAGGCCCGTAGAGTGAAAGGGTTATCGCCCACTCGCCCATCAAGATTTTTGGCCACTTGGCTTATTAAATTTATGATTTCCAAATTCCCGATTTCGGGTATCTTAAAGAAAAGCCTGATTTTATATAGTAGAAGATAGGCTTAATTGTATAATTGCCCTGACCTATAATTTGTTCCAGCCCCACCTCTAGTAGTATTTTATTATTAGATCATCCCACACAATTTGGAACTAATTCGATTGTTTTCAAAAAGTTTAGTTTTACTAAACTATTGAATAGTATAATTTTTAATTGAAAAATGTGTAAATTTTTTTATGTTCTATAATAATATTACAAGTGGAGTTCGAAGGAATGTATATTTACACGGAATGTACGATGCACATAGATAACATATTTTTGATAGACTATTTGAATGAAGACTGGAATGTGCTGGCCATGTAGGTATCAGGATTCAGGTATGATAGAGAGAATTGAATGCTCTGAACATGAAATGATGATTAGCAGACGTAGATTACAACTGCAAAGTAACGGGGGTGCAGAGTAGTAAAAATTCAAAAAATGGTCAATATGCGTTTTACGCTCAATTCCGTGAATCATTATTTCATATTCAGGGCATTAGTTCTATCTGTAATGGTGGGATTGAGCGTGAAACACATTTTGGGCAAAAATGTCACAATCCCCATACTATAACTTTAAGAGCTTGCTGTGAATAGGAAAAAACAAAATGCTACACACTATTAGTGAGAAGATAGATATTTGTCTTAGATTTAATATTTATAATATACAGGTAGATCGGATTTCATATTCATGTGGTATAATGGTTTAAATAATTTGGGAAAAGTCTGTGTTATAACTTATATCTTATAAACGCTTAATTTCAATTTTCTCTTAAACTTTAAGTAATAGAAATGATTCAAAGCTCATTAAAAAAAGCTTGTCGAGAACATACAAAAAATGAATTAAAAAAATAAAAAATAAATTATTGGTTTTTTACTATTATTAAAAAAATTGTCGAATTTTAGCTAAATTTTTCTTTTGCCACGTAGACGGCAGATCATTGAAATCGATGAACGGATTTTGTTATTTAGGGTCCAATTAGAATCACCTTGATATGCAGTAAAGTTCCAGAACTTTATCTGATGTACGAGTAGTTCATTCTACTTGAGTTTTTAAGTTGATAATTTAGCTAATCTGTGGTTGTTGTGTATTATAAAAACATATTCGTATTCCCCCGCCCTAATTTGTTTAATATTAATTAATTGCTTAATAATAAAATGTATAATATTTTAAATAATTCTCTACAAACTGAAAATCAATAAAGTCTACATGCCGACCCCGACTCGGCAAGCGTTTTTATTCTAGATTTATCCAAATACGGACCGCAGTCGATTCAAGGAACTAATCAAATCATTGGTCTGTGATATTTTCAGTGCATTACTACAATTATGAGGTGAACAGTTGGAGTTCGACGTTCTATCCATGGACGAGATTTGCTTCCGAATACGGATATCAATCCCTGCCGTCGTATCAGACCTTGACAAAAGCACTGAACGCAAACGACTTGTACGGTTTCCCGTCGCCCGCGCTCGTCCACAGACAGCACCTGGCCGGAGGTTATGCTTTCATGATGTTACAAATAGAAATGAACGTGCCCGTCCCCGCTAAGCCCACTATCAGCGATTACATCTACTTAAGTCAGGCAAGTCTGTAGGCACAGCATTAACGGAATATTCAACGACGCATTTGATATACTGCATATTGCTTAAAGGGGTCTTATTAAAGAAATACAATTTTTTTTTCATCATACGCATTTGTTCATGAACAATTAGGTACCTAAGTAAAAAAAAAGTGAATTGTTTCTAAATACATATGGAAACCTCAATATGTCGATAGAAAAAAATATACATCGCGACAGATTTCAGATATACCCCCTGTATGTCTTGCCCGATGTGCTATTGTTGGACAGCGAACATACTACATGGCAACAAACCACAGCTTGATGAACAAAATCGTGCATCAAAATAAAATTACATGTTATTACAATAAGTATAAGTAAACGGCGTAAAAAAAGGCTGTGGCACGAATTTGATGTTGGAAAAAATATTATAAATTAAAATCTCAGTAAAAACTAAAAATTAATTTTAATAAGACGAAAATTTACTTTTATTTTTTTAATTGTAGTAAAAAACGTGTAGGTAGTTATTGTTGGTTAAATCCAAACGGGTTAGTTTTTGTAAGGGACAACGATATACGATATAACAGTGGAATTTATTATACTTTAATAACATTGAGTACTAATAGGTTTAATTTTTTTTTTAATTAGTGTCATTTTTCCGTTTACCCCATTAAATTAGTCCTCGATGAGTTTTAACATTATTAAATACTCTTGTTTCATTCGTAGGTGGTCCAGGCTAGGGCGATCAGAATACAAACTGAGTGGTATAGAAAGCACCGAAACACATTGTTGGAAGATGGCCGAGGTATGACGATGGGAGCATTGTATTGGCAGTTGAACGACGTTTGGCAAGCACCGACCTGGTCATCCATAGGTATACCCATGACAGGGGACAATTTATATTTATGAAAAATTAATTACATTCAGCATAAAATGAGTACCAACAAAATATACCTTGTTATGTTAATTTTGCAGATTATGACGGACGCTGGAAAATGTTGCATTACAGTGCTTTAGACTTTTTTGCTTCGGTTATTGTAGTTCCAGAATTGACGGCCAACAATCTGACAATTTATTTTGTATCCGACGTATTGAATGATTTGGAAGTCGTTTTACAAATTGAAATATATTGCTGGAGTAGTATTCAGCCACTTAGCACTATTACGACATATAGCTTATCAATAGCAAGTGAAAAATATTAATAATGTAACGTTACATATTAGTCAACTTTGTCTATTTTTTAGGTGAAAAATAGTGCCCAGCTTGTTTTAAATGAAAACTACGTAAGCTGGTTACAAACAAAAACTAATAAATGTGGCCGTTTATTAGACGAAATAAAACAAAATTGTTTTTTACATACAAAGCTATATTATACCAATGGTACAGAGCTGTCTCCATCAAATTACTTGTTTCCAAATTCATTCAACAAAATTGCTGGGTATCAGGATCCAACAATATTGGTATGAAACATATATATATATCTTAATTTTGATAGCAAAAAACTTAAAATAATACAAAACATAAGAATTAATTATATCAAATTTTATACAAAGGTTAAAGGTATAAAGTTTACCAATATAAATATATATATTTTTACAGATATCTAATATAAAACAAAAAAATATTAACGAAATTGATGTGGAATTACAATCGACGGGAATAGGTCTGTTTGTTTGGCTAAATGTCACTCGGACAGATGGCTATTTTAATGAAAATGGATTTATCATGTTAAATAAAACCAAGACGGTAACTTTTACATCAAGCCAAAACATTGAGTCAAACTTTTTTACTGTAGAAATAAGTCACCTTAAAATGAACTTAACTAATTAATAATTTAAATATAGTTTCAAAAAATAAAGGCTTACATTTTTATAGTTTTCTTTTTTACTTTATTTTCTGGCGCGTTTGGATTTTGACCTTTATAAAATTGTTTCAACAAATCCATCGCACGCTCTGCATACAAGTCCCTTACAATATTACACTTTTCCAGTCCGGGAACGGCAAGAACGGTGCCACATCCACCAAAACGATCGTTGGCACAACCGTACACAATTTTAGTGCATCCAATTTTCACCAGCATTGCAGCACACATAATACAAGGTTCGACGGTCACAACAACGGTTACGTTAGGTAATTCACCTAATAAACCGTCATTTACAATTTTATCCACACAATTAATTTCAGCGTGTCTAGTAGCGTTTTTTGTTTCGTTAACTGTATTACGACCAGAGGCTATTATATCATCGTTTTTGTTGACAAAAACGCAACCAACAGGCACTTCACCTGTTTTCAAGGCCTCCTTGGCCAAGTCTAGAGACACGACCATACATTTAGCCAAATTCATTTTCATTTAAATAGGTCCAAAATATTGTTGGACTTGAGCTGTTCAATTGTTATAGTTTTCCAGTTTTCAGCTGTGCCTACAGCGCGCGGACTTGGATGAGGAATTTTCACTACCTACAACAGAAAAAACATTATCAGAGTAGTACACAATAGGAATAAAAAATCATTTTTTTAATTGTGAGTACAATTTTTTTTTTATTCATGATTAAATTAAATAATTATTCCCAAATAATAATAATTTAAGATTAATGATTAATATTATTCATGAATGAAACGCATAAATAATTTTTGATTCTTTAATAATTAATCAAATAAAAATCTGTTGATTAATACATATCTTTGAGAATAATACGTATAACATGATTTTTTAAATATATATAATATAAATTTTACCTTGACGTTTGTTAAATTATAATGTTTTACTACTTCTCGAGATCTTTTTTCTACATAATTTCCAATAGCAACAACAGTCGAAACGTGAAGCAATTCAATTATACTTTTTAAAGATTCATCGCAGACACTTTCTAGGATTTTTCTTTGTTCGCTCTGATAAAACAGTTCAAAACAATAAAAAATTATTCATTGACAAATTACAAGGTATTTTAGACTGATGTACATCACAAAAACTAACATGTTTGTTTTTTTTAATGAAAACTAATGCTTTTTTATACATCATATATATTTTATATTCCTATAGTAAACTTATTAGTATTCAACAATAAAAAACCAACTGTGTTAAGTTTTTGTATGAGATGTTAAGATTGTAGTTTTCAATATTAAATTAATAACAATACACAAAACATGTCATAATTAAACCATTAATTTCATTAAATATTTCAAAACAAAATTAAGGTAGGAAATACCTTTAAATCAGCCGGAGTGATATTTGTTGCTTTTTGAGATTTATCGACTAATGCCAACGGGTAATAGTTGTGTACAAAACAATATTTAAAAAATCTAAATGGATCACCATCGGTAAGGTGGTTAATAAGATCCCAAAATCGTTGACCGCTTACTTCTTTTCTTTTACAGTCGAGACCCAAGACTGGCTTTTGGGGATGAATATTTTTTGGATACTCAACTGTTCCGCTGACTCTTAAATAATTTTTAACCACATTCACTTCACCAAACGGTATCTATGGAAATAAATAATATTTAAAATATGATTGCGTTGATCGGTTGATGATATGTTATGTAAAAAGATTACCCCTGTTTGACACATTCCCCATGGTCCAGGATTCATTCCCAAAAACAAAACATTTTTTAGACTAAAAAGATACTTGTTCACAAATTCTTTATGTAAACTAGAAGCATATTCCAAAGGTCTGTAAATGTACAAATCTAAACCGTAAGTCAAACCATGTAATTTTAATGATAAGTTGTTTTCAAGTTCTAAATATAAATTTGCAATATTTTGTGTATCCAAGATGTGTTCTTGTTGACTAAAATATTTTGATACAATCATCGAAAAACTGTAACAAAAACATTTTAAATTATTATATACTCAAAACAGTCATAAAAAATTATATATATATATGTAGCAGTAGAGGGTGTTTCACTACAGTTAAGACACACATTTTCTTTTAAAATATTTGCAATTTTGTAGTTTTTATTTTTGAGTCACTTTGGTTTATGTTTTTTTATAATATTAGACAATATTCAAATTTTTATTTTTTCCAGAGCACTATCAATCTTCAAGTTTAAATGGTAACATATATATTTGATAAACTATTTAAATTAGAATAATTTGCAGAATATTTTGACTGGTTGATAACCAGTTTTGGATAATTACTTTTAGTTACTAAAGTTTTAAATTTATGATGAAAGGTTGAGTGCTGTAGAGTAATACGCGCAAATAAAAATAATACTATACACCACTCTTTCTAATAACATTAAATTTCATTAAAAAAACATGAAAATTAAGTTGTTGCTCATAATTTTAAAAATAAATCTGTAATTTCCATTTTATTAATTTTTTTATTTATACATTCTGATACAATTATTCGAACAATAAGTATAATGTATCTACTCTACCTATATATATTATTATAACGTGACAAGACCAAATGAAGTGGTCTCCCAGTGCAGGACTTTAATGTGAATTCTAAGTTTGCTTATAAATGGATTAAATTAAATAAAAATTATAATACATGTTTAAAGGTAAAGACAATTAGAGCTTAAATCTACTTTACCACCCCACACCTGAATTTTGATTATTATTTTTCAATCAATTTGTTTTTCAATGCTAAAAACGATGGTGCAAATAAAAAAATGTGGAAACGCATAGTTTTGAAGTTATAGCTACTTGAACTTGGAAAATTATCATTGATTTTTTTTTTTGCATCATCGTTCTTAGCATTGAAAAACTGATTGAAAAAAAAATAGAAATTCGGGTCTGGGGTGGTAAAGTCGATTTGTTTCAAAGGGTGAAGGCTGTATAGTTTGGTGAATAATTAGTCATCAAGAAATAGTTAACGGTCGATCCCGATTTAAACGAGTAAAATTATTAAATTTAGGCATTATGTAATTATTTTAATTATTTTTACTATTTTTTTTTTATTAAATCAGTGCTTTTACCTGAAATCAATCCTGTAAGCTGCACTTGTATTCTTAATTATGGATTTTTAAAGTTTGAGATTTAAGATGTTTTCTTTCAAGTAACACACGTCGAAACTCAAAATTACGAACAACTATTGGATTAAAAATATACTTATTGGTATAATATTTTAAAATTATTTCAACCATGATTATAATTTATAACTAATCAATTTATCTATGGCCTATGCTAATATTATGTATACTATTATGTATTTCGGAACGCGGAACTTGTTATGATAACGTACGTATCAGTGCTTACAAGTTTAATTATCTGAAACACGGTTACGGCCATAGATAATAAAATACGATATTGTATTATCTGTGGTTAAAGTCAAGGTGGTTATAATCTTGGTTGAAATTTGATTATAAGACAAGGTTTTGTGATATCTCATATCCCCCACAAAACGAAAGCTATTGAAGATGAGTCGATTTTGCGGTAACAACAGCTAACAAGGATTTAATTTGAGAGGAATTAAGAGTAAAATGGCTAGCGACTAGCGAGGGAAGAGAGAGAGGAGAAGTTGTGAGATAAGATTTAGAGAGGTGGTTGGGTACAGTCACACGCTGCACGCAATGTTACACAAATTTTGTGTCTTTCTTCGTATGCAATATTTTCCCGTATTTTTGTGTTTTCCATAGTAATTGGCGGGAGTGAAATCAGAATAATATGATTTTAGAGTAGTGGAGGATCATATTTTCATTCCGCATTCGAAACCGACTACGGTACTCTAACGGTACACGATATATTGATATGTGTGAGTAATCTGTTACATTATATTATTTTAGTAATCCGTACTTGAATTAAAAAAAAATAACCAGTGGCATTATTATTATTGTATAATTCGCATATGTAGCGTTAGTATATTTTGAGCATTGTTTTGATATAATATTACAATTTGCACCATTACGCAATTGTCACATCACAGTATGCAACATTTATCTCGATGGTCATAACCCGAACCAATGGACGAAAGAGTTAGTATCCGTGATAATACAAAACCTTTGAGAAAGTATGGAAGTATCAACAGCAAGTCAAACTTTTTGCCCAACACTCATTATGTCAAACATGTTGTTATCGAAACTGATACTCTGCAAGGACTGGCTCTGAAGTATGGATGTACGGTAAGTACATAATCATATATTATGTTAAAGTATTCATATGAACAATTTTATTTTGCCTGAAAGACCGAACAAATAAGGAAAGCCAACCGGTTATTTGCCAACGACAGTTTGTTTTTGAGAGAACATTTGTACGTACCTACTGGAAACACAAACGGTGAAAATGGAAACTGTCTTAACGACAAGCAAATGAAATCATCGTCCAGTCTTTCAACGTTAGACGAACATTGTCTAGACGATTGTAATAACTTTTTAAACAAGATAGATAGTAAAATTGCCAGCGCAAGAGCTCAAGTGATCAACAGTCAGGATAAGAGTCCGTAAGTTATGTTTTTGTTTTTTTTAATTGTCAGGGCTGATTTTATGTCTATTTGACTCCTATTTCCAGTAATTAAAAGTTAAAACTAATTTAAAGTATAAAATAATAAAATAAGCTTAAGCTAGCTGGTTAATGTATTATTACTAATATCAATTTTATTGGATTTTATATATAAATTAACGTATTATAGTTTAAATAAATATTTATAGTTGCAAATACATTTAAAACTATGATTTGATGTGGCACGAGTAGGGAAAAAATGTTAAAGTGCCTAAATAAAAATAATAATTGCTAAAATAATTTTTATTTATTATAATTTTAATTATTCATTTATTATTATTTAAATAATTTGTTTTAAAATTACTACATAATATCTATGTGTGTACTATAATGTATGATAATTTTTTTGAAGTAGACAAGTACATTTTATTTAAATGTATTATTCCATTTTTCATTTAAATCATTTTTTGTTCAAACTTAACTACAATTTGTTATAAAATTATTTGTGTTAAAAATTTAATATATATTTAAATATTTTTTGATTTGTACAAATATAAATGTATCGAACATTATATTATCTAATCTGATATTATCAAATTAATTTTTATTTAAAATAACAGGTTAGTGTCAAATAGAAAATATATTTAAAAAAAAATTATTTGAAATTGAATTATTTCAATTACAAAATAATTGTATACACAAAATGAAAATACTTTTTAATTAGATATTTGCTTCTTGTTATTTGGAAAACAAACCCCTAGGTTTGATTTGGTTAAAATAAAAATAAAAAATTATCTATTATTTGAATTTTTTATTAAATAGTGCCCAGGTTTGTTATAAGATATTGAAAAGAAACAGTTGATACCTATAAAATATTTATACATTTTTTTTTAAATTTAGCTATTGTCCAGAAGAACAAGTACTGTTCACCCGGCAGCGGTTATCAATGCGTAGAATACAGGGTCCGTCGTCTGATTCTGATGATATACCAATAATTGTAACACAGAATAAAAAGTTAATGACTTCGAGACAACGTCTGGAACAAAAAGAAGAAGAAATGTTTTCTCTGTGATAAAAAATGTAATTGTACATTAACTAGCGAATATATTAAGAATATATTTTCTGTTTCTTTTAGGTGCATGACATCTAAATATGACTATATAAAAAAAAACATTACCTACTAAGAACCTTACAGAAATGTAACATTTTTTAATGAGCACAAAAATTGTTGTGTTGAATGTTTTTACTATTTTAGCAAGATCTAGCCAATTAAAAAGTATGTTTGTGATCATATCGATTCCTTTTTTTTAGTTGTATGATAAATTATATTTAATTTGTTACGGTTATTATTAAATATTTAAAAGTTTATGTTAAAAAAATATCAACTGTTATATTCATTTGTACAGATATGTACGGTAAATTTTACGTTTGGATGTGTCTCAACATTTTCAGATTTTTCTTTGAGGAGAATTTTTTTTTAAATTGAATACAGTGTACAATTATATAAAATATATAATATGATAACAACAATAATTGGTATTTTCGCATACTTTCAATATAATATGTATCAATAAAACGTATTTCTAATATCTATAATTCTATAAATTTAGGTACCTAATAATTTGTTACAAAATTACCTAAAATATCACATTTGCAGTAGGCATTATATTATTGTAATGATTATTATATGAGATTTAGTTTTATAACATAAAATTTGATGAATCATGATAAGTTTTAATCTAATACATATTTCTGTGGGCACATACTTAAAAAAATATAATTGTAAAAATAAAGGACATCTTAATTTTATTAATTTACATATTATGAACTTGTACTTTGTAGTACTTATCGTTAACTAATTTTAACTTGTTATTTTATACAAGAACACACGTTATGTTTTTTTGAAGATGTATATTTTTAGTTTTTAAAGCTTATATGTGTCAATATTCAATATAATATAATATTCAGATAACCTATGATAAATGTATATCAACACTTGAGAACTTTTTATTTATAACAGATTTTTATAGATGTGGTTCCTAAGATTTAAATAAGAATCATAGTGATAATGCTTAATTAAGAAGAACAAAAGAGTGATATAAGGACATTGGCGGTAATTAAGAATTTTTTAAACATTGATGAAGAGCCTTTAACATTAAAAGACTAATTTGTAATATAACATTGCTGATGATTGAATAATTTTACTGTATACAGTTGGGACAATCAGTATAGCCCAGTTCCGATAGAATAGTTCACATAAAAAAGAAATGTTCCATTTTAACATTAATAAGGTTATATGCATATTTATGTATAATCTTATCTCGAGTAAAACAAGTACCTAGTTGCAAAACGATTTATTAACGTAAATAAATAATGCATTGAATAATGTATATAAACTCAATACAACGGTTCATTGAAGAATCTTATGCATCTAATGTTTAGATTGTTAGGGATTAATTTGTCAACAATTAATTAAACACCTATTGTGTTCATATCAGTATTATCAATCATATATTTAGTCGAGGCGCGTTGTCTCCTAGAAGACTAGCGACTCTGTCGATGGAAGTATAACATCTAACGGTTACAGAGTGCCAAATACTGTAGCGATTTGGATGTGTCGCGGTCTGACCAATGATTGATAAGGAGTCTAACCATCCCTGAATTAAACTGGGAGCCAAGTGAAAAACCAAAGGAATGACGGCGATGGAGCGCTGGGCTTTAGGTTACTAGGTAGCCAGTAATCCAAGTCTATGCCCCGGAACTTGACTGGAGGTGGTAGACTGGCAACTGCTTCATCCAGGTCTCTCGGTATCGTGTAAGGAGAGAAATCTCAGACAGGGCACAGTGGAGTAGGCTGTAAGGACTAGGGGTCAAACCCGCTTTAGAACTTCTGTGCGTGAGTGTAACCTGTTAGAATATACTTTATTACTTCACTGACACATATAAGTTATTAATTTAATAGATTAAACATTCGTCTTCTTATAGAAATAAAACGAAATCATATACAAAACAAATGTCTTCTAATAGTAAAGAAATCAAATAAATAATAATATAATAACTAAAATACAGGAAAAAAAAATAATAAAACGTTGATAAAAAAAAATTATCATGAGGTTGTTATTGGTTAAGTAATAATATTAGACCATCCAAGTTGTGCCAGAGATCCAAAAATGATGTCAAATTAATTGTTATAACACGCAAGAATTTGCTAGTCCACTTTTTCACTAAATAAGTTCAAAATCATAATATTAAAATACAATATACTTCAAATTTAATTTACAATTTTTGTTTAGAATTTGGAAGTCTTACAACTTGCAATTTTTTTTTTTTTTTGTGATTAGATACCTAAAACTTCATAGTAACTATTTTATATTTTAAGCATGAAAAAATATTTTCTACTTTTTTGTTCATTAGTTAGATATTCTTTTTAATTTATTAGACGGGGACCAATAGTTGGTATAATTGGTCAATAATTATTCTTATCCGTTTAGCTTTTATTTGATGAGGGTAATATTTTTAGATACATAATAAGTATTTTTTTTGATATAACTAGATGACATTATTATTAATTATCATTTATCTATCGAAGTGATTGACAGACTCTTTGTGTTAACATCATTTTATAATGCACCTATTTAAGAGTATAAATTAAAAGATAGTGTTTCCATTCTAATATGCAATTGCCATAGAGTTATTCTTACATACAATACAAATTTTCATAATTGTTCATTTTTCAACCGATCAATAAATATTAATTATTTTTTCATAATAACCGTTTTAATATTGTCTATGGTATATTACAAGACCTTAACGACCTATCGCAAATATAATAAATAAATAATTTGATTTGTTGCCGGTTGCTAAGTAAATTATTAATTATCATTTTAGTAGCACATTGAAGACGCGATTGGAAGTTTCTCAAACCAAACTATACTTTTTCGGTAGGTTAGCTTCCATAATTTGTAATACTTATCTCAGGCTTTAATTGCTTTAAACAGACATCTGAAAATCCGACGATACACAATTACAATTGTGAGCATAGCCCTATATCAAAGATCTAAACTTGAAATTTGAGACAGTTAATTTTCGTATCTTCTCTTATTATTTTTCTTTCATTACTACGGATCGTCTCATTTTGGTCATAATACATACGTCGGGTCACGTGATCTATCTTCTATACATTTGCAGTTAATATAGAACACATTTTCTTCCAAAATACATTGTTTTTTATTTCTTTAATTATATTTCGTGTCGGTAAAATATGTAACACACAGTCACACGCTTCGATTTACGAATTTCTGCTAGTTTAGTCTTCAAGTCGTTTCTTTACACTTGTTTTTATTCTAGTTAACACTAAGTTTTGCAGTAAACGTTTAAACTAGCCATTGTTATATCTACAAATACTTAACAATTAACTATAATGAGTTATTGCTAATTTGAAAAGACTAGTGTTTCTACATATATTTATATTTAAACGGGGTAACGGCCTTTAAGACCAGCCCTCCAAGTATATATTCCTCCATTGCAATCCAGCTTCTATTCTTCCTACATCTTAAACAAAACAGTCCTCCCATCTCAAGCGAAGTCTTTCCAATGGTCGTTTTCCTGCTGGGTTGTTTTCGATTACAGTCCTTATACAGTGTACGATGAACATGTGAGACGTGCTAAATAGGACCGCATCTGGTCCGAAAAGCTTACCTCACAGACTAGTCAGAAGCCGTTTCCGTGATCAACAAGTTTTAATATAATTTGTTGGTAAACTTGATGAAAGTAGAAGTAAAGTTTGGTTATAAACTAAAGAAATAGCAGACTTGGTCACTATGTAGATATCACTATTTTGATAGGCTGATATTTTTGGCAGGGGGTCTGGAACTTGGCCTTTATTCACTGTTAGATTTTTGTTGGGATGTCATGAATACATCATTTATTCTAAATACAAACATATTTTTTGAGTTAATTTAGTATAAGTTGTGTATAATTCTTTTTTACTTAATATTAGGAGTCCAGGTTAAATTTATATTTTTATCTCAAATAAAAAATAAAGCCAACATAGTGGTACCATGTGGGTATAATTAGGATGGGGAGATCATTAAATTATTAAAACTGAAAGTGTTAATAACACTTTTAAATTATAATAATTTGTTTTTGACCTTATAAACCACATTTTTTATCTATGAACTTGCTACATAATGATTTCAGTCCAGCAAATTGAGAAATATCATCAAATATGAAAAAAAATCGCACCAATAATTGTAAAATCAGTACTTTCTCCGTTTCAAATCAAAATTAAAATATTAATTTATATAACTAAAAATAAATTGAACTTTATTTGATGAGTCAAAAAATATGAAAACACTTAATAGTTAGCTGCAGATTAAAGTTTATGGGAAAAAAACCAACCTAATACATTTTAAAAAGAAGTTATATAAATATTTGAAATTTAATTTTCTACCTTATCAATTACAAGTTTATAAAATAAGGACGGATTGTTTGCACAAAATAAATGTAATATACAGCAATATGTAAAAAGTAGTATGTATAGACATTTTTTTTAATTGTCTATTATTACCACATAAATTTTTTTATTTAACTTCCATATTGTGTTTTAGGTTTATTAACTAAATTATTTAATTGTCTATTATACATTTATAATTATGACTAGAGTTAGCCTTGCTCTTAAGATGTTATTAATACATCAACATGACAAAATACTTTCGGTACAAAAAATAATTATTTTTTCATTGTAAATCGCTCTGAAATCAAATAGTTAATACGAGCTTTGTTTTTAATAATATTAGCTTTAGCGTAATCTGTCATTTCCATTTCTTCATTAATATCGGTTTTCAGTTTTTCTAATAGAAAAAACATTGGATTGATCTTTTCTTCAGCAATACTATTACATATGAAACACAGTAAACAGTTTAAAATGAAATGAATGACAATTTTAATACAGATGACAAATTAAATTGTTTTAATAGTAATACCGTTGTGCGGATTCTAGTTTTTCATTGGTTTGCTGGTTAAAATTTTTCCAATAACTCAATTCTCGGTTCATTTGATCAATGTTTTCTTGCATGTTGTTCACAAGTTTACTTAACGGATTAGCAGATTTGGTAATAGCCTGAATGTACTGTTTAACAGTGCTCATTTCTTTAGCTAATACTTCTTTGTCCTTGACATGTTTTCCTTCCCATTCCTGTAAAAGTTTATTGAATAACAGTTTTTAGTTTTAAAAAACTGTAGCAATACAAAATTGATTTTGAAAAATGTGGTTTAGGATTGTTGAAAAATTGGTAAGAGATTATTTCTTTTAACCCGATTTGTTTCTAGAATTTATAAAAACTTACAACTTTAGTAGGATCAGGTTTTTTTTTTGTGTCAAACTCTTCTTGCGTATGAAGTATTTGTGAAACAAGATGACCTTGATCATCAACCTAAAATAAATAAACTTGTTAAAAAAAGAAGTGAATACACATTTTATTAAAAATGTTTGTTGAATTTTACTTGAAGGTTAATATCATTTGAAAGTTTTGCATCATTTACTAGTTCGATTGTAACAATATTATCATCTATATCATTTAACTTGTCATCATTTTTTGAAAAAAAGTTGTCTGAATACTTGGGAATTCTAAAAAAATTAGTTTTAAAAACCATATTTATATATGATATTTTTTTTTTTTAAATTTACATACTCAGATAAGGTACTGGAATGTAATCGTCTATTAGGAGCCGGAGGTCTGGAGCTTTTCGGTCTTGATGGTCTACTGATATTGGTCGATTCGTTTAGTTTTCGAAGTTGAATGTCTTCAGCATCGTTTTCAGGTGTCAGTTTTTCATGTTCAGGCTTACTGTCCAATAGTAGCTTCCCATTGGTGATTTCTCTAAAAATTATGAATTATGAATATTATAGAAAAAGCCAGCACTCATGAGTTGTGATAAGATTGATTGGTTGAAACATAGCAAACATTTTTTTTCACAAAGTATTCAAAGCTAAAATTAAAATTAAAAAGTACTCAAAGCTTTATAGTTATTTAAATTTAATTTATTTAAATAAATAACTTTAAACTAGAAATTGCATTGAATTGAAGCAAATCATTTTTAAAATATTATTTTGTATTACAATAGGAGCAACCATTTTAAAAATATGAAAAACGTTATGGTAATATAGGTACAGGCAAAAACCAAGAAAATTGCATAAATACTTAAAAAATTATTGAAGCTTGAGTGGGGTATTATTATATTTACACTATTTATATTACTTGAGGTTACTCCCACTAGTCATGAAAACTAGTCAAGACATCCAGGTGGGAGTAACCTCAAGTCATGTAAATAGTGTATGCATAAATACTTTTACCCAAAATAAATGTTGTCTTCATTTCTCATTTCTGAGCCCAGCTTTTAAACTTAAAGTCCGAAAAGAACTAAAGGTCAAGACATAGTGTTCAACAGTTTTGATTGTATTAAATAAAAATATTAAAGTACTTAATTTAAATTTATTAAAGGTTAATGCACAACTGTGTACCTAGGCTCTAACACATGTTATGAGTACATACATACATAGAAAAAAAAGACATTGATACATGCTGTGATCCACTAAACCACCGAATATAGACTATCTGTATCCGATATTGAACTAAGTATTGTAAAATGGGGTTAATCGGAAAATGACAATAATTAGGAACACAAAAAGGAAAAATTGTATTTTTTGTATTAAAAATATTATTGTTTCTGTTTACCTAATATTAGGATATAATTTTTTATGTCTTACTTTTTCTTAACAGAGTTATTTTCCTCTTCTTCTGCTTTGACTTCTAGACATTTTTCACCTATTTCAGGTTTTACAGTGGTATCGGTTGTTTTACTTTTTGATTCATCGTCAACTTTTAATGAGGTATTGTCGATGCTCTTTTGCACATTTTCCAAATGACCGTCTAAACTATCTTTAAGTTTTTTTTCTGTCAAAAGGGTTTTTTCCAATATTTTAGGTTTATTATTATTTTTTATATTGCTTTTGACTGGTTCTTTGAGTTTTGGTTTTGTAGTCGATTGACAAGATTCTTTAACAGATTGTTTCTAGAAAACAATAACACAGCGGTTATTACAAAATTTATTAAATTCATAATGGTAGATAGTAGTTTATTATATAAATTTTAAATTGATAACATCCGAATGTATTCTTGTTTATGTACTGATGTTTCGGACCCATAGGCACAAATACGAGGGGCTAGGGTGGGCTTAGTCCCCCTAATGTTTGACATAGCTCCACCAAAAAAATTAGGTAATGCATACAATTTTAAATTACAAAAATATATTTACTTATATGTATATTTAAAAAAAAATTTCAGCCCCCCCCCCCCGAGTTAAAAATTGAAATTACGCCTATGTTCGGACTACTGCAATGTGGAATGGTGACTCTAAAGATGGACTCTGCAATGGGTTCGAAACATCATCACATTATTATTATGGACGCATCCAAAAGGTTATCATATTTATATTTAAACCCATTCAAGTTTTAACATATTCATTTTATTTTAAACCTATTAAAATTTTTAATAGCTTAATTTACTTTTGTCTCTATTCCATTTACTATTGCCAGTAATAACTCTAATGTCTTTGTAACCTCGAGGCCGGCAACAATTTTGGAAGGCTTTGCCGTAATTGTTTCATTTGTACCAGATTCTAAAAAAACAATATGCTATTTATTCTTTCTGTTGTTATAATTTAGAAATTACACAATTCCTTTCACTTACGAAGAAACTTAATTAATTTATTCAAGAATTTTATTTTTGTATCTTTCGTGGATACATTTTGGGATTTTAATTCTTCATCATTAAATACTCCTGACAGATAACCAGTGTTGCGAATTACCTGTAAAATTAAAAAGGTGGATAACATTATCTTAGAAGTTCTGCGATTATTATTATAATATAATAAAACTTACATTTGTAATTATATCGTGAAGAAATTTAAACGGTGGTTTACTCAATAATTTCTCCGTGAGTTGAGGTTTACTAATAAATTTACCAAGCGAAGTTTTGACTTTGGTTACAAGTTCTCGGTTTGCAAGTTCTGTCATATTGATTTATAGCAAAATTAATAAGAGAAAATGTTCAGTGACATAGCGACTAACAAGTTAAATAAAATTATTATATAATTTTAAAAACAATAATAATAACAGTTTGATTAAATATAATAAAATAATTGTCCAATATACTACAGAACAGATTTAACCTATCTATCGCTTAGTAAATCTATACCAGAATGATAAGAAGAATGAAGTGTTGATAAAAACGCCCTTGGCCGTTGCTAAGCAGACATAATATTATGGCTATGTTGCTAAGTTGTGAAAATTTCACAGCAAATTAATTATGAAGTTGTATTTTTGAAAAATGTAGTCATGCAGATTTTCTGAGAGATAAATCTTTTTGAATCCCATTGTAGATTTGGTCTGTTGGACCAAATATTTTGTTGTATTAATTAACATATTGAAAATGCATCCCTCAATTATCAAATACTTAATATTTTTTAACAGACCTAGCCCGAGTAATTTTCAAGAGATTTGGTCTGTATGACTTGGTATGGTGGGCTAGTTGTTAAACACATCAAGTAATATACTATAAATAACTGTAGTTAAGAAACGTTGAATATAGCCATTTTAAGTATCACATGGATGACAAGCACTGCTAATAAAGAAAACCAAACCCATTGAATATTCAATAAATGTTTTATTAAAATTAAGAATTAAAAACAGTTAATTAAATTTTGTTTTTTTTTGTTATTATTACCATATCTTTTTGTTTTGTTAAATGTACTTAAATCAAAGAAACAAAACACCCATTTTATATTTTAGCCGGGCGCCTTATAAATATTTGTACTTTCTTCTTAGGTACATCTTCTTGTGATTTTACATTCTGACCATCATTTATATAGTTTTCACAGTTATTTGTATTTTCGGCCTCTAAACTAGTTTGATTATGACCATTAGTTTTTTTCTTTTTTCTGCGTCTTTTTTTAGACGTAGTCAAATTAGTTTTAACTGATGTTTCACTATTATTTTTAAATTCATCGAACCTAACTGGATTGCTACTGTTTGTTTGGTTAGAGTTTTCTTCATTGGTCTTAACTTCAATATTATTTTGTACTTGTAATTGGAGTTTTTTAAGTTGTTCAGCAACTTTGGCACTGGCTTCGTTACCGAGAGGTTCATGTTGTTTTAACAGTTTGACGAAATCTTGGAGCGTGTGCGGTCTGTATAATAATTGGTTATTACTTGTATTATTATTATATAACTCTTTATCAGAAATTAGTTTTTGATCGATTGCAAACTTTAAATGGCCATATTTCATTCTTGCAATTTCATCTTCTATTTTTCCAGACTTGAAGATGTTTTCGTAATACTCAAAACTTTTGCCTACAACGCTGTAAAATGAATATTTAACAAACTAATAAAACAATTTCACAGGATGTACATAGTAGTAAGCATAATATGTATAAAACGAAGAACATACCTGCGGTTATGTGCTAACTCCTCAGTCATGATTTTATTTAATGAATTGAAATAAAAATTTTTTACAAAATTGCTGCTATTGTTCTTCCATAAGAACTATGATATAACTAAGCTGTCAGGTTACCCAACTAACAAGTTGGATCTATATTCTATAAATCCACCTTGCTAACTAACTTAATTATATCATGTCTCATGTTAAGTCCGCAGTCGACCAAAAACACCAGCAGACATTGGTTAGAGAATAGATATGGGGTTATTTCTTCTAAAAAATGACATTCGACGTACCCATTTTATTTATTATGCGTTATTTCAAAAAAATAAATTATTTGATAAGATAAAAATCACCGATGGCGGCTGATTGTGATGTAAACGTCCAACGGTTGTTATCAGTTGATAACTCTTTCTTTTCTGAAACTGGATTTTCCGTGTTATCTATCGGTGTTCATTTTGCTTGTATGTTAGTTGTGATCTGTGACGAGTTTTTTGAAATATTGAAATTGTACTTTACCGTTTATCCAGTATCTATTGGTGATTTCTAGTGTTTTATTTTTGAAATCCTAACGTTGTCGATTCTTGTATAAATCTTGACTACGGATCAAAGACACATAGATTGTATATTGTTTTGTTCTAAAAATGCCAGTGTGTTGCGACTTAATCGATTTCGACGCGGTAGTGACTCAGAGTTGAACGTATTAAGTGTGCATCTTTTGTTATGAAGCTGTGTGGGACGACGTAGCATTTCGTTACTAATATTTCAGGTATCTATGCAATACTAGCCAATTTACACTTGGTAGCCACAAAAAAAAAATTAAAGATGACAACAATGTTTAATTTACGGTTTTAACCTGAGAAACTAAATTCTACATGTTTCGAGTTTGTCAACTTAGAATTATTTGACACTGTATTTATAAAAGAGTATAATGTATGAGAGTACTAGTAAATAAATAAATGTTAGCTGTGTAATATAATATACTGTGGTATAACTTTTTTACTAGTGAAAACATATTTTTCATCATAAATTATTTTTATTTCTAATTCATTTATTTTCAAAAAGCTCAAAAGCAACTCATTGATTTTTAACTACAAGTTCTAGTAATTTTAATTGTTCTGTTTTTTCACATACCTTTTATATGAATTATTTAATAAAACATAAAATGGTCATATATCTTATATTATATATTTGATTATAAAACAATCAAATTATATATATATATATTTTTCAAATATTTTAATGTTATCTATAATCAATCTGAGCCAGTAACAATTATTGTAAACATTGTATTTTTATTTACAATTAATCTTAAAAAAAACATTAATGACCTTGAAATCTCACTATTTTAAATAGCCTTTTATCATATAATATTAAAGTCTTGCATTGGAATTTTTATTGCATTTCTCCAAGCTTATGTTGAGTTTTGAAATGTTGAAATTTTTATTATGATACTAACGATTTATTATGACGGTAACGTCTGGTTAAACTAGTTGTTTTTTTTTTAATTGTTATAAGCCAATTCATCAAACTGGTTAGTTTCTACGCTATTACTTGCGCTCAGTTGATTATAATTTATTCATAAGCATAAAATTCAAATGTACATATATTTGTTTGATATTTAATTTACATTGGCAACTTAGACTAATCAATAAATGAATAACTTAAAAGATATAATTTCAAGATTAATAATTTGTAAATCGTAGGTACACTTAAACAATCTGTTCCTGACTTTTATATAGACTTTAAAAAAATACATGGTTTTTTAATGTAGGTAATATAATAAATAAATTGACTAAGATGAATTAAGTATGTCGATGTACTAAACAAAATGTCAAATGATTGTCTTTTGTTGTCAATGTAACTATATAAATTAGTATTATACAACTTTTCTGGTTAACAAATACAATGACCCGTAAAATTAGGTTATCAAATAGTTAAAACAACACTGCATTGTAAATTACTATACTATTGTGTTATTCTATTTAAGGGGTTCATTAATTTAAGTTGTATCTAATTGTAGTTAACAAAATCAGATCTGCATAATTGTAACAATAATTTTATTTATTTCGACAATGAACAGTATCATTAAAATTTACAGTAATATAATTTAATAACAAAAATTAGTTTACCTATTTATAGTTTGTTGAACAATTTGATTTGATTTAATTATTAAACCAATTTAATCATTCTGAAGGGGTCCATATGGTAATGTTTTTAGTGACAATGTTACCTATAAAGCTATATTTTCAATCCATAACATAAATATTTTTTTAAAAAATCAAATCAACTTATTTGAAATAAAACTTAATTTTGGTTTAACAAACAGTTTACTAATGAATTTCAATACTTAATAATATAAATAAAATTACACTATAAATTATTTATCTAGGTAAAACTTAGCTTGTAAGAATATTAAAAAATTACCTATTTTATTTAATTTTAATTAAATAGATATTTCACAGAATATCGAAGGCAAACTAACAACTGGATATATCTGCCTTTTTGAACGTATCTGCCATACAATAGATTAATAATAAGCAAGACAAAGTACATAGAGTTCCGCACTCTTTTTTTTCCCCGATTAAATCGCAGGTGACCCCGGAACCAGCCTGGTAGGGCATTACTTCGGGGCCACCCACATTGTTTATTGTATCAGAAAACTTTCACACATTAGTTGGGGGGGATGTTCCACACACCCTCTCTACTTTTAAAAAGTATAATACACATGTTTACTCCTTATAACTTACACACCCCGTGGGGTTGAGGTCCAATAATAATATTCACATTGGGCCCCGAAGAATTCCGCACTCTAGAACGCATAAAAGACGGTATTCTGGTAGTTCTAGCTACAATCATCACTAAGTAATTAACCATTTTTTAATTAGCGTATCCACCTTTTTGGACAATATAATTAATAGACATAAAATAGATAAAACTTATGCACCGCCTCAACAATTATTTGCCTTTGTTTAAATGTCTTTATAAATTTAATACGTGTAACTTAATAAGTTTAACCATGAAAAATTGTATTAAGTATTATATTCTTAATATTAAATTAAGGAAACGGGTTTTTTTTGGTGGATACTGCTGAGCTTCTGTTAGGTGTCCAGATGTGATTCGTGACATACCTAGTAAATAAAAATAAAATAAAATAGGTTACTTTATATTATTATTAAAAACTAAGGTTTATATATATATATATATATATATATATATATATGTATTTATGTATATAAATAATTTTATATATTTTATTATGTCTTTCATAAGTACAGACATCTTATCTGTGAACACCTTACCAAAAAATGCTTAAATAAAATCATAATTATATAAAATGACGAAACATGTTTTTAAGGGTAACTTTAAAAATTCAAATAGTAACATACATATTTTACACCAAATTTAACATAGTTTCATTTTCATTTAATTTTTAAAGTTTATCCTTAATAATCTCCTTGAAGTTTTAAAGTTTACCATAGAAATACAATCAAATACTATATAGAAATGTATATGAATTTAACACAAACACATGTCAATGACCCATTTAAATAAAGTCTGACGTGTATACGCATCAGCTCGTTGTAAGTATTAATTTGCCTAGATTGATAACCAGTTTAAAAAAAAACTCTTATTGATTTTTTAGTATTTAAAGTTTAGGTGATGGTGGAAGTGCGGATGAGTGGTTTGTGTAATTATGAATAACATTACAGTCTACCTCACCCCAGTCTATACTTTTAAATACTAATTATTCAAGAAGTATTTATCCAAAACTGGTTATCAACCAGACAATATTCCCATTACATCATTTAGCTTTTAATAGGTAAATTTAATATCCTATAGGTTGCTCGTAACTTTTAAAAGTCACTCCTTAACATTACCCTTTAAAATAATATTTTTTACTTGAATGTTAATTATAATAAAGATATTTTGCACAAACAATAGGTATTTTAATTATTGATAACTGATAAGTTATGTGGTCCATCTCATTTTTGCCAATAAATAATATAGGTCTTTTTAGACTCATTATATTATAATTACATACAAATAAATACAATAAAAGTCAATTTGATGACAGTTTATCTTACCAGTTATACCTGATTAATAATTATTGCATTGCACATATTGGAGTGTATCCCTCTTGTTCTTCACCAAACTACGCTTTTGTGTTATAGTAGAACAAGAAACCTTTTCTGTTGACTGAGACATTTTCTAATTATAAGATTTAGTTATGCTAGACCACCAATACTAACTCAACAATTTTTATAAGTTCTGGGTTTATGACTATTATTGCTTATTTCAACAGCAAAACAAATTACCTTATACTTTTTGACCCTGATAAAAGATTTTTTTGTGTGTTAGCTTTGCTGCAGCCGATTATATTGAAATAATATTTTTCTTTGGTTTGATGCAGTTATTTGCCAATTATTTAGCAGTGGATTTTTTATAATACAGAGTAGTTTGTCTATAAATTTTGTAAAAAAATTGTGTATGTTAAAGGGACACAATAATTCTATCTATCTAATATTATTAAGACCTTAAGTCCAAAAACTACACCTAAAAAGGCACATTAAAGAAATCGTGTCCACTTCTTCTGGAATAAAAGATTACCTAATCATATTTTTGTAATTTTAACTGTTTATTGGAAGTGCTGAACTTTAAGAATATCCGTCACCATGTTGGAAGTAATTGGAATATTTTTCGAAAAGTTGTAGATTTCCGTAATTTGAATTTGAAAAATTTGTACATTTTTAGCTTGTTTTTCCCGATTTTGAAGGGGGACGTACATTTTTTTTTCATTTTTGGCTGTTTAAAGTATCTTTTAGGTACGAAATCTGATCAGTAGACTTGTTGCATGAAGTAATCGGTCAAGTGGTTTGAGAAAATTCGTGTGTACAAACAGGAAAAGAAATCATCATCGTAAAATGAATACTATAATCTCAGTTCCGCTTCGTAGAAAAAAATGTTTTATGATCTTATTCAGATTAGATATTTTCTGATATAGTCGATTTAACGTCTATGACGTAGACTTTATGCCCTTTCCCCTAGAACAAAAATTGAGCCTTAAGTATGTCACGGCCTAAGAAAGATTGAAAACTTCTAATGTAGGACTACGGTCGAGGATGTATTGTAACTATTTTTTTTTTTTTTGTAAACAATAGCAGCACCTGCTGTTAAGTTAGAATCCTGGTTACGAAATAAACAAATGTATTGTGTATTATTTGCTTAAATAACTTATTTTAACATGTACAGATTTTTTAACTACATTAAATTACATCATTTATGAAAAAATAAATCATATAATTAAAAAGGGTGCATGTGCCACTTAAAAAATGTACATTTGAAACTTTTTTTGGATAATTTCCTTTTTAAGGTATGGTATATCATTTTTTTGTGACAAAAAAACTAATCAAATAAGTTTAATGGACACAGATAGGAAATGGCTACATTGGATATCCTATAATTTGTTTTCTGAAAATGCTGGTTGTATACATTTTAAAATTTAAGCAATATGCCATCTTATGTTCTTTTGGTGGTATAAAATTAAAAAAAAAAGTTTTTTACTTCGATTTCAAACTAAAATGTTAACACGGTAAATTGTTTTGTAAATAATATTTTTTTACGTTTTAAACAAGAATAAATAAATAACAAGAGTAAAATCTTGTTAATATCTTGTAAACTCTTGTTAGAGTAAATTCTTGTATTGAATTAATCAAAAAAATTCATCCGTTTTATCATTGTTAGGTAGGAAACACATGTTTGGTGTATGCAAGGTGTGTATGTACTATTTTTTGCCTTCTAAATGCGAGTATAAATTTTATTTACTTTAAAGTAAAAAATATATAACTATTATAATATATCCATCCACTCGATATTCAATAGTTTTTGTAATTTTGGAAAAAAAAACGTAAATGATTTATTTAACTTTTTTCAACTGAGCCAATAAACAATAGTGTTTTTACCTTCATTTTGTGTGTTCAGTCTTTAAGTATTGCGTGCAATGAATTTATTACTTGACGCTAAAGTGTAAAACTTACCTACTATACAATATTATGTGTAAAATTGTATAATATAATTATGTGTAAGTACAACATCTGTATAATATTGAGATCATAATAAAATTCAGCTTTGAACCAAAATTATTTAATTTGGGTATCATTTTTGGGTACTTATATAACTTTTAATTTTTTTTTTTGACAATTTTATCTATCGATTTGTTTTATATCAATAAAACAAAAATTTTGGGGTTTGACTTAACCAAAATAAAATTAGGTTTATTTAGCTCAGCGCTTATACTAGCTTTAAGCACTAGTTTCCTAATTTTGGTATCAGGTTTTCTATATCGTTCCGGGATTTATTTTTTAGGTGGCTAGGGGTGTTACGGTACTGGGTGTCAGGCCGATTTGAGTTGAAACATTGATAAAAATGGTAAACCTCCTATTTCGCCAATGAAAAGAAATAGTTGTCGGCCTTACTGGACACTTAGGTCACATACTCTACATAATATATTATGCATTGTATAAATAGCTTTATAATTATACTCGCACGCGTTTATGTAGTTTATTTGCTGTTCGTTGCATACTCCCGTTGTCTCTACGACGTGAGTAAATTTAAATTTAAATTATGTATAATAACACTTCAATAAATCTTCTTGCGCATCAGCCATTGTGAAACACTGCGTTTTTGTATGATTTGTTTTAAAAATACAATCGTCACAAACCAATCGGAATAAAAACAAAGGATTTTCTATAGAATTGTGTGTAGTGTGTTGTATGGCTGAGATTCGTCATCTCGAGGTTTCCATCAAGCGATGAGCCATCTGGATAAATTTAGACGTCGAAATGGCCTACTGCCGTAGAAATTGTAGAAATAGTAAAGACATAATTATTAAATCTTTTTTCATCTTTTCAACAACTTCTTTTACGACGGGTTTCCGCTTTTTTTATTCTGGGTACACCGCAAAGTGTAAAACGGCAACCATAGTTGAACAAAATACTAATTTGTATTATCTAAACAGTTCATAAAAGACAAAATAATATGATAAGACATACATGAAATCAAACAATGGGCAATTTTTATTTAAACAACAAATAATAATTTACAAGTAATTAGTTATTTGAAGTACATTTTTATTTGCCGTATTTACGTACATTGTGAATATTTTGTAAAATTATAATAGGCAACTTATATCATCAACGTTACATGTATATCCTGACAATAGCTGTTGTGTATTTGTATGTGTATACTACGTAACAGCGTTTTTTTTCAATACTGATAAGTAATAATTATACTATGTTGCTCATTGTAACTATTAATAATTTTGTTCTTATATTTTTATCGGGTGTCTGATGCGATAACTTTTCCTGACCTAGTCAACAGTAATTGTGTATGAAGTTCTAGAATAATATATCAAGTTTATTATCTCTCTTCTCTGACCACAGCTTGGGTGTTTTGGTAGTGATCCAATTGAAAATGAAAACATATTATTTACTGTTAAAAAAACTATATTAATTATTTTTGGAAAAATAATGTGCTTTAAATTATTATTTCGCATTTGTCATTGTTACGTGATACTTTCCATTAACTTATTAAATACTTCTGTTTGTGTTTATTAATCAAGTTTCAGTATTTTCTAGAACGTTTCGCGGTTTATCAATAAAAATTACCGAAATGTTAAACGTAGTGTGAATAAATGAATAAGTAATACAGGTAGCCAATATGTAACAGTTTTAAAAAAGTAAAGTTAGAATTATTCAGATACTAAGAATTAGGTACTCATACGTTTGTAGGCGAATTTTGGCATTAACTTAAGTACTGATATTTGAACAAAAGCAGAAATTAGTATTATAAGATACATTTTGTTGGGTAAAATTTTAAATACAATAAAATAGATTTTAACATGCATTTGCATTAAAAAAAAAAATGTGTTCTTTTATGAGGTTTCTTCTCGTGATTTTAATCAAATTTTTGTATTCTATGATACATTTAAGTTAAATTCTGGATATTTGTTGTACAATACCGTATGTATGAGCTAATTAAGAATAACTATTGTTGGAAGTACTCAATAATGAAAGTACTCAAAAAAAAAAAAAAACTTAAATCGAATTTAAATCATGATTTTTTAATCGGTCCAATTAATTTATAAATCAACGATGTATAAATGTATATTATAAGTTAACTGTTGTCTATGCTGAGAATCAAAATGAATTTCAGTAATTTTATAGGAGCGCAAGATGAAAATGATATTATATTCAATGTGTTCTTACGGTTGAAGTTCATAATAGTTTTCTTCAACCTCTTTAAAATATTAATGACAAATTATAAATAATCCCAGACAGAAAATGGATGTCTTATTGATAAATATTAATGTATGATCAAACACTTGTGTTTTAAAATAATGGCACTCTTTGTACACTTGTTTATAGTCATTTCAACTTAAAACAATAATTGTTATTCGTCGTAAATAATTCATGTGGCCGCGAATGTGAATATTTCGGTTAGTAGTCTGTTTGAAAACATTGTAGGTCGATTGTGGTCTTATGCCAATATTATTCGCATTTTCTTGCCACTTCTACGTTTCTCTCAGTAGATAAGGAGTATAAATACACATCCGACCTACGCATTACATATTATTATTATTGTTTATGTTTTCACAACAATGAATATATAATTACTCTAGATTCGCGTTAAATCTAAATTAGTTTTGCGGCACCGACTCGTTACTTTTGCCATTATTTTGCTGAGACGACAAAACAAAATACAATAATAATAAGCTGTATAAACCAACACAATAAAAGCGATGACTGGACTCGCACCGTTGTGTCAAAGAAAGGAGGGAATTTTTTTTATACTTAATTAACAATTTTTAATTTATATTGCAACTTTTTAATAAAGCAATGACGTGTAACAATTATTTAAAAAAAATATCAGTTATGTCTGTAAAAAAGTTGTATTGTGTGTTAATTCGTCCCGTTTGTTGCGATATCCCCACCCATTCTTACTATAATCACAGTTGGGCATTGTTCGATTGAAAACAAACATTTGCCTAAAATATATTTTATTTATATTATCTATTATGTCTATAGTCTAAGACTTAGTTCAAAATTGACTAATTAATAATTCGAGAAGACCCAAAGTTTTGTTTCGAAATGTTTTTGGTCAGTTCCAGTACTAACAATAGTTAGTATTCCTACATTAGTAATTAAACCAAGCTGAATAATATTTATGTGGAAGTGATTTTTCCATTAACAATCGTGGGCCAAATTTGTGATTGTTGGTTGGTGAGACGGTGTGTAGACTAAAAAAATAGTTTTCATTATAGCCATTAAATATTAATGGGAGTTTCGATCTGCTATAGTTTTTGTTCGCTATTTAGTTACATTTAGCCTAACTTCCTTTACGTACGCTGATTATTAATTTATTTTGGACCGAGTTTGACGTGTTTTTCGAGTGTGCACCGTTCGCGTGCAACCGATTGTCGTCTTTGGCCAATGTTTTTTATAACAATAATAATGTGTGTATTCGAACACTATTTACATGTCGTTTATTAAACGGCAACGCACTTGTTGGCAATGTCGCGGGAATGTTTCTCTTTGTCATAAACTAATCAAACCAGTAAACCCTAAAAATAAATCGCCCCTGACCCGGTGTATTGCTACCGTGTTCACTTTGTACCAACGTGTATGTTAATAAAACATATATATATATAATATACAATTATATTTTCATAATCATAATACTCATAAGAATTCGATTAATTTTGATTATACGTGTTAATACGAAATTTCACGCATGATATAAATTAATAACAAATACAAGTGTTATTGTTATCTGGATCAACGAACTTTCGGCACTTCGATATTATATACACAAATGTTACGGATTTTTCCCACGCCAAAAGCTAATAAAGTTGTATCTCGGGACACGTGCCAGAACGGCGAGTCTTTTGTCTCTCACTTGTTGGTGGCATCGGCCACGGGCACTTTAAGTACTCGATTCCAATCGTACTCGGACCTCTTGTCGAACGCTTTCTATAATAATAATAACATATATCGTTTAAAAAATATCATCGGCACACATACGCAGAAATTATATTTTTCAAATAGACAAAAAATGTTTGATAACAATTTCGTTATGACCAAAACCTAACAATAATTTATTAAAACAATTTCAAGATGTTTGAAAAATACTAATTTTATAAGTTTGCCGTGTGTAGAACGTACATATTATGCGTTTAGCGCCGCCGAAGGAATAATACATAGTAACCGTCGTGTGTCGTGCGCCGCCGTTCGGTCTGTGAAACTTCCATATACGAAAGTTTTTTTTATTATTGTACAGTTTGTTTTTATGTAATATACAATAAAATCGCGCATTGTCGCTTAATAACACTAGTCGATCAGTCGTCGTTTTACTGGTGAACGCCGCCAATATAGTATAATATCGTATTATTATAGTGTTGTTGTTGTTATACGTATACGGTATACCTTCTATATAAAATATATATTGCACACTGGACAAATAATACATTTAACAAGGACACCGCAGAACGGTGTTGCTCGAACCCGGTGTCTGAAAAAAAAAAATGGTTAGTGAAGATCAGCCTATCACAATTATAATTACAATAACAATAGTATTATTTGTTAATATTTTCGACTAACCGTACACCTACGAAGTAATCTTGCCGTTGGTGTATCCAAAAATAGTTTGGAGGGGAGGGGGAGTTGTTCTTTAGGAAGAAGTTAGTAAGCACATTGTTGTTTGACATATTGTTTTAATAACAACTGTTATTTTCGTTAGTTACCTATTTGTTTTTGAGGATTATAAAAAATAGACGTATTCACTTGGCATTTTCATTTATAAATAACAAATTTATTAAAAACTGTAACAATTCCTTGTAAACATAAGTTTTGCAAGTAAATGTTTAAATTGTTTATTTTTTATTGATCTTAAAATTACATCGGCATCTTAGGCCATTAGTAAATAGTTATTTACAGAGGAAACATGTTTTTTGATTAAATTAAATTATATAATTGAGATTATTTTAAGAAGGCAATTAAATTCGAGATATCTTGAACGCTGGGACCCAAAGCTTGACTGATTTGTTCCGAGATGTTTACATTTTATATTCGATGTTTTCGATAAGTTTAAAAACCTATATTATTACACTAACCCAATAAGATGAAAAACAGGGGTTTTATTGATTAAAAAAACATGTTTTAAACAGTAATTTATTTTTAATAATTAGTAATTAATAAAGATTAATGCATTAGAAAACATTATGCATATATATGTATACGTATTTTTTTTTGAGGGGGACTGGATGGATTAGATTCAATTTATAATGTTGTAACGATTAAGTTTCGCGGTGAAAAATGTATTAGTCCTAATGGCAAAGCAATAAGCGACTAATCCAATCATAACAACTAATAGAAAGGCAGTATTAAAGCAAGTCTTCTTTTTCATATTTGCCATCGACGCTAATATAACTGGGGCCGTTATAATATGATCATTTTCTTAATCCTTAACTGTTTATTTTATAACGTAATTAGTGATTGCGGGTTTTCTTACTTCCAAATGTTTAACCCTGGACACTTTCATTAAATAATATTTTTGTTTAATACGGAAGACCCATCATTAAGCCCATCATCTCGACAAAAAAATTGAATATAAGAGGTATCGCCCGTCCCTAGTTAAGGACCTGCCAATTTTTTTAGTTATGTATTGGGTAAAGAAATTTTTTTTTAATATCTTAATTTAAAAATAAAAGTAATTTTATTTTTAAAGTAATTAGGAGTGTTTTTGGAGTGATTCATTTTTAGTTGACTATTTTAGCAGCTTCTTATCGTTTTTCACTATTTTTCTCTATTATTATTATTGATCAGCTATTACCTAACTGTCCTATTTTGTTTGTAGTGGTGATAACCTTAAAATGTTGGTTGCACTTAGACAACAATATTAAACAATTTACGTCGTTGTTTTTTTTTAATACTGTAATTAAATAAGGTTAAAATAATTAAAATAGAAAAAATTAATAAAAACGAAGCCGTTACAGTTGTCAGCAAAAACCGACGACATACAGTGTATAATATTTTTTTCTATGTTATGTTACCAACATTTCAAAACTACACAAACTACAAAAAATATTTGAACAGTTTAAGAAATGTTAGCTTTAAACTTAAAATTAGAGACTCGACAGTTAATGATAAATTATATTTTACAAAATAAATATTACCTACTAAGCTTTTACACGACGTCACTGTTGTCGTATATAGGCGTAGCGTGGTGGTATAATAGATATAGTGTGATAATATTACCAAATTGTTTCTCGCTGGGTAGGGTTAAAACACGCCTAACCGGAAAAATAAATGGAAACCTGAAAACCGAAAATTGAAGAAGGCGAAACGATTAATAATTGTCCGCTACTCGTTTGTACAAAGACCACATTGGCCAACGGGTGTAAGTTGGATAATATTATATTGTTGTAAAATATATATTATAATATTATAGTAAACGTGTACGAAACGGTCGGCGAACTATGTAGTGAGAGACAGAGACGATGTAATAATGTTGTATTATTATTCGACCCGTTAATCACCCGATGAATATCGGGTAAAACTAGTCTATTGTTATTATATATTAAAAAAAAATATATATCAAATTTATATATATATATATATAATGTACGCACTTGCCGGTGATGACGACACGTGTAATAACCCTCAAAATACGTTCTATGCCGGTTGTTGTGTGTGTATGTGTGTATAATATAATTTGCACGACCAATCTTCATATGGAGTGAAACACAACCGGTTACGGCGGGATCGGCGGTCTTAGCTGTTATTGAAGGTTTATTCAACTTCCAAGGTGGTGCGCAATTCGCGCGAAACCATTGCCTTTTTTGTTTTCCTCGCTGTAATTGAAATTATTTATTCAGTACATTGACATATTTCGTAACCGATCTTTCTCTCATACCTACCTAGTGTTTTACCTTTTGTTTTTTCATCTTTGCGCATGAACATGGGGAAAATTTAAATTAAGAATCGGTATTAATTGTCCATTAAGTTATATTGTAACAATAATAATGATATTCTAGTCATTAAAACAAACAATAAAAATTGTATTTCTTATTATTATTGACACCGTGGTGTTGGTGGTATAAAATGCGGTTTAAATATGATATTTTCCATTTGTTTTATCGGCAGAGACTCAAAAAGAAAATCATGTTGCGTCTGAAAAAAGGTTTTTCGGAGCATCTGCTCCAAGTGGCGCTGCTGTTGTCACTGATCGGCTCCGACCGTCTGTGGCCCTCGTTCGGCATCTGGTCATCTGCTCCGTCGGCCGAAGTCGAAGTGGGCCCGCTGCAGCGATGGAACGACGACGGTTACTCGCCCGGATTCGGACCGTTCACGGAAATCCATCCCAAACACGTAGATCGCGATCTGGATCGGCAATGGCTGCTCGGCGAGCTGCTATCGCTCGGTCGCTACGGCGAAAGGTATCCGTCCAACATCGAGGCGTATCTGTTGAACGTGGACGGAGGCGATGAGAACAACGATCAACAACAGCAGGACGGGCGTGGCGTCGTCAAGACCGAACCCAAAGAGGACGACAGCGGCAACGGCGACGAAGACGGCGACGAGGACAGCCCGTTCGACACGGACATCGTAGACGATGTCTTCACTTTGGAGCCAGAGGTAAGATTTTTTTATTTATATATATGTATATTTTTTTCTAGCAACTAAATATTATATTGTTACGCAAGTTTTATACTCTGGGTTTCATATAAAAGTATACAAAAAAAACATTTTGTCGAGTAAAGCTCGCCAAACATGTCTTCTTTTGAGCAAAAACAAAGGGTACCCTAAACATCTCTGTACATATTTAATTTATTCTTAACCGTTGTTCGATTTCGAACTTCGTGACTCGTGCAAGTATACTATTCCGATTGGATACATTTCTCCAGAACTCTTTATTCTCTGTACCCCGGATGCTTTCTGATATTGACATTTGTATGAGGGTTTTGATCTGGTCTATATAGTAAATAGGGGACTTGCTTCTGCTTCTTTTTCCTTCGACTTTTCCTTGTATAATATCCTTTTCAATACCACCTCTTCTTATGATGTGGCCAAAACATTTTAGTATTTGGCTCTGAACTGTGATCAAGAGGCGTTCTTGTGCTTTTATGTTAAGTTCTCGATTATAGATACATTCGTTCTATGGTCAGTCCATGGAATTGGTAAAATTCTTCTATATGCAGTTATTTCAAATGCTTCTATTCTTTGTTGACACGATGAATTTATGGCCCATAATTCGGAGCTATGTGTCATTATAGGGAATATCAGTGTTTTCGTTAGATACAACTTCGTTGCTTTCTTAATATCATGATCCTTCCATATTCGAACAAGTTTGGAAATCGCGGGTTTAGCCATTCCCTCTCATATTTAATTTAATTGCGCCCTCGAAGGGTAAAAAAGAGTAGACAAATACAACAGAAGTTCCAAAGTGCACGTGATTCCTACACCTCTGAATCAGGTACATAAGATTGCTCTCGTCCCACAAAACGGAGGGCATCTGCACTATAGGTGCAGACAACGCCTGAAGAGGCAGTGTTAAGACGTGTCGCCTTAAGTAAAGTTCGAGGTTGCCTCTTCACGGTCGTCCCCTCGGTTTTTCGTCAGTTTTTCAGTTTAATGCAGAGGGGGTTAGTATCTTTATGGATCAGAGGCAAGATCGTGGCACTATCTAAATTGCTTATAGACTCCCATCGACATAGTTGTTAGTCTCCCGGGGACAGTATACGAGCTTAACCACTTCCGTCGCCGAAGTAACCGCCACAAAGAATTTAACCCAGGCTAGGTGTTAACTGGCATCTTGCAAACATTTCTCCAAAGCCGTCCCCTAGTACTTATTTCACCTGGCATTTAGACCACAGGCATAGCGTTCATAAGTTTAGTGTTTCGGAGACGTATAGATATCCTCGTTCTTAGTAGAACTAGTCACCCTCACCTCCCGATTATTTATTTATGAAGAAACCCAGAAGGGTTTGCTATGGACCCGTATACTATAATACAATAATACAATAACGAGGAAGTAAAAAAAAATTCATGATATTCATCATATTATAAAAATGTTTTTGACTCTAGTAGAAAGACCAAAACTAATACTATGCCTTATATAAGGGATTTCTATAATTTTATAATATAAATATAATATAATATACAATTTTATATTGACTTCAAAAATCGAAAACGGTTTATTTTATTCTATTATACAATATAATATATGAAAAAATATTATTATATTTATTACATAAAAAAATATTTACAAAAAAATGTCTTTCCAAAAACTTGTATAAATACGTTTAATTTGTAATACAATTTAAAATCTATAGACTTGATATTTCAGTTTAATAACAATTCTTAAAGCTCATGTATGTTTTAGCTTTGTAAAACTTTTGAGGGCTTTGATCGATGAGTATACTTGGTTATAAGTTATAACATAGACTGCACTCAAGCTCTTATTGCGGTTAAATTAGTGATTTTCAAATGTATAAAAATTAAGTGGTATGACATTAACACATGATTTGTGCGTTTAATGGTAAATAATAGTTATTTATTTTAAATTAAAATTTCACAACACTATGCTTAGCGTAACTCGGGATCCGTATTCGAATCGATTGCGAATTGCCACCAAATTATTCTCTTCATGAATCTACTAATGTCAGATAATCAACATTATAAAACGTTAGCGCCAAAACGACTATCCGTTACGTAATAATCTTTTTTAGGCTTTTTGTTCTTCGAAATTACTTAAATCGTTGTCACAAAACATCTATAAATAGGTCGGCACGTTTACAAAAGTCTTGGCAAATAATTCCCTGTTCATATGAAAAATACTTATCAGTTTTTATGTATGTCGACCTTAGGATCATCGTTATAAGAAAACCTTTCTATATTAAGTTTTGAATCAAATTTTCAATGGTTTTACGTAAAGTTAACAGAGTGTTTTTACTTATATGTGCTGTCGGAGGGATTAAATTACATACACATTGATATATATATATATATATATATATATATAGTTATTTACAGAGTATATAGTTTTAGATGTTGTTTTGTCAATTACGTTTTGCGTTAAGGGGATTGCATGCGGTCTGTTTTTAAGGAGTTTTCTATAGTCAATATTTAAGAAAAAAGAGGTTTTAATAATTTTCGACCATGCAATTCATGTACCGGTTAATTTGTATAAGCTTCGAGGTATTATTTTTGATTTCAATCATTTATTTATTTATTTTTTATGAGTAAAAGCAGTTTTGGTTTATTTTAGACCAAAAAGCCAGACAAATTTTGACTACGTATGGTGGTCTAATTTCAATTCTGTATAGAGATTCTAGTTCTTTGGCTACTATATTATATAGAAAGCTTTATTTAAAAAATTAATTTGCAATTTTTTCATTATTAAAACCCTATTTTTTACATAAAAAAAGCAAAAAATTAAAAATCTGTTTCCCACATAACATAGAAAAGCTGCCAAAGAATTCGTATATTTTTACAGAAAGGAAATCGTACCATCTTAAGTAGTCAACATTTTGTCTGGTTTTTTTGCTCAAAAACGTAAAAAAAAACACCACTTGTAATCTCTTAAACGGTTAAAATAAAAATAACTTACTAGTTAAACATATTTTGTTGTTGAGGTGAGCAGGATTATTAATCCTAGCTAGGTTACTGTAACATTTTTTTAAAATAAGCTATTATCTAAGCAATCCGAAATTGATAATAATAGTGCAAACAATGGTAATATAGAAGTGGTTCAAAAATGTATGTTATTAATTATTTTTATTAGTTAATATAAACTATTACTGATTAACCAGATTAAAAAAAATGGGAAAGGCAATATAATTGGAATAATCAAAGCTTTCATACATCATACCTTTATTATTGAATATATGTATATATACGTCTGTTGTTTGCGACATTTTTTAAATATTCCATTTAACTTTTTATTTCGACACAATTAAAAACAAAAGACAATAAGCAGCTAAAGAATATTTCTGTTTCTTGATCAGGATAATTTTTTGTTGATTATGATTTATTTATTTTTTGTTCCGATAATAATTACTAATTAGTACAGACTTTTTTTACTAGTCTTAAATTGTTTTGATTATTATTAAGTTATTATTTTTAAGTTATAAAAAAAAGTTGTTCATGTTGAAAAACAAGATTGATTTGGTCTGTGTTGTGCACGTAGCGATTATTAATACACGCCACAAGTAAGTGTTAATAAACTTAAACAGAACCTGTTTTGTACTTTTTAAAATGTTGTGCAGTTTGTTAAATTTATCTGATTTTTAGTACTCTACGGGGTGTGAAACGTCATATTAAGGAGAACCTAAAGTTTCTGAAACGATTGTAATTAATCTGATTTGATTTATTGTTAGAGTTCTTCATGTCGATCATATTTTTAAGTTTTTGTAAAAAAAAAAAAAAACAAGCATTGGTTTAATTTGTATTATAAAATGGAAAATGCAGCTTTTAACAGTTTTTATAAATGAATAGGTCATTTCAAAAATGACACAAGAATTGAAATTGAAATTTTACACTAGCCACAAAAAACGTCATAACTTCTAAATAGTTTTTGCAGTGATTCTAATTTCTTGTACTCAACATTTGTATTGAATATGAGTGACTAATTTAGTTTTCACACAGAATACGTAACTAAGTATATAATTATCAAATTTGACAAAAAGTAATTTTTGAAAAATCGGTGACTTCAAATATATGTTCATTAAATTTGGCTTCAGTACATACAGTTTAGGCAATATAAATACATTACAATTAGTATTCCATTTATAATTATTAATTATTAATAATCAACAACTCTCATTGCAAAACAACCGATCCACTTCTTTTTTCATTTGTAATACGTACTGCGTACGTTTTTCATTAGGTAGTTATTATTGTGTTTTATTTTACTCTTGAATCACAAAATTACAACATATTAGCTAATGGTGTTTTTGTAATATAGTGTTGTTGATCATTGTTTTATGACGTCACTTAAGTCATTATAATAGTACGTAAGATAATATAATATTTTTTATTATTTTACAATTTATTACCTTCTTGTGTAGCCACTCACAACAAGTCTACAGCGACATCTGTACAACAAGTCTTACGCGCCATGTCATTTCCGTGATGATCAGAAGATAGCGCTAGATTTCATGTTTTCAATTTTGTTCGAAACTACTTTTTTTTTTTTGTAAGCACACACGTAATGTCGGCGTCGGTTGCATGATTACATTTTTTTAGAGTTAGCAAAATAACCGAGGATTTTTTTATAACACCCTGTTAAGTTTTTTTGACTATGCAGTAAAAACCCTATAAGACCCATATTTTAGGGTATATACCAAATATTTTCTGGAGTTAAACAATAATAGCTTTTACGTCTTGATAATTGGTACAAAATTTACGATGGTGATTTATTTTTTCCATTAAGGTTTATTTATTATAACTTTATCCAAAAATGTAGCTATTTATCCAATGTCGTCTAGGTAAACATTTAAATTAAGAAACGATATTTAATTTTTTATAGTTGTTTTTTATGCTAAAAATGTTCCTCAAAAAACATGTTTTAAAATAAAATATACAAATGTGTTATTTTAATTTTTATGTTAATAAAATATGTTTTAAGAGGACGT